GCATTTCAAGAAGTTATTAAGAAGGATGAACATTTGGCTGTTGGGCATTTCATGTTAGGTGTTGTCAACCTGATGTGTACAAGGTAACAGATTAGAAACATTCCTGTACAATCCATTAATTTCAAAACCTAGAAATGTAAGAATACCAAATGTTTTTATTTAATAATCAAGTGTTGCATTAACCTGAAGGTGTATTAATCCAGGTATCTTCTATTTCTAAAAAGTATATTCTCTCTACCAGTATCAACAACCTCATCAATTTCACAAATTATGAACATTCATCAAACACAATCCCATTTTTCCTGATCTTTTCAACAGGTACTCAGATGCTCTGGTAAACTTCAATGAGACATTTAGAAATCTAAGAGAAAGTAAATTTATTGACTACAAGCAGCTGGGCATGCGGTATAAGTTATATAAGTGTGAGGTAAGCATACTGTGTTATAAATCTTTTATTTTGACTTGCCTGTAAGTTCTTCAGAGAATGGAGGGCATAGACTTTTGCAAGGCATGCTTGTGTTTGGCGTTACTATTTTAAGAGTGGGAAAGTAAATTTTTGTGTCAAGATTGTTTTCCACAACTAATTGGCTAGTAGTTGTGCTTAAGTTTCTACAAATTTTTAAGATTTGTTTAAATTTTTTAGGTCCTTCTCAATCGTGCTGTATGTCTGTCCAGTCTTGGTTATATTGACAGTGCAGTTGAAGATCTTCTTGCTGGGCTGCAGTGTAAAGTTGAACCACGACATAGCATCATTGATGTTAGCTTGAATAACTTGCAGGTATTTTTTTATATCTTAAGTATTTTCATGATAGTTAAATATGCAACATGCATATATTTAAATATGCAACATACATAGAAATACTTCACCATTTTTGCATTGTCAAGAGAGAAGACTGGATACCTGAACCGTAGAGTCTAGTTCATGAAGTACTCTATAGTTATAGCTCTACTACTGCATACTTAAGGTGAAGAAAAGTCATGCTGTCAGATAAAAGATTACTATTTTGTGATACTATTTTGTAATCCTGCATGGACAAGTGTTTATGTGACAATCACTTGTGTGTTCTAGAGTGAGACACAATTGTTTATGTTCATGCAAGAAAATGCACAAAGCTTGTCCAGATGTTGTTCTGTCCCCTGTTTTGAATCCTGTGTAATCCTTCAATGCCAAGTGTAACAAATCTTTTTTTAGAGTGGCCAAGGCATAGAGTTTCTTGTGATGGATGCAATTTTTCAGCCACCAAAATCCAAGACAGCAAATTTAGAGAAAAGAGATTATCTAGGAAAATTACAGGTATGTAATTTCATTATTTCTTCATGCAAGTGTCAATTACCAATCTTCAATACACGCATCTCATTCACTGAATACATTTTATGTCTTCAACAGGTTGTGGTTGATAGTGGAGCTTATGAAACAATGGAGACCCCGTTACATTTGGTAAGAAAATCAATTTTTTTGACATTCAGTAGTCTCAGAATAAAGATTATTCATTGTTCTTATAATAATTATAAAGCTAGAAATTTTAATGTCTGACTTTTTTCGTTAGAGAGGACGAATTAACAGTAGTGCTCCTACAGCAACGTCAAAGCCTCCGGTGACAGATGTTGGCGAATCATATCGAGTACTCTATGATTTCACCGCACAAAATGCTAATGAAGTGTCTGTCAAAGCTGGTGATATTATTACAGTGACTGAAACTGCTAACGACGGATGGTTTACCATGGTAACCAACGACTCGAGAAAGGTAATTTCAGTCTCTGAATACCAATTTTTAAGAAGAAAAAATAATTTTTTCTTTCCATTGTGCAGAATCTGCATCCATCAGAGCCATGATTATTGTGCCATCATCACGACGGCTCTGGTATTATTTTATTTTCTTTCATTTAGAACGGGCTAGTGCCAGGTTCCTATGTGGAGAAATATAAAGAAAGAGATGAGGTGACAACGCTCATAAATTTCTATTAAAAGTCGACCGACTGAACGTAGTGAAATCGTTCAAGCAATGAAGCAAATATCCAAAAACCATATATCACGGCCCAATATGTCCCAATATAAACTTGTTGTAAACATCAGTGTATAATCTTTTTTAGCCTGTTACTGAACGTCAAGCTCTTCTTACCGACTTACGAAAAAAGGAAACACGACAGTCATTGAGAAAGGTTAAACCCCCCGTAAACAAACAACAATATAAACCCCTCCCTGGAGAAAGGCATAGCAGCGTTATCGAAAGTGATCATACGTATGCCAACAGTTATCGTGAACACCCCCGGAAAGAACGTCCAAAGACAGTAGAACTAGGGAGGTTAAAAAAAATGAGTCCAAAACCTGTTCCAAGACTGAACCTCTTCCTACAAAAAATGCACGCGGGTCCTCCGAAATTTCGTCGCAAAAATTCGTTGGAAAACATACTAGTAGAAAAAAGTCCAAAAAGTTCGCCGCGTTTTGGAAAAAAGGGCCTTGGCTCGAAAAAAGGAGAAACGAATAAGAATGACGTTGATGATGACGATGGTGATTACGAACACATTCCAGATGTTACCGAGGTAAAACCGTATGCTGTACATGACGTAATAACACCAGCAGAAAGACTAATGTCTACAAATGGTCGGAAAGCTCCGGAGCGGCCCACTTCCCCGCCAAAAGTAGTCACGACCATGAAACCATCACGTGCTTTCGCTCCTCCAACAGTTGCTCCGCGTTTTCCACGTGCTAAATCTATTTCTACTGTTGGCTCAATTACGTCGACAGTGGAGGCAAAACCCACTTTGGGGTCACCGACTTTCCCAAAACCAGTTAAGATGCCCCCTAAAGTACCCCAGTCACCGCCTAAAGGCGCCCAGTCACCAAGACGTGCTAAGAAGGATACTGAAACTCCTGCAAAAGAGGTTAGTTTGGATCATACGTAAAGTTCGTGGCATTGTCAAAAAGTAAAGTTCGTATCAAGCGAATCATCACATGGTATAATGCAATAGGTTGTGTTGTCCGTACAGTCGTGAGTAAACGCTCTTTCAGTCTACTCATCCCAAAACGCTCTTTAAAATGAGCACAAAAGAATTTTTTTGGATGAAAACCCTCGCAGCGAGTGTGATTTTGCTTACCCGCAACCAGATTGCGGCGAGACTGACACAAGACCTGGTTTTGTCATATTAAATTTCATGTACTTCGCTCTCATCGTCTTTGTCGTTACTACCGTATGCATTATCGTGCTCTCTTTCTTCGGTGAGGAGCCTGAACTCGAGAAGGTAAGCGACTAGTTTAAGGCTCTTCTCCATTCATTGCAAAATCTCACGCAAGCTTGTTCAATTGCTTGTAACTGATTGATTTTCATTATATGAATATAAGCTTTAAGACTACCTACATTAGACTACACCAGATATCTTTTCATCAAGTAGAATTGACACAAGCAATATCAGATTGTATTTTAAAAGATTGTATTTTAAATAATTGTATTTTAAAAGATTGTGTTTTTAATGCGTGGGAAAATATTGTATTTTCAGGTGTCTCGTCTCACATTTTGGACTCGTTTTGATCCTCAAGATGAATCAAGTGTATTGCCCAACCTTCAGAATGCTGAGAGCTTGGAGTTGTCTGGTAAGGATGGGCAAAAACCAGAGGAAAATGAAAAGGATAAAATAAAGATTGAAGAAGTCGATATAGTGGAAGGTAATTCCGTCTTTTTCTATTACATTCGTGGCATTCGTCTTATGTTCTTTTAGAACATTTTTTTATGTTCGTCTTATGTTCGTTTTATGTTCTTTTTTTTACATAAGACGAACTGCGAGAAAGGTAAACTAGATAAGTCTGCTGTTGCTCACTATGCGTGGACTTATGATCATCGCATTAAATGGAAAGATTCAAGCATTTTAGCGAATGATAAGTATACCGTCTCTCGTAAAATAAGAGAATCATTGAAATCTATAAACATCAAACTATCGCCCAAGAGAGTAAGCCGCTCAATAATACATGGCGTGCTCTTTTCAATGTCTGCTAGCTAAATACTTGTCTGGACACGCGCATTAATTAGAACTATATATTTTCCATAATTATTTGGTAAGTGAAACCGTTTAATTAATGGCGCGAGCTAACAAATCACGACTAACGTGATATTTAAGTGACGTGTGAATGTGTATTCAGATAATTGCACTGATGAAGGCCCGGGTTAACGGACCGAAAGCTTTGCAATATTATATACTTACGTGGTGTACCAACAAGCTTAATTACTTATCGATTATCACCATGCAAACGTGCAAGAATAAAAGATATATAATTATACGTATATATTTGCCCTGCATGGACATATATAGCCCATGCAGTTTCCGAGATTTAACGAAACTGGACTTTTTAAATATTATTGTATTTTAAAATGGATAAATAACATGATCCTGGTAGTCGTGTAATCATCTCGACGATAGCATGTGATTGTTTTGTTTCAAAAAGGCTGATTTTATTACCTGAATACCTAATTGGTTAATCTTGGTAACCGGGCTCATGCAAACAACCCCTAAATCTGATTTTCAGGCAATTGAAATTTCGGTTGTGACTAATTTGCACACATTAGTCTGATTATAAATTCAACAACGTTTCAGTTGCAAGTCCCATCTGCATGTCCAGGACTGAGGTACATAGCTAGGACCTTGGGCGCTTGCTTCCAACTGTTATACCAGCTAGCATATATATATGCATGCATGGTGTATCAAAGCAATCGTAAATATTCATGATGCTAAAAATGAAGTAATAAAATAAAAATAAATCTTTAACCAAATTCCGATCAATATTTCGATTGTTTCTACTTCTTTTATACAAATACAGAAACTGAGCCAAAGCGTGACGGAGTATCTCAAGATGTTAAGAACACGTGGTTTGAAGATACTTTTCTTAACTCAAAACACAAGCTAAAAAAAGAAATTCATGAAAAACTAAGGAGGTAATTCAATGAATTTGTCAATTTTATTTTTTTATGTTCTAAAAATATCATCTCAGTTTACAACTTTCTGTCCTATCGATTTATATAGAGTGCCCTGTGAGCCGTGTGAGGATAGGGTGTCCTTGCGCATATCCAGTCTAAGGGGCCGGTTACATGGACCGGGCTAGCTTTGCCGGGCTGAAATTTAGCAAACGATTATATGAGTATTTTTTGCCGGGCTGAAATTTAGCAAACGAAGAAAATTTAGCAAACGCAGAAGCCATTGTTGTTTATGCATGTGTGTAACACTGCATGCGTTGACGAATTCCCAGCCCGGGCTGAAACGATTACATGCGAACATTCAGCCCGGCAAGACGGGCTAGCCTGGTTGACATAACCGGGCCAGCATGTAATCGAAACGTCAAAAATTGCTTGCGATAATATAGGAAACAGGCTACCCAGCAAGGCAGTCGCCCCTAATCTTATTTTCTATAGCACGACAATGTGCTACTATAGTTAAGAGTCTCCAAAGTAAAAGTGCAAAGCTATATACTTCCTCCCCTAACTGCATGCCTAAAAAAGTTGATATATAAAGGGAAGTTGTTTGAAGACGCTGCCATGCTGCTCCCTGGTTATATTGGAACGTATCTACAATCTTTAGAAAATATAATTAGTTGTTGCTTCCTTAACATTTATTAGTTGTTCTTAATATATTACAGTTTCCCGTGGTTGTGTGGAGCGTATGGCCTTGCTGGTTCCAACAAAAAGATTAACCATCTGCATATTTACCTCACAGTCAAAAGAGGAATGAAAAAATGCGATGTACGACGCGATCTTGAAGAAAAATTTAAATGCAACGCAAAGGAATATTTTGAACTTATACAAGAACCTAAAGGAGAACCAAAGATCAAATTCTTAGTTCGAGATCAAAATGGAGTAGAAGCTGAGGCACCAGAGTTCGCTACACCAGTCCAGCCAACACCAGGTGGTGGTGTATTGGCTTGCAGTATACATAATCGTCATGATCATAACTACATGCGAATACCTGAGGAAAACGAGACGGATTCACCTGATGTGCAAGGAACAGGAACGTTGACTATGTTTTGTTGTGAAAACGGACAACATTATGCACTTACTTGCTTTCACGTTGCTTGTGCCTCTGATGTAACTCGTCTCGATTTCACTTTTAATGCGGGATGGGAAAAAGATTATAAAACGATCAAAGAGATGCGCCGTACACGTTCTGACTATCAATGCCAAGCCAAAGAAAAGCGATATTATTTTCAAGAACGCAAAGAAAACAAAAACAGTGAGGCCATTTCGTTTGGGGAAGATGGAAGTAACTATTCAAAACTTGGTGACTTTTCGAGTTCTCATTTTGACGATGAATGTGATATAATGTCTCTTAAGATTCCAAATGACGTAAAATTTTCTTGCAAAATAGCCGGTGTGACTTCACCGGATTGGAGTGAGATAAATGATGAACTGTTCGAAAGAGTTTTTAAAGGCAGCAAAGAGGATTCAGTAGACGTTCAGAAAAACGGTTTCTCCTCGGCCTTAACGAGAGGATGTATTGTACCTTATGATTTTAGTTTCAGCAAAGAAGAGGATTCCTTATTTGAGGATGGATACGTTGTCAAAGGACACGATTATCCTTTCTTGGATAACGGTGATTCGGGATCTCTCGTTTTATTTCATGATAAGAAAAATGTAAAACAGGCATTTGCCTATGCTGTTTGCGAAGTGGATGCTGATTGGCTACCAAAGCTCAAAGAGTCAAAAAGTAGTTCCAATGAGGGCGATAGCGACAGTAGCAGCACTTGGAGTGATGAAAGCGATGACGGGGGAATTGTCTTCCAAAAGGAAAGTGCTGACGACGTGGATAGTGAAGAAAAGACAGAGAAAGAAGAAACTGCAGAAAAGAAGGTGTTTCCAAATGGATCTTATTCAGTCTGCTTACCATTAGATACTGCTTTAGAAAATCTTGCGTTTTTAAAAGCAGCGTGTTTTAAGGATTGTGCTAATAGCCGGCAGTAATGCAAGTTTTGTCATTTTTAAGAACCTCAAAACTATTCAAAATATATGAAAATTAAATATATATATGCAGCTCTTTGTAACATGAAGTAGTAAATACATAAGTTATAGCCACAAACAAGTCACCTTCACCAGCAAAATGTGAACAAGCACAAGTAGAGGGCCAATAACGTCTCCGCCAAGTTAGGCGAATTGGGAACTATGAATTAGTATTGCCTCTGAATGAAGTTAGAAAAATAGCATGTGTACGTGTGTACATAATTTAGGTAAAAATTTAGAAATGTCATTTTTTTAATCAACCGTCTAATTATATAATGTATGGTAATGCTAGCTATGTTTTTCTTATTGGGTCAGATACAGTACATCTCGCAATGTCGCACGTCATTGGCGAAACAAGTGTACCGGTTTCAAGAAGATTGCAAATTTGCCACTTCCAGTTTCTAAAATATCCGTTTTGTAGGTAGCTGCTGCGCATGCGCAGCTAACCACTATGTTGTCAACCTCGTACCCAGAGCCCGCGATCCTTGTACTAAGTTACTAACTTTCGCTGCAGCTTCCCCCTGGCCATCATCGGACGTGGAGCAGAGCCAGTCTGCTTGGCCGGCTTACGCGTTCGTCGCAACTTTAGGAAAATGCCGCGAGTTGTTTATTGAGAATTCAAAATGTCTTTATTGTTCGGTTTGGCAAATTTTAAGCCAAAGTAAAAAAGTAATTGCGATATTTGTTTATTTCAATCGCTTAATTGTCCATTGTGGTCGAACGAACGGATTTACCCGAGCGACTGATTTCAGACACCAGATCTAGACAAAAAATATTTTTGCTTCACTTTTTGGTTTGGATCACTGTCTGTGAACTCTCTCAGTGGAATGGTCCCCAGGTTCGGTTTGGTTCATAAAGCTCAGTAGTCTATACAGCATTCACTCCAGAAATTCTTATTAGGTCAGGCATAGTTCCCCATGGTTGTGTGGAGCATATGGCTTTACTGGCCCAAACAAGATTCATCGTCCACATATTTACCTCACAGTTAAAAGAGGAACGAAAAAAATTGATGTACGACGCGATCTTACGGAAAAATTTAATTGTGATGCTAAAAAATACTTTGAACTTCTAAAAGAACCTAAAGAAGACCCGAAGATCAAATTCTTAGTTCGAGATCAAAATGAATAGAGTGTAGAAGCCGAGGCGCCAGGGTCCGCTACACAAGTCCTACCAGCATCAGGTGGAGGCGTATTAGCTTGCAGTTGGACAAACTGGTCATAACTACATGCGAGTGCCTGAGGAAAACGAGAGGGATTCACCTGATGTGCAAGGAACATGCAGGAACGTTAACTATGTTTTGTTGTAAAAATGAACAACATTACGCAATTGACTTGCTTTCACGTTGCTTGTGCATCTGATGAAAACCGTTTTGACGATGCATTTAGTACAACATACAAAAAATATTTACAAAAGGTGAAAAAATGCGCAGTTCAGATAAAAAGATTACCTTTTTACCGAAGCCGGGAAGGGGGACTACTGAGGGAACAAGGACAACAATGATGGAAGCAAGTATGAAACTTTGCGAATTTTCGTTTTGACGATGAATGTGATAATGTCGCTAAAAATTCCATATGGCCGGTACATTCTTTTGCAAAATAGTGGGTGTAACATCTCCGGATTGGAATGAGATTACTGATAAACGGTTCGAGAGAGTTTTTGAGTAGTAGGAGAGAAAAATGGTTTCTCTTCAGCTTTAACGAAAGGTTTATATTGCTCCTTATGGTTTTAGTTCCTATTTGAGGATGGATACGCCGATTTTTTATTATTATCAGTTATTATTATTATTATTAAAAATTTATTTATACACGGTAGAATCATCAGTAATGTTATATATATACAACAAACAATAAAGAGAAATATCTAAAACCTTTTAGCCATACAAATAACAAAGCACACAATAATAACACAAAATACTGTTTTACATGATTGCCGTGTGGAAATCAGATATTCAAAAGAATTTGTCAAGTTCGGATTTAAATTGTTGCAGAGAGGTAATTTTCCGAACATTTTCTGGAAGATTATTCCATAAACAAGCCCCGCTATAACTAAAACTACGTTTTATGTAGTCAGTATGGGGCATCGGTAGATCAACTTGTTTGACCGAGTTTCTTAATGTATAACCTGTGCTCCGTGGAACAAACATATTTCGCATATAATCAGGAGCTAAGTTGTTTAAAGATTTAAACATTACAATAGCTTTTTGTTTCTTGCGACGAATATTAAGCATATCCCATTGCAACATGTCAAGAAGTTCACTAGACCTTATATCGTAACTGGCTCTCATAATTACTCTGGCTGCACGATTTTGCAGTTTTTGTAGTTTATCGCTAAGTTCATTGCTTAGACCATCCCAAACTGGAGAACAATAATCAAAATATGGCAATATTAAAGCATTATAAATTAGCACAGCAGAGTGTAAAGGGACACAAGGTCTAATTCTTTTCAAAGCCCCTATCCCTGACGAAATTTTTTTACATAATTCATCAATATGATTGGACCAAGAAAGACGGTCATCGATGGTCAGGCCAAGGGAAATAGTGTGACCATTCCGCTGGATCGTCTGATCGCCAATTTGAATACAAATTGTACTGTGATTATCGGCAGATATTTTTTGCCTCGAGCCAATAACCATAAATTCGGTTTTAGCTATATTCAGACTAAGTTTATTTGCAATCAACCAAGTTTTGAGATTAGCAAGTTCTGAATTGACTAGGGGCTCAAGTTCAGGTAGGTTACGTGCCGAAAGGCTAATATTAGTATCATCAGCAAACTAGTAAATTGGCAGAGGCTGATCGAAGACAATTTGGTAGATCATTTATGTAAATTAAAAATAGCAAAGGGCCAATAATACTACCTTGGGGCACGCCACAATTAATTGCGCCAAGACTAGATAAACTGCCGTTGACATCACATTTTTGGGTTCGGCCACTGAGATATGAATTAAACCACCTTAGGGCATTCTGGTCAACACCATAGTTTACTAATTTACGCAGTAAAATATCATGGTCAATAGTGTCAAAGGCCTTCTTCAGGTCAATAAATATTACCCCATTGAGAAGACCTTTGTCTATATTCACCGACCATTTATTAGTGGCCTCAAGTAAAGCTGTTACTGTACTATGGAGCGAACGAAAGCCAGATTGGCAGCTACTTAATAAATTATTCTCCTTTAAATAGCCAAAAAGCTGATCATAAACCATTTTTTCAAAAACTTTTGAGACAATTGGTAATATTGAAATTGGACGATAATTGCTCTGGTCAGATTTCCTGCCTTTTTTAAACACTGGTAACACCCGCGCGAGTTTCCATTCTGTTGGATATATTCCGGTAACAATCGATCGCTCAAATATGTTGGTAAGCGAGGGACCAACAACAAAAGCCGCAATTTTTAGGAGCCTAGCTGGAATTTTATCAAGACCCATAGCCTTTTTTTCATTAAGTTTACTTAACAGTAGACATACTGTTTGCTCAGAAGGGGCGTCAAGACTAAAAGATTTGGTGGTTGGTTTTAAATATATTTCCGGGTTAATGTTAGTTTGTGGAATTTCCCTAGCTAAGTCAGGACCAATATTGTCAGGACCGATACGTTGTTAGAGGTTACGATGGTCCTTTCTTGAAAGACGTTGATTCAGGATCTCTCGTTTTCTTTCATGATAAAGATAATCTGAAGTAGGCATTTGTTTATGGTGTTTGCGAAGTCTTCCAAGACAAATTTCCCTTCTCAAACGCACAAACTTAACATGCTTTCTCAAACATGTCTGTTCTGAACAGCACGACTTGGCAGTTTTGAAACCAGTGCATGGAACAAGCCGTACCGGAACAAAACGGGTCAAAAATTTCCATTTCACAGGAACATACTTTGCAAGAACAACCAACAAGTGAGGATGATAGCGACAGTAGTAGCACTTGGAGTGATGAAAGCGATGACGGAGGAATTTTATTCCGAGAAGAAAGCGATATGCAAACGAAACTTCAAAAAAGCAAAAGGTATTTTTAAAAGGATCGTATTCAGTCTGTTTACGATTAGATACTGCTTTAGAGAATCTTGGGCTTTTAGAAGCAACGTGTTTTAGCGATTGTGCTAATAGCAGACGGTGATGTAAGCTGTGTCATATTGTAGAACCTCATGCACTGACTATTTCAAATATATTTCACGCTAATTATAAAAAAGTATGAACGCCAATAGTGTCAAGTGTGCAAATAATTTTTTGGCCAAACAAGTTTGGAACTATAATTATAAATATTACTAGTTAATCTGCATACTGTGCGGGTTTACATAATTTAGGCAAAAATTTAGAAATGATATTTTTAATTGACCGTATTATTTATATAATGATTGTATAACATTATGGGTCACTTATGGTAGCTAGTTGTGATGAATTATAAACAATTATTGGATAAGGTTTTTGTGATATGCAGAGTTATCAAGGTCGAGGTAAGCGTCAGCCGAGCCGAAGGCGAGTCTGATAACGCTTACCGAGACCTTGATAACTCTGCATATCACAAAAACCTTATCCAATAATTGTTTTATTATACATTTGAAGAATAGTAACATAGTCTTAACGAATGAAAAACCTTATTTAATAGCAACATCCAAAAATACATCAATTATTAATACACAAATACATTCAAATGAATACCGCTTGTTAACCACCGCAGGCTCACTTGCAGATAACTCAGTTATCTGCTAGCTGATAACTGAATTTTGCGTGATTGCGCGATTTATCTGTCAGCTATTAGCCAATCAAATTGCTTTTACTATTATAATGTATAATAATAGTGTTTAAAGCGACAGCTGTAATTTGTAAACTATGATCATTTTTTGTATGATTGCTTTTTCACAATGCAAACTATATTATTTTTTTTATTAAAATTTTTTCCACCATTGCGCAAAAGGTTGTAGCATAATGCCTTGTTTTTGACACAATTTTGTATGTATCATGCGTCCGTAATAAACACTCAATTAGCCTTTCTTTCACGATGACGAATATACCGCCATTTTGGGGGTACTTTTTTTCAAAATCGTGAGCGTAAGACCTCGTAACAGCGCCTATCTTCAATTTTAGACTGAAATTATTCTTCAAATGGTCTATTGATTCTGAAAATAATGCTTTTCATGTTGTTATAATTTTTTAAACCCATTTGAGAAAATTGAAAGTACCCTAAAACGTCATCGTGAGAAATGCTAATCAGTGCTAAGCGCTGCTTAATGAATGAGGAACTTAAAGTTTACTCAGCATTCCCCAAGAATACTACACGGCAAAGAATTTTTCAGGTTGACGCATCAGGAGGGAACAATGTTGTGCCGCACCCCATAAACAGAATTTTAAACAATGTTTTTGAGCCTTGCTGAACCACAAGCAGCCCAGAATTTGAGGAATTTGACTCGCGCGCGCGGAACCATCAATGTTGTTGAAATTTAATACTTCATTTAAGATCGCACATTATAGAAACACGTGCACTAAACATTTCTATGAAATAGTTTCATTTCATAACTTCGTTTCCAGCAATTTCATGCCAAAGACACGCGATGTTTTTACAAAAGTCTATCAGCTTTGCAAAGCACGAGGCTTTGTGTTCGAACGAAGTGTCAGTTTACCTGGAGAACATGTTTTTTCAGGGCTTGATTATGGACCACTTGGTGTTGAAATAAAGAGAAATTTATATGAGGAATGGTGGCGTGAAATTGTCACATCAAGGGAAAATGTTTATGGTCTCGATCTAGCCTGGCCTGCGGTAAACAATCTCAAAATTCAGTCTGAAGAGGTCAGCAAACTGAATAATTCCAAATATCAGCATTTAGGTGAATATTTGACAGACACATATCATTATGCTTGTAAACTTTTCAAAAATCAAGACACAAATCAAACTCAAAACTCTATTGGATTGGCACAGAGTTTGACCATATTACAGAGTGACAATGCCACCACTAATGAATTCATGTTTAGGTATGTATGGTACTTCCAGGTTGGAAAGTTTGTGAAGTACACATTCTAGATCCCTATAAAATTGTAATGAAAAAAATAGCCAAAATATTCACTACTACTATTTTGGGACCATCAATTCAAATCTGAGCTAAAATGTCTATCCTTTTCAGAGCACAGGTTAAGGAATTTTTCAAGCTGTGTTTTTTCTGTGAATCAAACAAAGTGAATTACTGGATGGATTACTGGATGAGAAAACGGTTATCATGGTGGAAGAAATATGCTGATATTCCTGCAGAAATTACATTGGTTGATAAAGATTACAGAAATCAATTCTTTCAGTCTAGTGATGAGAACTTATTAGATACTATGTCAGTTCAAGTGAGTCATGGGATATGTTGTCACAATGCCTGACCAGTTCTTTAACTCTTTTAGATATATGAAGAACTTTCATATTTTGTTTACTTTAGTTTAATTTTCCATGGGGAGCGGAAGCAGTTGAATGTATCTCAAGTTATTCCGAGATGAAGAAACTAACAAAGCAGATTCCAAGTCAAGATGATATAAACTTGGGTGTAGTCATAGCAACATTAAGTGTGGAAAGAGGTGAAGTTTCACCAGAATACATGGCAATTTGCATTGTTCATAAAAAAACCATAAAGACAGCAAAATTATGTCTAATGTTTTACCTTAGGAATTCTGGCATACCTGTTAGATGCTTATCATGAAACTGAGTATCTTGATTTGATGGGAAACACAACTAACCATAGTAAGCTGCGATTGCATCCAGCATTGGCTCCAGTCAAAGTTGCTGTCCTTTCAGATAATGCAATTAACACAGATTTAGGGCGGGTAGCTCGTCAGCTTACAACCGAATTACGCCAAGCAGGTAAGTAATAAAGGGGTATTTATGCACTCATTATTCATTAATTTGCTCCTAAACACAATGATCTATTTTTGTAAACATCAAAATCAAGACCACACAAGTAATGTACAAATTTTTACCAAGGTATAACTAGCCATTATTTCGAAGTGGAGAGAAGCTCTGATATGTTAGATAAATACGCCTGCCAACAAGATGAAATTGGCACACTATATACAGTCACTGTGCAAGACTCAACTCTCACTAATGGTATTGTTACATTACGGAATAGAGATACAACACTAAGTGAATTTCTGCACATATCTGAAGTACTCAAAACTGTACAAAGACATTTAGATAGTCAGTAGATGTCAAAAGGCTAATTCAATGCAACTCGATAGGCCTACTATGGGATTACAAGACATAAACTGGACCTAAACAGTGTACTTGAAATAATTATTCATATATTGTACAGTAAAGAGTTTCAGTATGAAAAAATGTGATTATGCACTATTATAAAACCATAGCCATTCAAACTTTTGTAAATATATACTAGATTCCCTAAATAAAAGATTATTTGATATGAAAGAATACAATTTACAGTGTAATAGAGCTGTGCTGTGACATTATTTGCAAATAAAGCACATTCCTGCTTGGTCATTGGGCTCAATACATGTCAAAAACATTGTCTCCTCCATCAACTCCCACTAACTGTGGTCATAAAGGTCTCTAAATAGTGTAAAGAAGAAAAAAATACATCCATTCTAACTTACTTGATTATTCTACAGTCAGGACTAAATGAAACCTTGAATTTAAAAAATCATTTTTCTGCCAACATGGGTATCTCACTAAGAACCTTCTTTCCATAATATCATTCAGCTTTGTTTGACCGTCTTTGTATCACTTTCTTCATTATTTCCCTGGAAGAATATGATGAACTATTTTTTATACCTTACACTGAAAAAGTTATTAGACAATTTAAACCAGTGAAAGATTGCACCTTTCTTTATCCAATTTGCAGATCATTCTTACCTGACCAATGCGAGTTTGTCTTCCATGGACTCCCATGGATGTCTTTCCTCGCTGTATTCCAATAATTCTACAGAATAGATAAATGTAATCAATGGTTGACTGAACTCTGGTAAGCACGAGAAACGTATTTTGGACCAGCTCATAGGTCTAGATAATTCCTATTACCATTTGCAAGTTTTGTCTCGCTTTTTCGTTCCCCATCTTCGTAATACTTCACTCTAAGATTCTAAAAGTTATTCGAAGACACTAAGAGTAAGAAATCAGGTGAGAACAAGAGATCTTCCGCGCATAGGTCAAGTTCAGATGTATTAATGAAGTATGCCATACTGTCTGTACTTATTTTGATGGAGAAGTTAGTCTATAATCAGTCCTTAATGGACCGATTTATACTATCTGGACGAACCTGGGCAAGTGAAAGATAGTTCTGTGTAAAACACGGGTATCACAGAAAAATTGATCGTAGGAGAGACATAAATAAATTCCCAACACTTTCTAAACGCGCGATTCTGTTTTGTTTAACAATAGCATATTCGTCTACACAGTTATAGTTCGTCCAGATCACTGGCCCAGATAGTTTGTCGTGTGTTTATACTCAAACGAATCATCATCGTCAGGGGTCATTCGTCCAGATGGATAATTCGTCTCTGGTATAAATCAGGCCGATAAAATCAAATTTCTACTTACAAGTCCAAATGTGCTTTGCTCAAGTCGAGTGACGATTGACATTTTTTCAACAGCATATTGTAGCCTTGCAGAACTTTTCGCTTCACTGTATGTGAAACTCAGTTGGGCTATGAGGACATTTAGTAAGATCACAATGACCATACCCATATAAGCAAGCAGGATAAGAATGGTTAACCAGCTAATGATATGCAACAGAAAAAAATTTTAGTGTCGAGAAAACTACGTTAATACTAGTTCGACTTCACTAGAATGTCAACAGGCTAGAATTAATTTAATTGATTGATTTAAAAATTAAATAATAAATATTCGAAGTTATGTTTTTGTTTGCGGAATATTCTCTGTTTGGGCGTAACGTTTCCTTCCAAAATTTAACGAATTTACTAGTCTAGGTAACACATCGCACTGTTGCAATTAATAACACCGTTATTATCATTAGGAGTTAGGACAATATAGTCATGAACATGAATCACTATGGTACAACTCCAATTTCCATGAATTTCCATGCCAAAAATGTAAAACGCAACTGGGGGCTTAAGGGGCTATAAAGAATGCAAAATCTGTATATATCGTCCTATAATATCTTGAAACCTGTCGATAATAATCACGCATATAAATTTGATACAGTATACTAAAAGTTGAAAACATGGGTTGATGTTGCGAGGAGTTCTGTTTTAATGGCTGACATTCTACGCAAGTCGCAAAAAAGGTTTCTTGTGATTAGACATCGCATACAGAGCAATCATTATCACATTTTTCATCATTTGATTGGCATGTTTACGTAAGCTCTCCGCTATAAAGAAAAATATGAGGATTAAATACTTAAACTTTCCATAGTCTTCTTCTACTGCATTTTGTTCCGTGAGGACTCTGACGGCAGCCAGCATTAGTGTTCCATAATTACTGAAAGACAGAAGATATAAGAAAAACTATATCTCCCCGGACCATAAACTAACTCTTTCTACCTTTTTGCAAATACCACAAAAAACCCAATCATGGAACGATCTAGAAATATCCCAAATGTCGTAAATCGTACTTTACCTGGTAATATCCTGCATTCCAGTGGCTGTCAACGCCATGAACAAGGCACCACAAAAACCAACACAGACGACAGCAAACAGAATCACAAAACGTGTAATATCACGATAAATGATTTTAGCCAATGTCTTTGCATACAACCCCGTTGTCCTAACATTTAAAGTCATAAAAATTTAGCACATTTTCTTTGTTAAATGCCTTAAATACCTTAGGTTTTGTCATTAACATCGCTTCGTTAAGTCTACATGGATATTGGTGGATATTTCTGGTTCGTAAGTTAAAAAAAGCCTGTGTACCTGGTAATGCATGAGAACTTAAAAATTCTCAGAAAATTGAACAAATATCCCAGACTTGCAATACTCCATTGTGCGCTCACGTCAGCAAATCGAAGAGGGATGACAATGAGAACAAGAATAAGACCAAGCCAATCAAAATAGTTATACGGATCTTTGAAATAAGCCTTTGATTCTCTAAAGAATACAAATGCTTAACGGTAATAAACCTCTGGCTAAACCTGAGCACACGTACGTGTTCACAAAGTGAGAAGAATGTTACTAAATAAACGATTTGCGTACCACTAGGTGACTGGTGCATTTTACATATGCTGTGGGTTGGCTTAAAGCTTGGCTACACAGGCGATTTTCGTCCAGGTTTAATTTCTCTTTCTAGCGTATACTGTTTAGTGAATTAAGCAGACAATTGTATGTTATATAATCTATTCTGTTAAATTTACTCAATAACATACACCAGGAGGAGAAAACCTCCGTCAAAAATCTCCTGAACCTCGCAAGCCAGGCTTTGAAATCTCTCGGTAGCCTGCGCACAGACGCCCTGAAAAGCCAGGCGGGAAATAGGAAATATTTTACACACATATACGTCTATATCGTAGGTTAGGTGGCCGGTATTCCCAAAACAAAGCAAGGGGAAACTACAAACGAAACTTACCGAACAATCTCGCATATTTCTTCAATGATGTATATCATCACAAAAATGATGCTGCAAACCTCGCAAAAGAGTCTAAAATTGTCAGCCGACCCTTCGTACTTGTTTGGATCCTTTCGTGTCGCTCCGAAGACCAAAGCATAAGATAACAACGCGAGGAATAACGTGTAGAAACACGCATGTATACTGAAAATAAAAATATCATTACAAGCGGACATGAGAAATCGTGTAAACGTATCACAATATATATAGCGTTATGATGCGACAGTCGTTGACTACAGGTCTTTTTACTTCGCATTTTTAGCCGTTGGGAATTTTTCGATTCATAACGTAAAATTCGATGATGCGCGATTTCTTTAGTCATGTTTATTGTGTGTCATCAGTTATCATGCACAAAGCGAAGAAATTCCTACACGAGTGAATAGCGTTTTTCTATGCAAAGCAAAATGTTTAGTATAATAGCTGAAAAACTGCATGTGTGTAAATTTCACAGGGGGATTCTTTCTTATTCCTCAATTTTATCGTTCCCGAGATTCTAGTTGTAACTATTATAGGTAGAGTCCACTAGTCTAGGACGGATCATGGATGCATCTGCATAGTTTAGGTCTATCCTGATTGTGCTGGTGAATAAATAATTAGTTTAACAGTCGAGATTTTATTTAATAACTAGTGAGCAATTAGCAGTATGGATCATGTATAAGCCTAAAAGTTGCTTCCCGTTACTCAAAAAAGTAAACGTTGTTCCATGTAACTGGAAACCAAAACAGTTATTCAAATTTTGAATTTTATTAAAAGTTGCCGAGCACAATCGGGAAAGGCCTAGCATGGTTTACCAAAAAAATCAAAATCAAATGGTTAAACGTTTTATCAACTCCTTCCTCCATTGTCTCAAGGTTTCAGATCAAAGTCGGATAGCACTATCCACCGGATAGTGGTTCAGTTTTCAATCGCTTTAAAATCGCCCGTTGTTTGCTATAAACTTTGATTATTAAACTTAGTATTCCTAGATCAAGGACCCTCTTTAATAATTGTTGGTTCCAAAAATGAAATTTTATCGCAGTTTTAGAACGGTTAAAAAATCACTATCCGGTGGATATAGCGCTATCCAGCTTTCATAAAACTGGTCCCAGAAAAACATTGATCGATATATTACCTAAACAACAAATGACCAAATTTACTCCATTTTCTCAAAACAAGCATTCTGACCACAGGATGTGTAATTGCCTCCTGCAAATAGCGCCACAAACACAGAAAAGAAAGCTTGAGAGTGAAATGATTTCAGCACGAGTAAAAGTTCCTTTATCTGCTTGAGTGCACACAAAACAACAGCCTGGGAACGAGGTGGGCAGTTTTCATAGTCCGAGAAAAAAAAATTGGGAGACGTTTGTTTATTATATAAATTAGTGTTTGTAAATTATTTTCCTTCCTAGAACAGGTATAAAAACCAAATATAGAAGTAATTCACACTTCAAAATACTGGACATGTCCGTCAACGAAAGTTGTTAATAATTTTTTACCTTATTTTTGCTCTCTGTTAACCGACGAAGACATGACTTGGATTTTACATCAAATTCGTTGTTTTTCGCGTCATTAATCTTGGGTATTCTGCCTTCATCATCGCAATCCAAGACGTTATAGTAGAAATGATAGTCCAGTGGATCATCCGGGACACTGGACCAGGCACGCTCAATCTCCTCGCTGTTGTCGTCATCTTTTCTTTCTGGCAGATATGGCCAGTGCGGGTTGACCAAGGAATCCAACACAGCAACCACTGTCTTCTAAATTTGTACATGTATAACAAAAAAATAATGATGTTTTATGTTTAAGGCTGTTTTCATAATACATTGCATGATTTGCATCACTGCTCATGCGGCCGTGGCGGAGCTTAAAAACAAAGTGTGCTTAGACGTAATAGAGAATCGTCTTAAATGATTACTACGCAAGCACCTTAAATGATTACTACGCAAGCACCTCAAATGATTACTACGAAAGTAGCGTGCACTGCAGGTGGGTTAGGGCCCTCCCCCCAGGGTACTTGGGTCCCAACCACAGCAATTAGCTGTTGTAGTCACGTCTTGCCATTGTAAGGAAGTCATTAAAATAGAAAAGTAATTATCCTTGTAACTGATTTTTGACTGTGACATTGGATTGTAAATGTAAGAATTAAGACATAATACTACTTTGAATGAATGGTTACAGTACACAAATTAATAATACATTCACTTGAGAAACTTACTGACATGTTATGTTTGTTTGTTTCAGGATTCCTACAGCTGATCAACTGACCAAAGCTAAACTTTGGGCCTTTCAGGTCCTTGTTATACAGGAAAAGTTCGTGCACCCTATAAAAGGATGGAAATATAAAAAGAAAGCACACCAAGTTAAACGTTAAACTACAAATACAATCATCATGCAAGATTCATACCTACATATGTATTAAAATGCACAATTGTTATAATAGCTCAAAGCTAGCCACGACCCCACAAAATACATAAAACTTAATAATAAATCATTCCCCTTTTGAACTAAATTTAAACTACCGGCCACATTACTACATGGAAATTTAGATTGCACAATATTGAAAATATAGCTCTGCAAAGTTGCCAAATCTTATTTTTTATCTGCATGATATATTAGAAATTACAGCCGCCACCAAGAAGAGTTTCCCTTCAGTCATAATAGGCAGATATAAAGAACAATATTTTTTAGCAATAGGCATAGTGTAGAAGTTGTTGTAATGTGAAAAATGGGGATGAAACTTAAGGTTCATGTTTTGGATGCCCTAATATATTTTACGTACTTGTCCAATATGCTCTTACCAGTCTGCTTTCATGCGCGAAATGAGAAAGGCAGCAGTTTCGTCATGGTTAGCCATCAGTGCCTTCTCCACAGCAAGGTAACCTCTTTCTTCACCAACAACTTCAGTTTCATGGTAGACAAGTGATGGGTATTTATTCACAAGGTGTGTAGCAACATGGGAGAAGTTCAGATCAGCAGCATAATGAAGCAAAGTAGGCCGAGCCTCATTATCCTCGTTACGAAAATACTTAAAGTCTTCATCTGTGTCTTGTTCCATAATAATTTCTGTCAAACGGCTAATCTAAGAAATAATCCATGGTTTGGGTTTTGCTAACAATAAAATATATAATCTAAGATAAATGACCAGTAGGAGAGACACCAAACAATTTGAATCCCTTTTCCAAAATCCACAAGCCCTGAGTTTATTTCTAACCAAATTTCAGCTAGCCATTGATCAACACCTCTACTTTATTTGACACTGTGTCAAAAATTAAAATATGGTACTAATATTTACCTGTGATTCCAAACTTGCCACCAAATCCTGTTTACCTTTGTACTTTGGACTCTCTGGCCAATCTCGTATTATAACAAGCAAGTATTTATCACCATGCTTGGCCTTCACTCTGTCTATTCTAACTTCATCCATTGCCCGACTCCATGAAATCCCACCAGGCGTGAATTTTTCTTGTACCTTAATTAATTAAAATGTAAATCCTAATACTTCAGCCTCCAATCTGCCTATGATTTTACTGTCATTGGGCAAGTCCTAACTTTAGGGAGGAGCAAAGACTGAAAGATGAGTGGTAGCTAGCTAGCAAACTACCACCAGATGAGACAATGCAGATAAGACAATAATATAGGCAATGTTGTGGAAATAAGAAAATTTTGAGGGGTCAATCTACTCATTCTACTGTAACATTTTCAATAATTACACCAAATTCTATTCAAATCCGACTTGATGGGTCAAATTTTGTGTTATCATAAAACATAAATTTATCCAGAACATTGGAGATTGAATCATGAAAATATCCATTTCATGATATGAAGTATACAAGCCACACCCCTGCAGAAAAATTTAAAAACAAACAGTTCACTGACTTCAATCAATTATTTAATTTTCAACAAAAACAATATGAATAAGTCATTTATCATGTCCAAAAATTAAGATCATCATAATTGACTGAAGATATATGATAGTTAGATAGAAGAGACAGAAAGAAGATCATATAAAATGATCTTAAATTTACGAATTATCTTTCGAGAAAAGCAATCAAACTTGCGATTATAATGATCATACATCTAATCACAGATCCTATCAATATGAATATACTCTTGAAAAGCGTCTGACCTTCAACCAGAATTCTTCATCATAAGTGTTCAGGAGCTTATCTAGCTCATTATTTCCATTATCTGACTCCTTTTCTTCCATTTGAACTGATGTGTATTTACCAACTTGGGTCATGCTTCCTCGGTTTCAGAAAACCCGGAGAAGTCGGAGTAATACTTGTACAAATACTCGTGTAAATATCGTGATTATTGTCAAATTATTCAGAAACTTTAGAATATTCAGTCGTCCCGCCCTTTTGGCCACAGATTACCCAAGTATTTCACAACAAAGGCAAAAGGTGGCAAGGTCTGTCGCTAGAATTTCACCAGGGCAGGAGTCGAAATTTCGAGTAATATGGAGTTAAAAACAATAAAAAAAATGATACGCGTGTATAAAGGGCCTCTAAATTGTGGTATATTTCAGCTCTGATTTAGAAAAAATTTATCGTTAGCTGTCGGATCTAAATGTTTTTCTGACGAGAAAATTATATTACATTAACTAGCCATCCGATTAGCGAGTTCCGTTATCAGAGTCAGTTATAATGTGAAAGTTAACTGTCTGTACTAGGGTAATATCTGTCAGTCATAAAGATCATAAAGAGGTAATGTAGTGACAGCTAGAATTCGGCAATCAGGCTTGTCAGAATTTTCGGTACCTTGGAGTTAAATACTTTTCAACGAGAAATGTAGTGAAAGGCCCTGCCGATTGGATCCAACTTTTGGTCGCTTCTTCTTCAGACCGTTCGATAATTTTTTTTGGCGGAATAAGGGGGGAACAGCTATTTGTTTTATCCAGTATACTTATTCATATATTTTGCAGATTTTGTTCTTGTCTCCAAACCTTTTTAGGAGTTACGCCATCCGATTTTTTGGACCCGAAACACTCATGGTGTGAAGGGGCCTTAACATTATATTTAAGAGTATATAATTAGTATCCTCTTACCAACAACTATATATTTACTATTCTAAAACCCACTGTAAACTACCTGTTTAATCATTATCAGGTAAGTAAGATATAGGAATCACCTGGACGAATCTTAACAGTCTTAATACTAGTGCAGATTGTAACTATAGGAACCTTTCAGTGTTCTGAGTGACCTCTAGCAATTCTACTTGAATCCTAACCGTGCATGTTCGGCCATCACAATTATCCAATGGTCTATACTAATTGAATGGTGATCGTTCAAATTATTCATATTCATGTACCTTTTATTGCAGCAAGCAAAGCTAGCATCGTGTCGGATTTTTCAAAATCTTTCGGTTTAAGATTATCCACGTTTTCAAAATTGAAAGCAAAATCACGAGCATTTTGAGCAACACGTTGTATTCCTGCCGGTGGCCATTCTAAGCTCGCTCCAAAGGAAACGGAAAAAACTTTTTGATGCAAATCATTTCTCACGTATCCTTTATCTCTCATTATTCGTTCCAACGTCGGAATTGCCTCGGCTGTCAAGCACAATAAAACAACAATGTCACTCTCATTTTCGTCCACCCAAGAGGAATCTTTCACGTCCCTTTCACAACTTGGACTGGAAACATTCACGATTTTTTTTACGCGTACTTTCCCACTAGCCTTACTTGTCAGAGCGTCTCGAAAATGTCGTACGACACGCTCTTGTTCTTCCGTAGACTTGTGAATAAGCAAAATATATGTTGTGTCCTTAGGAATCCTTCCGGAAGGTTCACTTTGCTTTGGAGCAGGTCCTGGTTGTTGCTGGTTGCTTTTCTTTGACTTTTTATTACCCATTTTTAATTTTTTAAAGATATTGTATATCTGAAAGGATTCTGACTCGGCTGGTAAGTGTGTCTGGGTCAATAGAAAGTCGACTAGCCAACTTTTGTTTACGCCTAAAGATAGAACAACAAATCATTGAATAATTCTGTGGACAATTTTTTTTGTGAGACAATTTTTTTTGTGGGCCTCAAAAAATAGCCATGTGAAAATATATGCTAATAAAAGGATAACTATAGCAAATGTACTCAGTGGGTAATTGCGCACTGAAAAGAGATGGATCAATCATATCAATTCATGAATTGATTTGGAGTTTCTAATATTTCCGTCAATTGGCATTATGCGGAATAGTCCTACTCATTGATTCATGTATTCGCAGACGTGAGAATTATTTAGCACTGAGTTGACGTCTTTGCTAGTTTTACTAGCAATAAATTGGCATCTTGGTTCTCGGGACTTACAGATCACATAGAGAGATTAATTTCCTTTACCACGGGTGAAAACGAAAATGTTGTTCCTGGTTCGGATAAATAAACTGGTTTGCCGGACCAATGTTGTGCTGAACCCTACCAACGTGCTTGTGTCAACAAGTCTGTTACGAATAATTCGGCAAAGGCGAAAAAGTTGTGATATCATTTTGTTGACAACCGTGCATTCTTGTAGGGCGTAGGAGGACAACACTGTTGTTGCAATCAAGAACAACATATTATATAACCGTTTTTACCTGTGTTACTATTTAATATTACTTCAAAGTCCGTAGAATGTTTTTTTACATTGGCTTAAAAGCATTAACAAGTGAAATCTTTTTAAATCGAAAAAACCTAGTGTGTGTTTTTAATATGACTTGTGGATATTTACCGAGTTCGAAAAACGCAAACGGGAAGAAACGAGAAGAAACGCGCATTTTAAATAGCGCTGTTCAGTTGATAGTGGGCTCAGGTTGGCCATCTTGGTTTTAGAAAAGTTCAAAACATTGTATTTGCCTTCATTTGGGGAATGATCACAATATTCGGGATTAAACGTTGAAATAAAACATGTCGTTCGCCTCATAATCCGTAAGGCGATGTTTACTGTTACTTATGAGATTGGAGAAAAATTAAATACTTTGTCACCGCGTTATTTTGCCATACGTTGTTAAAAATATATTTGGCTGGACAAGGCTGGCTAGGTTATTATATATGGTTTGGATGATGACATTTCAGCTGAAATATGAAATAGGTATGTATGTTTAATGTGAGATAATCATTTTGTGATTCTGTAAAGCTAATATATTTAATTAAACTTATAGGTAGGTAGTTTGTCTACAATGAAATTATTTCATATTGGTCCTACAGACATAGTCACATAGCATATGTTTAGATATGCCACTCCCCCCTGCCCTAAAACTACTTGTTGAATGGTCAATTTCACTGTAAGATACATATTTGACTGTTATTAAGATAACATAGACTGGTTAATATCATCTATAATGTATATTTCATCAAGAGGCAAAAGTGAGATAGACACGATACATTTTCATTGATAAGGAAAATGGTCTAATATCACAAAGAGTTAAAAACTCATGCTTGCAAAAATTGCGAGGTATTTATGCAGCTTACATATCTAAAGACCCATTTAACCATTTATAAATGTTTTTCAATTGACCCATCAAAAGTTAAACAAACATGGTGAACTTATTGACCATTCTGGCTACATTAGCTGACAAGTGTATTCAGATATAAGACATCTTACTAATAACATTTATCTAATTAGTTGACAATGCATCCCAAAGCATCTATCACATCAGTTACCATATGCCATTTAATGTGTTAAGTGTACACTGCAATCCTACAGTAAAGGGTGAAATATTGCTTACTTCATACTAATCATGGGAACTATGCTCTTACAACCCTATACATGCATGTATATTTTTACTTAAATACTGAGCATTTACAGCTATGCAAGTTACATACAGACATTAAATGTAAGTGCTATTAATAGCATACTTAATTATGGTAAGTGGTAACTGTATGCACAGTCTGCTGATTTTATTAAAAATCAAAATTATTAGGATATCCATTTGCATATGACTTGCACAATGTTTGTTTTCCAACATCTATATTTGCCAAGACTTAAACATTTGTTTGTCATTAATATGACTATCTAATTTTGTATCACATCTCACTAATGGCTGTGCACACTAATTTATTGATTAAGTCCATATTCTCAGATGAATTTGAAACTGAGATTAGTTTTACACAAGATAAAATTAGGTTATCTAAAGTTATTTTCATTCACTGTGACATCCCATGAATTATTTTTTCTAAAAACGCGACGGAGGTACTTGAACTTACAACGTACGCGAGCGTGCCTATTTTTTTAGGGATGGTCATTATTTATTTAGTGTTTAAATTCCTGTGAGGAGTCAAGCAAATTTTCAATGTGAAACTAATTAGCCACATATGTTATTATGGACCTAAAAGCCTTCTGAATTGACCTTTTGAAAGCATGATTCAATCAGGTTATTATACAGAATGTGTGATAATAAAAAAGGTCTTGTAATCTCTTAAGACGAGGCAAAATGAGCATGTACTTCTTTCGTTAAGAAATCGTTTACCAAACGTCAACAAAATGAGCAAGAGACATTCAACGTATTTTACTTACCCTCGTCCAAATCACGAGAAGAAGGTCAATCACTGTAAGATTCCTTGATCTTAGGAACCGTGTTTAAAGAGTTCAGACGATGAAAGAGTTCTGGAAGCAGGTTTATAGAAGCGATATTACTAGAGAGTCTATAAACTCGCTATGCTTTTAGATCGCTGACACGTCAATACAGATTTTGAATAATCAGAATTCACTGCAAAATTCAGGCCAGCGGTCACAACTCTAAACTTTTACCATATTTTAAAACGTGCGCTGTTACCTTGCTCTTTCTCGTTCATTTTTGCTAATTAATTAATTAAATTAAGTTCCACGCAATTTTTCGTCTTGTTTCTTCCTGCATGCAGTACCTGAAATTTTCCCACTGTTTTTAGAGCGTGCACCGAACCCCTTTCAAATTCATGAGTCGCAATAGTTTCTTGGGCGTGGCCATCGTCCAATTCTCATACTCGTCAGATCGTGGGTCCAATGTATTCTAGTGATAATTAGAAACAGCTTACCCGAAAAATTCGTAATCCGAATGACTCGTGTGTTTACTGAACAATTTCTCACGATAAGCTCGTTTGCTACGGAACTCTCCATACCAAGAATTCGTTGTTCACCCTTTTGATGATTAGATTAGAAACGTGAAACTTTGCATGTGTAACATTTTACCGATGTAGATTTGCGACATTATGATTGCATTAAATAAACTAAGTATCTTTAGCCATATGTTATATCACTATCATGGGATATCTTTCCATTTATTTAGGATCACATGCAAGATTGTCAAGAGGCTAAACTATGACAGGTAGTCGGCAGAAATAACTTTGCATCCGTGCTAATAGATCTCTATCTCTTTAAGAGAGTTCAATTCTGATGCATCTAGGATTAATTTTTGTGTTAATACGTGGACAAACGACGATGATTGATTGCTTTCAAGAAACGAGCAGCACAATCAGGCAATGGAGTAAGAAACTTTGGAGGAAGTTAGGAACGAATTATGCATACTTTACCTCGGTAAAGAAATGCTGGAATTGGGACACAAACACAGATACCGTAAAGAAACGGATATACTTTAGATAAGACTCAAGAGCTATAATAGCCGAAGGTTTTACAGTGTTTCTTGTAAAAATTTATATGTCATACATAGTCCTGTGCCCTGTGGTTTACGTTGTGATTCTAAATGGGTTATAAAGATATATATTATATATTATATATGATATGGGTTATAAGGATATCATAAGGATATTACACAAGAGGATTTAGTAGAATAGATTAGTAAGGATTTGTATTTAATGTATACTGAATGTATAACTGAATTATAAATCACTCAGAAAGAGTAAGTTCCTAAAAACATCTTCATATATTGTCGCTGGATTGTACCTTGATCATTTCCACATGATTCACTCAAATAATTATTCTTCAAATCAATCATTTCTCATCAAATGTGCTCACAACATTCTCCGTTAGATAGTTAGAAGAGAACGATTGTAATTTCGTAGTACCTGAGTACCTGAGTTTACGAGTTTTTTTGGGGTGGGCGGGACAAAATTACTAAATTCTTACGGAAACTCCTAGGCCTAGATCGAAATCTCGAGAAGTTCTTTACTTTAAGCAGTTTAGCACATTTGTGAGAGGGTGAGATTGCACTGAGTCTATCGTGAAAAAAAGGGACGCAAAAACCAATGAACTGAGGCTGAAACTACGAGCCAACAAACATGCATCACTCCTGAACCGCAAGTTCACTTGTATAATGTATGAATCAACCATGTCCCAGAGCATGTTCTAGGATCAAGCAATGATGTCAGTTATATTCCTATTATGTTTTAAGATAAAAATAATACTCTGTCAAAAGATAGCGCATGGTCTTACGCCATTTTTAGTGTAGTTAATAAAGGACTGTAAAGGAAAATTATCTTCCTCACAATAACAACGGGTGGGGGAGAGTGATATTGTCAAAGAAGACATGATCTACAACATTTTAGCGGTCTCCGCAGAACAATCAACGCTTCAGGGATCAGGTTTCTTCTCAATCTTTTTCCTGATTGCGCCAGGAATGTGTTTGTTGAAAGAGTTTTCTCCAAGGCATGCGAAACAGGTTGTGGCATTTGAAGTATCGTATGGACAAACATTTGGAACCGCAAAACTGACACAATGCTAACGTTTTATACCACAAAATGCAATGCTATTTAAGCTATTCTACAAGTGTTTAAAACTTACAGAATCGTTGAAACTTCGTAAACGACAATCGTAAATCTCAGCCAATTTAAGATATCAAGCCTGATTCATGTTCGAAAATAAAATATCCCCATTTTAAACACGGCTAATGTTTACCAGTATCTGTTAACAAAGTCGCATGTAGTAAATAATTCAGTATTTTCCAGTTTTGCATAAATAATAAATTAACAAGCGTAGATATTATATGAGGTATAAACAGCTGTTTTAAAGCAACTTCACAAATAGAGTAAATAATATAGCATTCTCAACACTCGAAATAAATTCCATATTTCCGCGCATCCATGTATTATTCTCTATGTATTTTCTATATTTGCGAACTTTAATGTATTTTTGATACTGCACACATTAAGCATCAAGTACCATGGTTGAAGACTTTGACTTGCGGTGTTGAATGTTGATCTTCAGAAAATAACTTTCTTTTTCAAAAATATGACGTCATTGAAATAGCCACTTCAGATATACCGTTTTTTATATACATTTTACAACACAGATATACGCGTTTCATATTCTTCGCAATTCTTTTTAAAGGAAGATATTTTAAAACTTTTCAACATCTTGTAGCAGACATTCACATAAATACTGCACGCTGACTGACACCGAACACTTTCCTATCAACACTGCACAAAATGCGCACTACTCCATGTTAAAATAGGCCCTGTCTTGCTGTTATTCTACTCAGTGGAAATGTACAAAATATTCAGTCCTGATTGAAAACAGGATCAAAACAATGTTATGGTGCACACAGAAATGCAACAATGATGTTACAATTTTATAATTTAACAATGAGTTATCTTATCTTACCTATTATCTGCGGACTATACATTTAAACAAGACTTCCTGCCCTATCTAAATGCTACATAAAAGCTTGTTTTAGGCAAAATTTCTCGTCTGAATCAGTTGTAGTTATAAAGGAAAAAACAGATGAAAATACGGCTATCTCTAGATGAAATACGTCACTTCAAACCTTGTCTTTTTTGGGGAGTTTTCTAAATATTGCACTTGTTGCTACATTTTATTACAACTTGTAGTATTATTATAATGGTGTCACGTAATCAACAAATTTTGCATTAGATCTTAAACTGTTACAAATGCTAAAAATGAAATGCTACATTATCACTTTGGATCACTTCTTTCTGATCATCGGGATCATTGTGAATTTATACATTCGAAAGTCGCGTCATTTACTCCGTATTTGGAGATTTTTGACGGATGGAGAATAGATTTAAAATATTCAAACATAAAACAGCTCTAATTATAAATGTTGTCTCCATTCCCATAAACTCTCAGCAGAGAGTAAACAGTCTTATTCAACATCAATGGCTTTTCTTTAGAGTTTAGATAGTGCTGTGATTTTCATCATAAAATCATGAAGCAACAAGAGCAGCTCCTTCGTGATTTTCCACAGCATGTTTCATTCTATCGAACCAGGGTGTAATTTTTGTATGTTTCTTTATGTCTTTAACAGTACTCAACTCTTCAATGCCTCGTAAAACTCCGAACATTGCCTGAAAATAAACGAATGGTGAATTAATCGTTTTGTATCGCCTAAAGCAAGTACGACTACAGTCAGAGTATTATTACCAAGTCCGCAAGATTTGGTGTCTTTCCACCCAAAAACTTCTTTTTACCCAACGCTTTCATGAACACCTTGATTTCATCGTACATGGCCTCGCGTACGTCATCCTTTAAACGATATCTACAAAATTTCAAGACCACTTAGCTTTCCTCAAGTAGTAGGGTAACAATGGTGGTCAACTGGGCTAGGAACAAATTGGTGAGTAAGAATAAGCGAAGAAGGAATCTTCTGCCAGGCTCAACAGAACTCTTTTTGATTCTCCAGGTATTTCTTAAGCTTGGACCCTTTTTGAGCACTGTATTTTGCTCTCTCTCACTACCATATAACTAACAATCATTCAATCATTATGCAGCTCTGCAATTTAATTGTGCCCATAAGTGGCTAAATTTTAATTACCATTAACTAATAATAATACATTACGGTACTATCTTAGCTTAGTGAAAACCAATGGAATGGAGAAATAAAACTCCCAATTGGAATGTAGTGAAGTAAAGACAAGCACAAGCTTCAATTTATTATTAGCATAGTAATGACTTACTTTTTCTTCATTTTCTTTCCAATATAATACATGATGACAGCACCAAAATATTTTGCCAGAAATCTCTGAGTGGCTGAAAAATCTCCAACATGTGAAAAATGTTCAGATGCTTCCATGGCTTCCTGCCATGTTCTGTAGATGTTTGGAGATAATGTGTGCACAAAGGTGTTGTCCACCCATCTTCGCCATTTACGTTCCAATCTATGATTTAAAAAAACCTGCCTGATCAAACACAATTATATTATAGTAAAAAATTATCACTTCATGAAATATTACTTTATTTCTTGCACTCTGCTTTCATTAAAATCTGTCTTGAACATGATACCATAGCGATTGGCATACTCAATGGTATCTTTGTTATTTGAACCTTGAACTGTAATTGGTGGATAATATTTTAGCAACTCTTCCAAGCTATCTTGCTTCAGAAGGTAAGACCGCAACACACTGATGATAAGTGAAGAGTCATGTAGCTAAAGGTAAACAATACATTAGGAATTAATAATAGAGAAAATCTATGAAAAGACATTGGCTTATGTTAGTAAATTACATCCAAGAAATCAGGTAGAATATTAGATTAGGAATTTGTTTTTTTATGATTTAACAGCCTGATGGCCCTGGGCACATCTTCCAGCAACATTTTAAGCAAACTACAAACATGAAACAAGTTTACATAACCAGTATGATATAACCAAACATACCTGATTTCCTTGTATAACAACAATTGGTACTCTTTTATACTCAGAAAACTTGATCTCTTTCTTAAACAGTGGGTCAACCTCAACAATATCATATTTCATGCCATAATAATCTAAAAATGTTCTAACTTTATTACAAAATGGACAGCTTGCAAACTGATAGAGTGTTATATTCTCTTCATTTTGGTGAGATTGATTGTCTTCATCTCGACAGTGAACTTCACTCACTGTCTTTAGATCATCCTGTTTGTACCATAAAAATCCACCGAGCCCTACAACTCCAGCTAAAGTTAGGCTTCCACTTGCAATGAAACGTTCAGTAGTTTGCTTGTTATTTTTATACGCGAATAATCTGTTATGTATAAATCTCTGATGTAGAAAAAATCGACCAAACCTTTGTCTTACGGGCGATATTCGTACGAGTGAACCAAACATATTTCAACCAACAACTTTACTTTCATTAGAACGACATGAGAACTTCGATCAGCACTGAACTTTATACTTAAACTGGATGAACTATAAGATGTGAGGGCTATCCAGCCTATAAGATCAGTGGACAAAAAAAATTGACAAGAAATATTCATATGAACAATGGTAGTGTTTTCTGTGCAAGCCAAATTACCATCACATCAACATGTACGACTACTTGGAAATCATGAGAACCTTGGTAGATGGTTGCCACATGATAGTGTGGAGTTACAGCACAAGTTACAGCCTTCATCAGGAGACTTAGACTGCAGGTTTAATATAGTGATGATAATATTAAACATCAGGACTGATCGAAAGGACTGTTTAATAATCAGCAGGGAAAAATTCAACTTCAGGAGTCCTCTCCTCTCCACCTAGGAGCCCTCTCTGCAAGGGTTACAAAATCTTGGTATATCTTTGGTGTACAATTAACATTGAATGCACCATGGGGGGAGCGGCTCCCCCCAGCCCCCAGGTTTATAGTGTACCCTCATCTTTCTATTATTTATCTTTTGGCCTTTTGGGAAAAAACTTCTCCAGTCAGCATCTCTCTGGGAAACAATAAACGAAGTAAATTTTAGCCTATGCCACATCTTTTCTGGTCCATTCTAATATATTGGGAGGCTGGGAGCTGAACCTCATAAGACACCACTAAATAAAATTAATTTAATTTGTGATTCATTTTACTGCATTGCTATCTTCTTAGCCTGTGGGGATTGTCTGTCTGGCTAAGCAGACATGTGTAATAACCTAAGGAAGTCTAATAGTTTTAATATTGTTCCTTGTCTCTCAGCTCTCTCAGAACTTGGTCAGTTAGTGTTGATCTTGATGAAGACGAAGAGCATGTCCTATTCCGTTTTCTTTTATGCGAAAATTTAATTGGTTCCGTCCAAACTGATCAGTTTTCGATTATCAAATGTGGTCCATGTCAAGAATCTTCTGGTAGGTCTTAATTAAACCCCGTAACCCTTAAACTAGTTAACATTTCCTAACAACTTTCCCAACAACACTCCCTAGACTAGCTGGAGTAGCGTAGAAAAGACAATTCTCATTCTACGCCCACTTTCCGCTAGGACGAGTTTAATTTAGTTTAAATCACAGTTAATAGAATATACATGGTTTGGAGACTACATAAAAGTACAATAGAACTCATTATCTATGTCGGGGAACATTTATGCAAAAAGTTGTTCTTATTCGTCACGTGTCTATTGTACTTTGAACAAATAAACCAATAGTAAGGTCTGAATTAACATGTTGTTCAAGTCACGGTTGAGGAGCTAAGCCAAGCCATTGCTATTGGTTAGTTGGGCAAAAATACAATAGACATGTGACGGATAAGGAACCATTTTTTGCATAAACCTGGACAATAACATAGATAATGAGTTGTATTGTACTTCCATCTAGTCTCCAAACCATGTATATTCTAATAACTGTGTTTAAATATACCGTCGCTCCCGTCGAAAGGAGAACTGGTTATATTTACGATCACTTCTGGTCTCGTTTTAGTGTTGAATGAGATAATCGGTGGTGTCTTAGATGTCAATGGTACGATCACGACAAACAAATATGAACCGCAAAGTCTAAAGAAAAATGAAATGCATGCATGTAGCAGCTGGACTGACCCCGAGTGAGGGCACTACTGAATCGTTAGGAGATTGCCGATGACGGCAATCAGCCGGCCGTTTTCCACTGGGCGAATCAGTTATTCGCGGACGCAAAGCGATTTTTTAAATCCGGTGATGCGATTGGCTTGATACGCAAAATGTAGAATCGCTTCCTACTTTTTATCAGTTCGTGCGGATAAATTCGTCTAGTGGAAAATGGGCTTTAGTCTTTTAGATGAAGAAAAGCCCGTTCTTCCCATTGGTTCTGATATAATAATTTCCAAATTTTGTATCTTTGGTGATTATTCTGAAACAAAATAGTTTTAAATATTTGGACAGTGCAATATTTTAAGCAAAGCGTTTGTGTACATTAGTTTTCACGAAAAAAGTTTTACATAAAGGCATCAGTAAAGAGTCAATTTCGGACAGATATCATTATGCTGTTTTCATTAATTATAATAATGCTGTTATTAGATCCATCATGGTGTGAAGGTTGGTTGGTATATGACAGTGAGATTCATCTAACTATCCATAATTCCAGTGGTTTTCCTATTAATATCTTTGGAAACAACAGTGGAAGTGAATCCGGAAAGTACAAAATTAAAATGACTGCGATGGATATGGTAAATCTTCCTTCGATATTCTTTCCTCAACTAAGACAGGCCTATACTATATCTTCAAACCAGAAAAAAATTAGAACATGAAACGTTTAGACAATTCAGAACTGTTTGTTTACTCAGGATATCAAGTATTCTCTCAAGCAATTGTTGTATGCTTTACGAGTCTTACAATACTGCTGATGTTTCCCTCATTTAGGACAAGGGATGTTTTACCGGCAGAAAAACGTCGAATGTAAATATTAAGGTAGAGTTGAGGTGTTATCTATATAAGGATATCATATTGTGATATGATCTGGCCACGAGATTGGTGGTATGGAAAGTCGGTAGTATATTAGACCCAGATCCCGGTTGTTCAAAAGCCGGTAGCTTACTTTTGGATTAACTCAAATTTTTACATCAATTTTTTTAATCGCTGAAATATAAGGGTAGACAATAGAATTCTTTTTGTGTTTCTTGAAACGAACAGCGGTGCATGCAGAAGAAGCACATTAACCAAAACAGGAGTAGAATATAACTGACCCAGGATTAGCGCTAACCTAACTTTGAACAACCCGGCCCAGGTTGCTAAAACCGAGAGATCCTAAGGTGAATGGTACGAAAGCTTTGTTTTTTTTATTCAGATCGTTGGTGAATACGAAGGTGTCGTTAAAAACCAAGAGGAATCTGGAGTATGCTACGATCCCAATAAGCATTATTCCTTTGTCACGCGAGTATTTGATTTAAACCACACGGTATGGTTTGGTATAATGTTCCATCCCATTGACATTTTATCTGTTTCAAGTGATTTTTACTGTGACGTCTGTCAGTTTAGGCGTTCAAAGTTGAAGTTTATCTTCCGGATAATAACAATTCGGAAGAATTTAAAACCGTTGGTCAAGGTTTTATTCAACCAATTCATTTCAAAAGCAGTTGTGGGATTATTGATGTTGGTTTAGCTGAGAATGAACTCCCTACTGGCTCTGTGCAAGGTACTTCCTACTGGGCTGTAAATAGACTGGATAACGCAACTCTTTGTCGCGGACAGTGGTCGTGGTTGATTCTGAAACGCTAGAATGAGCTACCATATTGGGCATAGATCTAGGCTATTTCATAAATGCGGTATTCTATAATATTGACTGTGACAGCAAGTTTGCCGATACATTATGGCTATGCATAAATAACAGATTTGATCCTTGTACATATATGAACAATATCTAAGATATCTCAATATCTTTAATTGTGCAGTAGAGTACGTTATCATCAAACCCCTGGACGACAAATGCTTTCATAATATCGAAAATTGGACAGACAGGAACTGGCAGAATGCAGGGAAAACATTGAACATGGGACATCGGGGTTGTGGAAGCACTTTTGGATCAGCAAGGTAAATAAAAGCATATTAATATACGAGTTTGTTTGTCTGTCGAGTCTTTTTTGTACACGAAGCATTTTCTCGGAGAAATATCTTGGAGCATTTTACTGCAATGCAAGTCAGTGAGGTCACTCTTACAGTGACTTTCTAGCCCTGACCCGACCCGTTAAAATAGACGCAGGTGTAGTCATGGAATATGTAGAAGTTCCTTGTCAGGCTGATTAAACTTTAATTTCTTCTGCGAAGATCTGGTTTCCAAGAAAACACAATTGAATCATTTCTAAAGGCTTATGAAAAGGTACGAAAATCTATGATTGTGCATGATCGTCTCATCACTCGTCATCATGTACTGGGCCAGCGTACTCAAGAAAATAAATCCATCGAATCAACTCCTGAGACAATAATTTCAAATATAGGGTGCTGATGGTTTGGAACTGGATGTTCATGTAACCAAAGATCTCATACCTGTGATATACCATGATTTGTATCTTAATGCAGCTTTACAAACAAAGGCAGGTTGCATGTGCTGAAACTGGCGTGAATATTATTTCCACACACCTTTGCCATATTTTGTTTTAAGCCTTTTTGCCTTGAACTGCAAAACTTACTATAGATCTTGTTTACTATGATTTTTAGAATGAAAGTAGATGTTCGCAAGTGATACCAGTATGTGATTTGACATATCAAGAACTGCAGGATTTAAAGGTTATGACTATTTCTTTCAGCACGTATGTTCCTGTTCTCTATTTCCCAATGAACACATTCTGTTTGCAACCTGATTCATTGGTGTATAAACTCACGTGAAAACATTCAAAATACGTGTTACGTTTATGCCACAATGCAACGGGTTATTTTCAAGTCACTCTACGTCTTCCCCTTTTAAAATCTAGTTGCTGTATTATATATTTAACATTTCCTAGTTATTTAGGCTTTTTATGTAGTAAAATTGTTACAACAAACATATAATTATTTAGTGCTGTTAAATCCTAGTGTTCGCGATTGTAACTAGACGATATAGTAACTTTAATTCGATATTTCTTCTTCAGATTATACATTCAAGATCAGCTGGTTAGTCCTCTATCTTTTATAAATCAAGATAATAACCCCTTTATTGCAACATAAAAACATTTTACACTTATAACCCTTACTTCTTCTCTTTACAGAGTTTAATGATGAATTGCAACACCGTAATGGGCTACAGCAGAAGTTGTTTCCTACGCTTGAAGAGGTAGTAAATGATTTGTTGTATAAATAAGTATAACGATGAAACCCATTGAAGAGTTTTTCCTGCGAGATTTAAGTATATATATGACATGTGAATATCCAATACTCGTTATTTGTCACGCATATGATATTCCATTTGTGTAAAAGAAAGCTTATTATTAATAATTTTTCTGAATTTTTATTTTAGGTACTAACCAATCTGCCTGAAAACTTCCCATTCGAGCTTGAAGTAAAATATCTGGAAACCGAACAGGTATATAGCCATAATTTACATTATATTAACCGTCAAAAGCCCCGTGCAGATGGGCAAGTTTTCCTTGACAAGTTCACTTGTTGGTGTGTATGCCGAACAAGTTTTCCTTGACCAGTTCACTTGCTGGTGTGTATATGCCGAACAAGTTTTCCTTGACAAGTTTTATTTGCTCCTGTGTACGCGAAAAATTTTTCTTGACAAGTTTTACGATAATATATATGTCGAGCTATATTTTACGATAAATATGAGCCATGAGAAAATGAGTATACGACCGAATCTCAAAACAAACAAAAATGATAAAACTTCCAGACACCGCTCAATTGGCTGGAATATATTGTTGCGCTGTTCCCTACTGCGCAATTCCTTGTCAAGTTTTCCTTAACGGCCGTACACACGAGCATTTTGCCTTTTTGAAAACCTGGCATGACTAGCTTTTGAAAAAGGCTGTATGCTTGTCAAGGAAAACTTGTCAATTTTTTCGCGTACACAAAAAAAATGGCCAAACGTCAATTTCTGATGAAGTTAAAGTTGTGTATATTTTAGGGTCACGAGGATGCCCCATTTCTTGACATCAACCTTTATGTTGATACATTATTGAAATCTGTCTCGAAAAATATTGGAAATCGAAAAATAATCCTGATGTGCTTTTCACCTGTCATTGTTCAATTGTAAGTCGATCTTTCTAGAACTTATTAGTTTATGATAATAACTGTGTGAAGGCAACATACATGCATGCTGAAACAATAAAATTCTCTTACTTCCATTGCACGCATTGACGTGTAATTAAACACAACTTGCTGTGTCATTAAGTTCGCCTATTTGGTTAAACACAGGCACGATAGGCAGTTTAAAATTCAGTTGTATATAGATTATATTCAATATTTTTTTAAGTCTGAGAATCAACCCAGCCTTGTTTTATCGTAGGTTGAGTAGAAAACAAAAGAAGTTTCCTGTTAAGATTGGTGTTTGTGGGGAAACGGTTAAATATCCAGTGTATAAAGATATCAGGATTAGAACGATTGGCAGAGTTGTTGGTTTTGCCCAGTCTGAGAAGATCTTAGGTATATCTTGCTTATGTGATAATATCATTACTGAAAACAAAGGAGTTTTCGAAGAAATAAAGAAAAGAAATTTGGTTGTATCAACTTGGGGCGAAGATGATAATAAAAGCGAAATACGTGAATTACAACGGCAGATGGGTGTAGATGTTGTTTGTTTTGACAGGTCAGTTAACCAGTTTTAAAACTAACGTTACTTTCCTTTTCATAAAGAAAATACTTTATATTAACGTTCCTTCGATGAATGATAGAAAATTTAAATCAATCTGAATATAGCTATTTCTGAAATTCTCTTTTTTAGAATCGACGAAAGGGAACATCAACACTCGCAGCCTCGCACTGAGGGCGTGAGACTTTTTGAATAAATTGTTTTAATATGGCAATTAATTTATTGCATTAATATAATTTAAACGAAATCGAAGCGCTTGGTTCAAATCACTTCTATATACGCACTTGGTATCAGAATTGTTTTTTCTTTGCAAAGTGTGAAAAAATATACCCCGGAGGAACATTATCAACAAACCTTACAATTTTAGTAATAGACCTTTTCGGTAATTACGTCACAACATTTTAACATCACATAAATTTAGAACCACCTTAAATGATTAAGAGGAGATATTTTTCTATGTCGCGTAATATATGCTCAAAACCTCAGTTATATCTTCATGCACTAGCACTAAAATTTTCAGCATTAAAAATGTTTTGCAAACCTGAAAAGCATCCACAAAGTATGTTTACTGTATAATCTCAAAATATTGTGAAAATGAAAAGATTTCTCGGGATACGCCGAGAAGAAAATGACACTTGAATCGAAGCTTCTTTTGTATTCATTTCAGTTACAATGGCGTTGACATTATAACATTGTTGATAGCCGCCGCATTATATTTTGTAATAACTCCTTTGTTTGGTGTTTTGCATTCACCAAATACAGTTCAAAACTTAGTTCACAACATAATCTAAAGAATAACGGTAAAATAAATGGATTTTGAGTGGTACGCCGAAAAGATTTCAGGTTTTGAGCGTTTTCCCGCCAAAATACGCGACATAATAAAAAATCTCTTCTTAAATAATTGCCGAAAAGGTCTATTCTGGTAGTATGCCGATTTTTCTAGCAGTGGTGACTTATTAATGGTCACCTGATAAACTGAACCTTTGACGCTCAATTTCGGCAATCTATAAATACTAATTCATATGCATTCATGCACTGTATAGCTATATATGGCATAAGATGGCACCCTTCTCTTTCTGGGGCTAATTTCTCGCGTTCCACAGAACTTGTTGTGTTGTTATTTTCCCTGTATTAATAAACAAGTTTTTAGTAAATAAAAGAATAAGTCCTCTTGAGGTAGCGGAATACAAAAATAAGATGAGAAGCAGCCTAGTCCCAGGCCTTGTAAGCGCGCGCTGTTACAAGAACGCAAGGCGCCGTAAAGAGGACTAAGGACTAGTCTGAATGAGAAGGAGATGGCGCACAGCCTGGACACTTACCTTTGACTTTTGACAGGGTTGCAAGGAAGCCATGTTTAATGAGCTTCCTGAAGAAAGATGACCAACAAGGTTCTACATTAGAAAACAGTATAAATATTTGTTAAATACTTTTAAGCAACATTTTTGAGGCACAAAGATCTATGCTTTAGTATACGTTCCTAGTTTCACCTGAGCAAACGTTCTCAATCTCCTTGGTGAGTTTATGTCTTGCATTTGCATAAGACAGTTGAGGACATTGTCCACATCATTAGCTATAGGGGGAGACAACATATTTTTAGATTAGCAAACTATTAGGAAATACGAAAGACTGTCAAACGTCGATCTCAAATAGGATTTACCCGATGCTCTTCCAGTAATAAATGGATGACTTTTCAATTGTGCAATGGTGTACCTTTCCCTGGGATTTCTCCTCAGACATCCCTAAGGGCAATAGAAACAAATATCAACACTCAGGTCCCATTTGCACTACGCACAATTTTTGGTACGGCACCGAAAACATGGTACGAATGAAATTTTAAACTGCCAAATAGTAAAATTTCACCCGTACCAATTTTATGCGTTCACACTATGTTCAATTACAGTATTAGTACGGATAAAACTGAGAATGGTGAAATGTGGACAGCCTAAATATATACAACCTCGTACCCAAACGCAGAAAGTCTGTTGTTACGCGAAGTTTGATTGGCTCGATAGTTTTGTGGAGGCAATCAAATTTCGTGTAACGTCATACTTTCCGCGTTTGACGTCATTATAAGAAAGGTCTATTGTGCTTTATCATGAACTGTAAACTAAAATGTAAACTGCCTAATCTAATCCTGCCTGAATCATGTTCTAATTCCCACCCCCGTCTGTAACCTTGGAGGTGAATTAAAATCCACATAAAAATATATAATTGCAACGATGAAGCATGCATGCATGCGTGTGATTTTACAGATATTCACATGTTGCATACCTTCATTGAGTCAAGAAGATCCTGGTTTTCAATGGGAGGAAATTTAATTTCATAATTGGGATCTACGATACAGCTCCATTTCTGAAAGTTGTTCTTGATATGCTGAAATGGGGTCTTTCCATAAACCATGACATACAATATACATCCAAGTGACCAAACATCGCTTGGACGACCGATCTACGCATGAAAACAAACTAAATTGTTTTTCTCTGTTTTCAAATATCTTACAATGCATTTGAACACAAAAATGAATATTGCTGATGTATTTAGTCGTGGCCTGACCGCGCCTGCGTCGACACACACACACACAGATTAGCGTAACCAAAACGATAATTGGGGGGGGGGGAAATTCAGGTATCCAGTGCTGCTCGACGGATTTCTTTTGTAAGTGCGATATCTTACAATAGAAATCCCTCAGGCAGAACTTCATATATGAATATTCACCCCCCCCCCCAATTATCGTTCTAGTTACGCCCCTGTACAGACATACTATGTATGTTCTGCCCAAACCTGCGATCTGACTTTTTCTCCCTACTTAAAGTTGTTCAAATACAAAAATTCGTTGTAAGCGTTTAAAAATAACCTTCATCATCGGTTTACGTTTTTTCTGTGGAGATTGTGAGCTATCCTTCAAAGCTTCTGGTGACATGTAACTCAATGTGCCAATAGTTGAATCACGGTAGAAACTTGTCACATCGCTCTAAACCACATGTGGAAATAGAATGAAGATATTAGCAACGGGATTATAGTTGAAGAAGTCTCGACTCTGTGACCAGCGAATGAATACCTGAATTGCATTGGCTATTCCAAAATCAATCAATTTAAGATTCCACTCCACCAACAGGAAGTTTGCTGGCTTCAGATCGCTATGAATAATTCCTAGTTTATGTATCACATCAACAGCGTCTAGCATTTTCCTCCAACACATTTTTATAAAATCTATTGTTATTTTCTCGCGATTTTTCCTCAGGTAACCAGAAAGATCTGTGCTTCCACGTTCCAGAACTATCTTGATTACTTTATTTACTTTATCCATTTCCCTAAAAATGTTACCGTAAAACTTTAGTGCCAAAGTTCCAACTCTTGAACATAACTACAACGCAATATCGTTATATATCACAAAGAGAATTTTCCTCACCAGTCGTATAACTTGATAATACACTCATGTCCTTGCAACCTCTTTAGTAATGTAATTTCATTAACATAACTTTCAACTACGGATGAATCAGCGTTTTTTATATCCACATACTTCAAGGCATACAAGGTATGATCGGAATCGTGTACTGTGTATACCTTATACAAAATAGGAAACAAGACACTTGTTAATAATTCACACTTTAACCTAATTAGGACACTTATTCACTGTTTAAATCTGTACGACTTGTTATACAATACTAATAGTTATATATCCACGAAATTTACCCTCCTTACCTCACTAGATCCTCCTCTTCCGATCATGTTTAATTTGCGGTAGATTTTGCCATTAACAACAATGTTTTGGATTGCTGAAATGCAGATTGGAAAGCCGTTAATAAACTGTTGTTGTGGGTTGCCAGATTTTGAAATATTCGATGTCAGAGAAATAGATGTTAACTTGTTCTGATCATTACCCGACGATGTATTTGACGATATAACTTCAGGAAAAGTGCCAGGTTGGTTTAAGATGCTTTCAGTTGTTAAGCTAGTGTCTTGTGAGTTTATGTGACCGTTCTTCTTCTGCAATTGATACGATTTTGAAATGGGTCGCATGCTTTCATTCGTATTTTGAGTTTGAGGGCCGTTTGGCATGACATTTTCTTTCCCCGTCGCTGGTGTGGAGGTGAAGAACTGGTTAAATTCAGAGATTTTACTATGGGAAAGATTATGGTCTGATTCATTTGCATTACCATGAGATGCTACTGCACGAGACGCCTCTGCACCCTGATTAGTTTCCCTCTCAAAATCCCGGGTCAAATTCTGCATAAAAGAGTTCTTTGGATGACATTGACTACTTCCATGATCATTAGACTCTGGATTGTTTGGAGTGTTTTTAACTGAATCAAGACGACGTTTTGATTGACATTGTTTAAAATCAAGAAATTTAGCATTTTTGCTTGTTTGCGTTGATGTCTTGTTCGAAACTATTTGCATCAAATTAGCTTCAATATGTCGGTCCAGTTGCACTGATCCAGAAATCAGGTTTGTTGTCTGCTTTCCAACATATTTATTAGACGTGCTTGAACTTGTTGCACCATCAAAATCATCACCTAACCCAGCACCGCTCTTGCTTTCATTTGTAAGTGACACTATGGCAGTACCTGGTGAAATGTTTCGGTCAGATTTCGTGTATTTCGCCTTATTATCGCAGAGATGCTGCTGCTGGTTCGAAGGAGGCAATTGAGAGGACATTTCTTTAGGGAAAGCAGTCCAGCTAGGTTTTGGTCGCTCAGTCACTCCATTCTGTATCACGTCTGGGACGTTATCATCACTGCTCACATCGTTTTCTTGCGGAAAAGCAAAAACACCATCAATTGAATCGCTTTCTTCTGTTTTCACAAGTGAATTGAGTTTACTATCATTTGTCGTAACTCTTGGAACACGCTGTGGCAGGCCAATAGCAACTGAACGTTTTGCTCTTCTATTCTTAACTAACGAACCTTTCCCTATGTTGCCTGAAATTGGTAGGAGGAAAATTTTGAATAAATATAAGATTTAATAATATTTAACTAATTAAACCATGCATATTTAATTACTTCACTATATTTACGTTCACATATGTTATTTCATCATCATTTTTCTCTTGATGATGATTATAGAGAGTTTTGGGAAACCTAGTATAATTAATGTTTATACGTTTTACGTGTGTGAGTTGTTCTATATTTATCAAGACAGGTTGATTAACTTATAAGTTATAATGAGTTAGCAGTATCAAATTTCATAATTTTTTTCTACGAAAATTATACACTCACTGTTGGGTTTAGTTGCCGCAATCTGGGTCGAATTTTTGTTGCGTGGAGTGGCGAAATTCATCACACCCGTTTTACTTCCAATATTTAGCAAAGATTTCTTTAACAGAGCAACATCAATATCTTCACTAGATTCACTACCAGCTGACAAACGATCATTGTTTTTTGTGCCACTGAACTTGGGAAAAGAAGATTCTTTTTTGCTCTCTTTTCTCTGTGCAGCATTGGGAAGGTTTCTGGTAATCGAGTATTTTAATTCTGATACTTTATTTTCCTCTTCATTGCTTCTTTGGGTTGATGTTACCTGAAGCAGTGTTTCACCACCTGATGTGAGTTTATCAGAAATATTCTCCTTATTCAATGCCACCTTTTTTGGATTTTGCAGCAACACAGGTTGAGCCTCAGTTATGGAGGGCAAGTGTGTTGATCTGGATATTTTCTTTACAAAAATAACTTCATCACTATCTTCAGAAGATTCAGTTAAGTTGACATTCTCAGGTGACAAGGCACCAGGTGAGGACAAAGTACTTTCAATTGATGAATCAGATGTCCGCTTCTGCATTTTAATAAAATCAGGGAGTTCTTCTGTTTTGCTAAAATTTTTGTTGATAAGTTCAGTAAATGTATATTCTTCAGTCTCATCATCAATCAACTGATCATTTCCATTTTCAAAGTTCTCCATTGCCATGTCCAGAAGATATCCAGGTTCTGCACAAAATTGTTTCCCTTTATTCAAAACCTTTTTGCATTTCTTAGGATTATCTGTCAAATTCAGAATTTCATCAATTAATGTTATTTTGTAATAATCACAATTTATTAAAAAGAATAACATACTGAATAACAAGCAATTGGGTCACTTACTTTTAAGCAATTCAAATTGTGCCCATGCAACATAAATAAGCGAACAATATTTCACATTGTTTCTGGCTGCCTGAAATATTGTCCTGGCATCATCCTCTGATGTTTGCCTGATGATAGAAAAAATGAAATTTCTTTAATTAAATCAATAGCTATCGTTGGATTTATATATCTTTATTTATCTATCAAGGGTCTTATGTCTTAACTTGTTAACACGATCATGTAAATTGAACTATTTAATAAATTACTTCATGAACCATTGCTTAGAACAATGCGAATATTAAAGAACCCAACTTACGCCTGTAGTTTCGCAAAATCCACCATTATTTTAGCGTATGCATGATTGTTATGAGCAAATTCGTTAGCTGGAATTGAATCCACGGCCCTTCTGTACAATTGCATACAATACTTGTATTTATTTGGTCCAGTATACGTTTTTCGTTCATTTGTGATAAATTGCAGCCAATCTTTTGGTGTTTTTCTTGCGATATGACCAACATCCATTATAAGTTTTCCACTCGTCAATGTCTGAATGTTTTGAGAAATTCAGGGTAAAGAATATTCGGCTTATTTTGAAATATTCGGCCTTAAAGAGAAAGTTTCACAAAACTTACTTTTTGTAGGGCATATCAGCTTCGATTATTCAACTGCCAAACGGGATTATATAAGTTAAAATCGATCATAAAAATGATGGAACATAACGCCCGTTGTCCGAAAAAATTTCAATTTTGCCGCCTTTAGAGCCCGCTGGCACAACTTGGGAATAAGATGCGGGTTTACTTCATGTAAGGAATTGTAATTGGCTGGTTTGTTCACACCGCCGACGCCCTAGGGACTCATTAGACTTTGAGGAAAAAGATGTGTAAATTTCAATAAAATATGATTAGGTTATACGTCGCATTTTGTTTGCGTCGAATGCACAATAGATAATAAGGTGGCAAAAAATGATCACTTCAGTACGAAGTTCGGCCTTCGGACCGTAAAATCCCTATCAAGCGTATCCTTAAAATAAAAGCATCAAAAAAGCAATGTCTGTTTTATGTAGTTTAATTCATTAAACTGTGCACAATATTTTTGTAATTATTTTTGTAGCTCCCCCCTCCGTTACTTGACACCATAACACCCCCCTTGTTACGCTAATGTCCAGCGTTAGCTGATTAATAACCTTTGTGGTAAAATGCTACCAGGTAAGGTCTTTCGCTATAGATTGGGCTGATTTTACCTGTTTCATAATCAACAAAGGTTGTCCCACTCCTACCAAACTGTAAACTTTCAAATTCTTAAATCGACGGTTTCAAAAATTATTAAAGACATAACTGACTGATTTTGAAAAATAAAATCGAAATACCACAGGTCACAACTCATTCCATATTCGCCGGAAAATGGCAAATACGACGATGGTCGTATTCGCCGGAAAATGGCAAATACGACCATGGTCATATTCGCCGGAAAATGGCTAATACGACCATGGTCATATTCGCCGGAAAATGGCAAATACGACCATGGTCATATTCGCCGGAAAATGGCAAATACGACCATGGTCATATTCGCCGGAAAATGGCAAATACGACCATGGTCATATTCGCCGGAAAATGGCAAATACGACCATGGTCATATTCGCCGGAAAATGGCAAATACGACCATGGTCGAATTGGCCGGAAAATGGCGAATACGACCATGGTCGAATTGGCCGGAAAATGGCAGTCCAACACGACTAACACGACTCGTATCTTTCATGTAATCTTTGGATCAACATTACCTGTTGGATCAGTTTGGGCCCATTTAATATTTATATTACATATTGATGAGTTGACATACTAATTTTATTATTCACTAAATTATGGAACAGTTTTGAAAGTGTTCTTCTGTTCCCTGTTTATATACATTTTCCCCTCTTGTCGAGATCTGGTCTAACATCCTCTTGTTTACGGGAGAAATTAACGAATATAATTTCTCTTTGTCTTTGATTCTTATAGAAACCCCGTTTGCAAAACATGAGGATAAAACTAAGATTAAACCAATGCGGCGGATAGCGCCGAAATAGGAAGAATAATCAACTGCACACCATGATATTATTTCTAACTTAAAATCAATAAATAGTTGTAAATAGATAGATATATAATTATATACACTAGAACTATCTTGAAGGACTGTGATTGGACCGCGATGGTGTAGTAGGTGAACTGTGAGTGCTTTGTACTCGTCCTTCATCACTCACTGAGATTTCTTGATCGCTAAACAAGGGGTTTACGACGGTCATATCTCCAGTCTAAAAGAAAAAGGTATACGTATATATGAAACGCTATTAAGATAGTATCGTAATGCATGGATTCTCCGTAGAAGATCTGCATGTAATCCAAAGAAACGCTTTGGTTTTAGTTCTGCACGGCAAAGCTATACAACCGCAAGGAAATGCTACAAGGAAATTGGTGAATTTTCATGTGCAGAAATTTGAACAAAAAAATCACGTGAAGTGTAAATGCAGTATCATAGATATATATACTAAAAACATTTACTGAAAGCGTTTAGCCTTCAACCATTTGGATAATAAATACCTACCGGAGCCAAGCCTGGACATTCATATACCGTGTAGTCTTCTGCTTCATCTTCATCATCATCGTCGTCATTACTCACAGCACCTGAGCTGAGATGATCACTTTTTGCCCTAACGAACAGAAGTTCTGATTAGAAAATTTATGCGCAATTATCACCTAACTTTTCGCATGCGATTGTGCAGAAAAAAACCCCAAAAACGTTATAAACAGAAAACTTTACCTTTCCATCGCAGCAATTTGATTTTTTGTGTGGACATAATGGTACATCTCAGCTTTGTAATCCAATTTTCGATCACCGTTCTGAAAAACCTCATATAGTTGTAACATATGGGATATAAAGAGCGATTATAGGTGCTCTCATAAGTTACAGTACTTTTGCTAGCACTAAAGAGCTGATACCCCGGAGGTATTAACTCACCTGAGGTGTACTTTTAGTACTATTCTGTTTCTTAACCCCTGGAATATAATCGCTCTTGTTCACTTTATCATCGCTATAGTGGAGCCTACAGTAAGGATTTCACAGAGTAAGTAATGCAGAACTGAGCCGTATAACAAAGAGTAATGCAGGTTCCATTAAGAAAACTCATCCAAAGACCGGAAAATTAACTTTGTGTTAGAGCCATTAGTTCTGGTCGAGAAATCCCAAGCGGGAATATGGCGGGAATACTTTACTCGCTTCGTCGGGAAAGTCGCGAAGCTCGCAAATCACAATTAAGACGTCTTAGAAAAGAGCCCTAGAGATATACGAGCACTTTTCTCATAAAAAAGTGTATATCTAGATAGCTACTTACTTATACCAGCAGTATCCTGATAACGCTATTCCCGCCACACCAGAGAGAGTACACGCAATGATGATAACTAAATAGGGGCAAAATGGACAATCTGTAAGGAAGTCATCCCAAGCCATTGCTACTGCACAAGCCGTAAACATCCGCTGTGAGAGCACAAGTAATGAGGGACAAGCAAACAATTGTACAATTTAACTATCAGTTGCTAGGCATACAAACCATCATTTAAAAACTTTAACACTTCACGTAACCCTCGTCGCAAATTAAACGGGCGACATATCGGATATACTGTATATTTCACGTATCAAGTTGGGGGACGTTTTTAAGTGGGGAAATACGGAATTAGGAAAAATGGAATCTAAAAATTTCATTCAATTTAATTACACAATACAGCTGTAGACATAAAAAGAAAGGTTAGTGAGATACATAAATTATTAAGTAATTTAAAATTTTAATTAAAGTTATACACAGTATTGCATGACAGATACCCGAATTAGACACAGTATTGCAGGATATAGATCCGCAAATCCTGCTAGCACGATGTCAATAGACTCTGTTCACTCGACACTCGCATAAGCAATAACATTGTAACACGAACTGAAGCTTATTTTAAAAAAAGGAATGCTAATCGTTGAAGTTTGCAACAGTGGAACGAAGCTCTAACTCCTTTAAAACTGATGATCAGATCACACAGAAATGATTTAGATCATCATGCACATGGTATCAAATAATCATGTTGGTACGCAACTTCAAAGTTTAGCTGTTATCTCTAGATCATAAAATCAGCATGGGCACCTCCTCCCCTGTCTTTCAACAGCAGCGGCAAGACGGCAAAGATGCCCTGTCTTAAAAATATTACATTCCGCATCTTAAGAAGTGCAACAAACAATCTTGAAATCTCAAGAATAGCACAATCGTCTGAAAAACCCCCAGACACCGATATCTTCTGTTCATGCTTCTGATAAGTTCAACACACGATGTTTTGCAAACATTCGTTTTGCAAACATTCGTTTTGCAAACATTCTCTAGTATGCACTGCCACAGCAGTGCCTTTTCACGAAAATCTGCCCCCCCTTTGCCCTTGCATCCTTCCAGTGTCTCCGGGAAGTTCTTAGCTGTAATAGGTCACAAAAACACCATCTAGTACTATTTCTGTGAAAACATTTCAAATTTACTGAGTGAACCTCCAGTTGGGCTGAAGTATGCAGACACATGATTTGCCTAGTTTGCTTCTTGTTGCTCATCTATCAATTTGTAGATAAATATCTTAACAGTTTCCTAACATTCTTTAAAACACAAAATACTTACTCAAAAAGTAAACATCAGGAATATCATCACTGTCATTGTCGCCTTTGACTGGATCTTCCTTACTTAAAGTATCTGCTGTTTCTTGGTTGTTAATATTTTCATTCTCTAAACGTTTCTCTCTGGGTTTTGTTGGTTGGGTCACATCAAAGTTACTTTTTGGCAAAGCACCTGAACTAGTATGTTGCTTATCGGGTATATTTGTTGATTTAATATCACTACGTTTGACATCTTCATTTCCTAATTGTTGTAATAGTTGCTGTCTAACATCCTCCAAATTTCTTTTACATTCAGGATCAACAAGTGGATCACAACTCTCTAGTCTTTCTATTATATCATTCTTTGCATAATTTGGATCTAAAATTTTAAATAAGAAACAGAACAGGAATTACAATTACACCATAGATTGTCATTGCTGCCAAGGAAGATAAACTAAAATTTCTCACTTCTAACTGTAAAAAACAGATTCAAAATGGATAAGCTAAACTAAGACTACCTGCCTGCCCGAAATCAGTAAGTGTATATAATAACCCTTTTAGTCAGGTTCAAACTAGAATTCATTTTAACCTATCCTAAAAATATTCCCTGTGGGATATAATAAACACCATAACTGAGAGAGCAACTGATGTTTGGTAATGCAATAAACAACCAATACAAGCATTGCTTCACACATAAAAAATGCTTGCATGTCATTAAAGTTAATTCACATTTTATCCTTGACCACTATTTTGATGAAGGGCCCAGCAATTACATTTGATTGACAGTCGGGAAAGCTGAACAAGGCGACAGGCATTCATCTTTCACACTACTTAAAAACATTAGCAGTGAACATAAAGAAGCCTGAGACAAAGATCTTTGTTTCCAACAAAGGGTAACAAAGACTGTCTATATACAGATATTTCTGTATTCATCTTGATCACAATAGACATAAAGTTACATAAGGCTCAGGCTTTATATGGCAATGACAAATACTGCGGTCAGTTAGGACGTTTTTACTGATTTTATCACGAAAGTATCTGATAAATGACTAAATACGCCAGCAAAACCAATATTTTTATTCTTTTCAAGAAAGAATGAGGCCTATTGATCTACAGCTTAAAACTTTCACAAACGCCTCCACATCGCACCCCCGATGTTTGGCAGATCACGCAGATTACGGGATTGTTTCAGTTTAAACAAAATCTTTTACTGCGATACAAAAACACGCTATTTATACAGCATTGTTCATAAATTACAATCGATAGTTTTAATAAAAAGCATTGGAGAGAAACTATTTTCAATTAAAAGAATAATTGTAATTCTTCCAAATTTTTAATATATTCGTGATCAAGGATCTAGCAAATACTTCAGCCGTATGCAAAACACTGCATTGTCAAATTTAATCAGAGCTGCAGCTGCAAATACAATTTTTTTATCTCTTCAGAGAATTCAGTCAAAAGCCCGTTGCTGTTCTATCCTAACATTATCGACATGATAAATGAAGTAATTTTGACAATATCCTGTAGAAAACGGACAACTCCTACGCTAAATAAATACAAGATACCGTCTTTGAGAAAATAATTAAATACACACGAACTAAGCCAAGCGTATGCCATTATGTAAATTTAAGCCGTTTTCTGCAGCGGATATTTAGGTAAAGGGAAGTTTATCTTGCATTATTTATCACCAAAATCCGCCTATTTATAATCAAAATCGTCATATATCTTCTTCAAAAGTTCTGCTAGTAATATTTTAACGCACACCTTATATAGTTGGAACATTACAATTCTCGTAGAATTTCTAAAACTAGGGAGTAAACCACTAAAACCAGGGCAGTTGTGTTCTAATGTTGTCAATTTTTCTATTCACACACATTTATATCCAAACTACCCTGCTCAATGAAGTACAATATTTCAACATTGAAACATAACCTTTATATATTCGATATTAGTAAACCTACTGTAACATTCGCCGTGAATTTCAAGAAAACACGCTCCACATTGTTCATTCACACACGTCCGCCAAACGGCCTCACATTCGGCTTTCTTCGATTGGGAACAAGTATGTTCTAATGAAATACCGAAAGCGACTAGTTTAGATGCTATTTGAGACAGTAATAAACCTGAGTTTTCTTATCATACCTCCTTCTCCTTGAATTTGTAAAAATAGAGTCAAAATCCACACTAAAAATATGTCATATATCGAGAACATATCAGCGAACCATTTCTCGTCATCATCGAAACTTCGAGATAGGGTCATAGGGATTTGTTTCTCCGGAGTCTGCGTGATATTCCACGCGAGGTTCCACGCGAGTTACCAAGCGAGTGTGGGCGAATTCCCCTAGAAACCATGTTTCTCTGATACAGTTTCTACAGTCAAGCCTCAAAAAGCCCTCAATATATATCATTTATATCCGCTTACCACGCTAAAAATGGCAAACAAGGAAGCGAAGCTATTGGGACAAACGCCAGTCAAAAACAAAATTAGGAATGGACTAAGGCATGCCTCGTTTCCATATTTGCCCCACTGACCTATAGTAGTCTAATATAGGTGGTTCGCCTGGTCGAAACAAGAAAGACGCGAACATGAATATATTCACATATTTTCTGCATGTGCCAATTTCTTTCTTATTTTATTACGAACCCAATAAGTGGAATAACAAGTCATTTCTTATTAAACCCTGTTGTGGGCGAAAGATAAGGAAGTACTTGAGACGGGCTGGGACGAGGCCATAGGGTGAAACGGAAGGGTAATTATTTTTCCACCTTTTTGTAGTGTCATACAGCCACATATAAACATGAGAAAGGATGGTACAAAAGTACTAATATACATATACCTTGGTATATGCTGAATCATGTACAAAACAAGTAATTTTAGGAATGGTATATTACAATATCATAGTCAACACTGCATTAAATCACCACACTTCAATATCTAAAAACCTGATAAATAGAGAGTCCAGCTCATAGTATAATTGCTAAAATCTAAAATCATACACTACATTTATCAAATCGAAAATCACACAGAACACACAATATTAGGACTTAGGTTGCTTAACGTAACTGTAGCCCCGTTTTCACTACACACAGTTTTACATACAGTCACGGCATTACAATGAACTGAGGCTATTGTAAACGGGCCTTTTATGTGTAGAGATACTGAAAAAGAGTACGTTAGAGCTCGTCACTACATGGCTCAGATTTAACCGAAGTACGAATCAGCATTGACCAATAAACACAGTGATTCGACTCCCGCGGAAATAATAGATATTCAAACTGATATAACGATATTGATTGATTGATGAACTCATAACAACCAAAACTAAATACAACTGATCACTTACGAATGATTATGTTTCAGCCTTAGCATTAAGAACTATTAAACTATTGTATGTCGTTTATTTAAATTTTAATGAGTGCAATAGGTGTCTGAATATATCTGTCAAGGGTGGCAATTCAATTCCGTGGATTGGCGGGAAAAATTCGGCAACCCACACACGCTTTTGATGGTGATCAATTGTCCGCCCTTGTCAGTTCCCAGTCAGTAATTTATAATAAAGCATAATATGTTAACGACAATGAAAATTTTAAGGCCTTTACAGACACTAAAGAGTCCATAAAATAGTGGAAAAATTAGAAACCCCCTCTTGTGAATATGACATGACTTTGAACGGACTTGTAATATACAAGTTTTTCAGTGTTGGATTAAAATGATTAGTTATCAATGTAGATGGTTACCAGATTAGAAATTCCCAGAAGAAAATAAAAATTATTGCTTGTTTTTAATGCGGACGATTTCCAATACTACTTGATTCTGATCGTTTTCTTGGACGAACTCTTTTGCTGTTTTCTCCAACCTGTCCAATCTTTCTATCATTATCATCCCCTTTCAAAATATCAGTGATATGTCTGATAATTACTTCCATTGCCACTAAAAAGAAAGATTGAGAAATTCGATCTTAGTCAATGCCCACCTAACCAAGAAGTATAGTCAGGTACAGTAAGGATTAGAGATTGAGAGGTCTTGTTAAAGACAAGTTTAGATATAGTTTGTTTTGCTATGATAAAGACCAGTTCAGACTGGACAGCTTGCATAATGTATATATAGTGTAATAATTATCAACAACAAGACAAGTCAAAGTGCCTGAATCACCAAAACCAACATGGAAAACTGCCAAGAATTGCATAAAAAAAAGTGGATGGCAGCTGCTGGAAAGATATAATTTGTGATCTTGACCAATATTTGTAATACCTTCGTTATCTGATCCTCTGGGAATAATGACATCTGCATACTTCTTTGTCTGCAGAAACAAAGATTGAAATGAGGAAGTGAGCACCTCAACATATTTATATAATTATATTTAAATATTCATTTTTCTGTTTTATTTTGTAGCTAATATGTGAAATTTAATTTTGCATATGTCAAATGTTGCTACATACTGGTAGGCAGAATTCTTCAAATGCTGGCTTCACTAGTTCTGTATACGTATTCAAAACTGTATCAAGATCTCTACCATGTTCCTCAGTGTCTTTTAAAACTACAAAAATATGAACAATATTCCAACTATTTTTGCAAAGCACCTTGCAGATGATTTCTCCATGATGGTTGGGTTGGGTTTTCTAATTGCCAAACACAACACCAGCCAAGTGGTTTGTGGCTGGCATATAAATCATTAAGAAAAACGCTTGCTTCTATAGTATAGTAATAAACATAATTCAAAAGATTGTACCTCTTCTTGCTAGTCTGGTATCAGAATCACAATCAACAAAGAGTTTCATATCAAGTAAATCTCGAATTTCTTTGTTATATAAAACTAAAATGCCTTCAAATAGAATAACTTTTGGCGGGTGTGTTGTCACAAATTGTGGTTTCCTGGAAAAAAGAAAGTGTATTGATTCTCCTTCACACAAGGAACATTAGATAGAATATATATTATCATCCTTCTCATAATGATAGTTTTAGCTATTCTACTTCTAAATCTATTGTGACAGAATCTAAATCTTAGGTCTTCAATATATAATAACATGTTTACACAAACCTGGAATATGTTTTTGGATCATAAACAGGAGTTTCAACTGTCTGTCCACTTTTTAGCTTAGCTAAAGTGGTCTTGATAAGTTCATCATCAAATGCCTCTAGCAAGTGTCAGAATTGAAGTTGAAAAAAGATTAAATTATCCAGAGACCCTTACATAATTATATTTTCACACAAGTATTTTATTTACTTTAGTAATCAACTATATTATTACGTCCTGACAAGTACTCAGTACATATAGATTTTGATATATTTCACTCTTAAAAACCAACCTGGGTGATCATAATTTAACTCCACATCTTCATCATCCTTATTTGACAGATTTTCATCAACTTTATAGAAATCACTTTGGCACAATATTAAGATGTCACGGATCCTTGATGCAGATTTCTCATCTTGTCCAAGTTTTTTCAAAATTTGTTTACATACAGATGTCTATAAAGTATCATGTTTAATAACTCAAATATGAACTGGTGAGCAATTTCCAGATGGGTTTAGTGCCAAATTTAATATTTTGTAAATAGGTTGGAATCCAGAACTGATATCCAGCATCCAACACCTACTGTGAATATTGTGAAAATTCTAAAAACTTGAAATTTTTGACTATTTCACAATAAAGTTCTGAGGGATACAAGTTAAGACTGGTCTTAAACATAAAGAAATACATACTGTAAGTACGCATAGGAATTGACTAAAAATGTATGATTCATCATTTCAATGAATGTACATACAATTTATGTACAGTATAACATTGATATTTCTATATTATTCTTGCATAATAGTTAAGATATTTGCAACAGAATTTTTATAAACTAATAAAACGAAACTGCACATGGAATATTCAGAGTAAAATAACGAAAAATCACCTTTCCAGAAGCAGAACCGCCTGCAACTCCAATAATAAACGGTATTCTTGGCTTAGCTTCTTCCTCCATTAGAAAAAAACACAAATTCGGTCGTCAAATGTACCAGAAGCGGCACAGATTTACAACCATACTGCAAGATACGTAATTGCCAAACAAACGAACTGTAATCATACCAACTCAGTATTGTTGTTTCGTCTTTTCAGGGGGGTGGATTTATAAAATCAAAACACTAGGATATTTAGGTAAAAACTGACAAACCTGTAGTAAAACGCTTATCTCAATGAAAAATGATAAAAGACCGTTCTTTTCGAACGGAATATTTCTGATTTATATCTAATTTCATACTACACAGGTGGTACAGCAAAAATAAAGCTTGCAGCAAATGTGTCGCAATAATTGTGGCAATACTATTTCCCCCCCGACTAGTAATGTTGTTCGCAGGCGCATACTGCCCTGAGACGTTTGTAGATATTTTTAGTTGTCTGGCTGTCTGGCGAGATCTTGCAAGCTTTTCAAAGTTTCTAAGCTTCGTGTTTGATAAAAGAATTTATGAAATAAGGTGCAAGAATCATTGCTTTCATGCATAGGTGTTAATTATTCAAGAAATCTATGAAATTTTTAAAAAACTGCAAAAGCCTGTTGCTATAGCGACAGCTATCAAGTTAAATGTGATTGTATTTTGTTCGCAAAATAATTGTTGAATTATGCCTTCTGCGGTGAGTTTGCACATTTTAATTCTCCTAAGTTTTTGAGTGACAAAGAATTTATGTTATAATTTCTGCTTCTGTAGGTCAATGATAGCAAGAAACCTTGTGTGTTACTCTGGTGAATATTCTACACAACTTTTAATAGCATATCTGCATATGAAGAGCTATTAAATTTTATAGCACTTCTTGCAACTTGTAAACACAAAAGTGTTGTCAAGATAATAGAAATGTTTGGCAATCTAAAATTTTTCAGTCATTTGCCAAATTTATATAGTCTTGTATTAGTTACATAAACATTGATCATCCTGCATCCACAATCTTTCTTCTGGATTAAATATGAAATGGAATGATAAATGTTCAGCTGGCTTTAATTGCTGTAAAATTTTCATCCTGCATCCACAATCTTTCTTCTGGATTAAATATGAAATGGAATGATAAATGTTCAGCTAGCTTTAATTGCTGTAAAAATTGGTTTCAAATTTTACAATTGTACTCTAAATATGCACCAATATGTACATATTGGACTTGTCTGCCTTTGCATTCAAGTCATATGCATTTTTTATCCTTAGACAATACCAATATTTTGCTGTTTTATGCCTCTTTACTACAGATTAATATCTGCATGATTGTAATAAAATCCAATTACATTTACTATTGAAGGCATGATCTTGATGTTCATCATTTGCATACCCTGAAGGAAAGTACAGACAAATTAGGGTGAGTCAAATATTGTAAACAAAAAAAACTAAATACTTTTAAAGACTGCAATAGTAAAAACAATTAATCACTATAATTGCTTTATAAAATATGAAAGGCATAATTCTCACAGTAATACTACTGCTAGTGTGGTTTTATTACAATATCATTAATTGTCCTTTATATAATCATTTGTAGGACCTTGGCAGAGATATTCTGTTTAAAAAGTTATAAAGATGACTTAAAGTCAGCCATATTGCTTGATTTATATTTTTACACTCTTCAATATCCTTTAGAATATGCTAATTTATATTAAAGGAGTTGGATAATATTTATAGTCAGCCATATCCTAGCTTATAAGCTAGAGGATGAACATGTATTGAATTTGAAGTGTATTTATAACTGTTATTCCTATGAACTGGCTGGCTTTACCAACTAGAATTGGTCCCTTCATATTACTAAAGTTTAAATGATACATACCATACAAGCTTTTCTTAACAAGTTCCTATGTTTGCGGAAAAGAAAGGTTTTAGTGATGAACAGACTTCAGGATTCCTCTCCATCATCAAAAGTGTGCATGAGAAAGCAGTAGGTTGGTATGCAGATATTTGGGACAAAATGAGTGTATACATGTTCACTTACATCTTTGGTAACATATTATGATACACATTCATCCTCATAAATTCTGTTTAGATACTCCATATGGCAATGTGGATGATACTTATCAATATTTCAAAGAATTGTTGCTTTGCCACAGTGTTAAGGTGACTAACTTGATATCTAACTTGGCAACAACCTTCATGTGCATTAAAAACATGAAGATATGGACTTAATTTTTACACCTCACAGTAAAGACTCAATAGAACAATTTTTATATATCAAGATCAAGTATAGAAGCACTTTTGTCTCTCTCAACTTTGTATACAGCCTGTCTATTGTCTGAATTGAGTCCTGCCACACCCAGGGTACGGCATTTTCCAAATCAGATGTTATAACAAAAGATATATATGCCATAGCGTTCTTCGGATAGCGATCACATTTAGGTTTATTCTGTTGCCTTTCGTATTAATACTCGATGTGAGACCACGTTGGTTCAGAGCGCCGAGGAGGCGGGTCGGACAGATAGAATTTCTTCTTCGATCTCTTCGCGTTTCCCTTCTTTTCGCAAAGGAAACATTGTCTACGTCGTAGCGGTTAAAAAATGTTTTCTTTGCATGGGTTCAGATTTTACCGTACAGAAGCCATGCAGGGAATAAAAAGAACAATATAAAAAGCTGCAAATATAATACAAATTTATCATAATGAAAAGCAATGTTTTGTGGTGTTGTATGCCTCATTGTAGACGACCTCACTTAGCGTCAATTCTAAATAGCCTCAATTCTATAATCGGTCAGACTACGATTTTTTGTGACTTACCAGTGTCTTTAAGAATAAGAACAGTTATAACGAAAGTTGTTCATCAATTCAGGTAGCTATCAATTCAGATTGCTTTAGTTAGGTTACAGTTGAATCACCTGAAACGTTTTCCTGTACATAGTAAAGGTCCGTTAATCAAATTCCGTTTAATCATATCCCATTACCAAACAAAAGTGCCCAAATATTTGGGATATTCTTACTGATGGACCATGGTAGGTAAACACTGACACCCTCGGTCGCACGTATTGTCAAAATTAATGGTGTTTCACTCAATATCTCGGCCAACATGCTTGTTTTCCTCCTCTTGTTAAATCGATCTCTGAAATTTTTAAATATTTTTACAGAGACCACCATTCAGTATCCAACTCTTCACCGCTGATCAAGTTCAGATGATCACTGATTACACAGTAAACACGTATGTAACATACTTTAGTCAAGTTATGATATTTTCAATTTGAAATACATATTATGTTAAGATAAAGCGGCAGAGTTTGGTTTTCACTGGATTTAGCAATTATATTGATTTTCTCTCTCTAGATATTTTAAGCATTTTAAATTGTATAAATACGCGTTTACGCCCAAGGTATGTACAGATTATCAAGTTCCTGTTTAAATTCTCTTCACTTTGCAGATATTTTTCACTTGAGAACTATGACAACTCTAACAATGTACTTGAAGGTCAGCTCCTCAAAATGAAGAGAATCAGGGATTGGGGCTGGTGTTTTAAAATCACTGTTTTATTAAGAGCAAATCATATTTTGTATATTTTGTACGAAAAATTTTGCAGCGCAGCAATGGCCTCGTGCTCAGGCGCTCACACCTTCCATAAATTACTTTCCACATTCCTTTATAGGTGAGGCTTGATTTGACGTTTGAATACATGAACATGCCAGAAACTCCGGTACCAAAGGGTAAGACAGAACACTACACTACGCCAGGGGTCGGCGGGTTGTTGGATAGCTAGATAGCGCTATTCACCAAAAAGTGTTTTTTTAATCGCTTTTTTAAAATTGCCCATTTTTCGCTATAACCTTAAGGCTTAATTTAACCTTGGTATTTTTGAATTGGGGATTCTCTTAACTCATTGGGGTTAGCTTAATCCCTTGTCCCTTGCCATTTTAGAAGACGAGGAAGAAGACAAAATTGAAGAAAAGGTCAGTTGTTTTTTATTCTAAATCGACATTTAAAAGTGTTGCTTGCAAACTGCCAATTTATATTTTCCCATATCATCCAAGACCAAGTGCTAAAATTTCCCCCCAGAATTCGGCAATTGTTGGGACTGCTCGCAATTTTCCCCGCATACATGAATTGTAAATACTTATCTTCCATGTCTACAGCATGAAGATGTTGAAGATGAACTAAATCAAACTGCAGAAAACCAAAGTACTGAAGAAGGTAAGAAAAAAACCCTAAAATTACACGGTCAGTTCATACGGGTTCTGAGAAATCTTTGACTGCTGGTAGTAATGTTTTTTATTTGAATTGCTCTAGTATTGGCGGCCTGTGCTGTGCAGCTATTTCTATCGGCTCATTTCTTTCGTTTCAGACTCTCCAGCGGTGAAAGAACTGAAAAATTACATCAGTGCCACCTTAACAGAACAAGTTAACCAGGTACAATTCCCCCGTAGAAAATAATCCCCCGTAGAAAATAATTAAGTCAAATCATATTCTTTCGGTCAAATCGATCGGTCCCTAATTCATTATCGTTATCCACGACATATTTTCTAGCTACGATTAAACGTTGATGAGCAGATTAAAGCCAGCAATGAAACTCTGTCACAGAAACTGGGTTTTTCTTTTGGAGGAGAAAAAGAAGTTACGAAGAGTCCGAAAATGAACAAGAAAAAAGGAAAATGACAGTTTAACGTATTTTTATTTATTAAGAACATATGCATTATATTACAAAATTTTAATTACCCATATTCCGTACTTTGATAATTGGTCGCATTTTCGCAATATCATTAACATATTAATATAAATTGTAAATTTATTTCCATCCCATTGCCATATTATAGCAAGCCATTTAGTTCAAGGCAACGAGGATTACAATTAGAGAGAAATCAATTTTTGCCAGGATCCAAACTTTCTTGAACAGGGAAGGGGCGCTTTACTTTGTAGGCAGAAAGTGCTTTGCAATTAAACTACCGTGAAAACCCAGGGGCCAGTTCTACGGTAATAATTTTATGTCCAGAATCAACGAATATAATCCTAACTTTTAATCCTAAGCCTGACCATAACCCTTACCCAACTACTTATACCGAAGGATTAGAATCAAAGATTATATTCGTCTTCATTATTACCAGGTTTTTTTATCATTTCAAGTTAGATTTCTCTATGATCCACATATGATTGATAGTCCCTATCAAACTCCTATAGATGACCATGCTAAACCATGCTATATTAGACCGTTCTTATTATTACATCCAAGCAGAAAGTCTGATATTATAATACATGAAGTTTGACTGGCTTGCTAGTTTTGCAAAGCCAATCAAATTTTGTGCACCGTCAGACTTTCTGCTCTTGACATTATACATCACTAAAAGAAAGGTTTATATAACAGTTTTGTGTAAAATCTTGGCATTTGTGTAAAAGCATTTCAAATCCATGTAAAATATGTGTATTCTCTATTATTCTTTACAATTTTCTGTCCTTTTTTCCAATTCCTTCCTCTTGATATCATAGTTCTTGACAAATGTCTCTGCTACCAACAATGGAAATACTAATGTTGCCTCAGCATACACCTGTAATTTTATGCATTTAATACAGTTTTTGCAGAATATGGAATATTATGGTTGACACAAACTATTGGATACAGTCTAAATTTACCTTCACTGGTGTTGCAGTTGCTTTAATTTTTCCCCAAGAGACAGCTTCATCTGGCCTTGCTCCAGAATCACAACCATCAAATTCTTGTGCAGTATTTACGAAGACAGAGAAGTCTGCACCATTACGCTGAAAATGTACCAAACACAGTAATAAATACATTAAAATATATTTGTAAGTGAATATTGATGCCTGATAGTAATGAAAAGCTGTTCTCTTTGAATTTTTCTTAATAGTCTATTATATAATTAATATGGCCCATGGATTTTACCATGAAACCTAGGTTAAAGTTCTTACCATCATATTGGCATTACAGATGTGATGCTTACAAAGTCCTCCACCAAGAATAATTATACCTGAATTGGCTATAAAAGTAACTTGACTATTCATCCGTCGAATATCTAGTAATAATTATATACACATCCTTTAATTGAAATAATTACTTTCAAACGAAACAAAAATATAAATTCATGAACGAAAGTTCTGCTGAATGGAATTTTTTATTCAATGATCAGTAATGTGATACATGTGAGCAGTAGCAACATAGGTTTCATCAGGCTTGGATTATCCCCATACATGCATTTGTCACCCTGAAAGTGTAGTTCCAAAGGTGTGTAAAAACCAAAGCCAAAAATATAAGCATTGCAATTAGCCAATAATTAACACAATAATTATTTAATTGCCCACCTTCAACTAAATCTAAAATTAATCCAGGACTTTTATATGAATGAAAATATAAAATGTCACCAATAGAACCATCAGTTATAGCAGGGCAGAATACAGGAATTTTGTTCTAAATAATTATTAATAATAATTTCAGTCAAAATATGTTAGAGCTGAGTTGAATTACAGAAGCTGAGTTAGAGGACTTAAATCATTCAAGTATTCACATCCATGTTTGTAGCTTACCTTGTGGCACCAATAATACACTGATTCTGGATTATTTATTTCCTTGCCTAGTCTATCTATTAACTTTGAAGGAGTCCAATTTATCTTCTAAACAAAAAAAGATTATGCTTCAACTCACTGACCATAGTAACATACTGTATGTTCAATATTGGAAGATACACAGTGTGATCTTTCTTATCTAAATAAAAGGGTGTGTAATACAATTACCTCTGTTTTCTGTTCATGCAACATTTGATCAAGTATTGGAGTCAACCAATTTTCAAATGTACAGTAGTTATCATTGGGTACAATTAAATTTCCAATTCTATTCATTCCCTTTTCCCGCAATGTGGCTCCTTTTAAACTAAAATCTCCAATATATGTTGGTGCAAAACATTTGATAAAATCCTCTTCAATACCTCCTGCTGATGTGACAATGCAATCAATCTAGGATATAAATTAGCAAGTTTTATCACACATTGGTTTTGTGGTTTACTCTCACCTCTATTAACTGTGCTCTCATGTAATGCAGTGGAATCTAATTACCATATTATGCTCAGCCAGGTAACGTATTGTCTCTCTTAATCCAGATGATATCATGTTGGAAGTGTATCCTAAAAATATTGCACAGTTGGTTTTTTGCCCTTCTTTGGGGGGCAGCTCAAATCTTCGAGATATCTGCAACAATAAAATCAATTGCTCACAAATGATTTACAAATATTTAGGAAACTTCAACAAACCTATTGCTGAATGCTGAAGTATATTCCCATACTTAAAATGTGCTCACACTTTGACAACCAGGGTTATAACTGCCACTGCACAAAATTTCAACATTTTGGGAGAGTAGGCCCCCAACCCCAAGCGCTTTGCCAACCCCTTGCCCCCCAATTTTTGAACATAATTTATTTTATCACTGTATAGTTACCATATTATTTATTTCATCAACAGCTTTTCCAAAATTTGTGGCCTGAAACCCTGAATGTTTATATGTAGCCAATAAAGCAGAATAATCCACTCCATTATTGAAATCATAACCTTTGACTGTTTCTGAATCTATTGGCATTTGCTCGCTAGCTTTAAGTACCGCTTCAACTGCAATTTCTGGGGCAGAATTATCCATTTTCTGTATTCTTTGTACGGTAATGTGTAACTTCCTTTCCTACAAATCTTGTTGACTGCTTCAGGACAAAATTTGTGAATTAATTTACAATTTTTCAGGAGTTTTTCCCAAGGGTTTTGGGGACAACGAAGTTTTTATATATTTACAATTCTTTCGAGGTTTATTCTATTCCACGTGCACCAGCATACTTCATTTTAATTTTTTATTAATTATGTTTTATAAAACTTGATTTCGCCAAAGTTACCAAGTGGTCCTGTGGCCCAATGGATAAGGCGCCTGACTACGGATCAGGAGATTCCAGGTTCGAGTCCTGGCAGGATCGAATTTTTTTCATTTCTCTATTTCCCTTTTGGATTTTTTGTTTTCATACATATAAGTACATGTCATCTGGGAACTTTACTTAAAACATCTAAATGAAAAAATAAAAATATATATGAAACTTCCATACCTTAATTTTATTGGAATTTTCATTAAAACTTGTTCACAGGCCGTTCATAGCTCAGTATTCCATTTTGTAAGACTCCAGTGGCATATATACAGACCTGTTTGTGGTTACTTGACCAAAGGTTCAAGAATCAAGACAGAAGACTGTATTCCCTCTGGTTTCTGTCCATTTTTAAAACTATTTTACTTGGAAATTTTGGGAAAATAGGGATATGGCATACGACAGCGGTAGTGAGGAAGAAATGGACTGGTCGTTTTTATGTGAAGATTCACCAGAGGGCGTTGATGAAGTAGACGCTGTATCAAATCAAGTTATCAATTTTGAAAGTGAAACATCATACATGCCCAAGTATTTCGTAGATTCTAACAATCGTGCCGTCAAAAAAGAAACAAGGAGGTTAAGAACGGTTAGTGGGAATTATTTGTATTCATAAAATCACTCTTAAATATAATACTTTCAAATGAGTTCAAAAAGTTAAAAAATTATCATTATTCATATTTCATATTAAGTGAATCCCAGACGGCAGAGTTGAGATCTGTTCTGCCTGGGCCTGTTGGGCACTTTTCCCTGAGATCTCGGGTGCCGGAAGTCTTAAAAATTCGGGTGCAGGTGCGGAAATAAGACGCTAAGTGCAGCTAGGTGCGGGCGTAAGTGCAGCTGACACTGATCATAGCCAGGCTGGAAAACTTGTATCAAATTCCGCATGTGTAGCTGCGAGAGCATAAAATTTATCAGCTGCGAGTAAACCAATAGTCAGATGTGAGCTGCAAGGCTCACAGTGCCAGTGACTTAAAATCCGAGAGAAAGTTGCAAGTTCAAGGTCTGAGAAGGTGTTTACAATGATCTAGAGGACCGAATTTTTTGCTTGGTGGTGCCTCGTGGATTTCACTATTTTCCAAAATAATTTTAGCTCAAAATCGACTGGGCGATCACTGCCAAATATCATGTGTAAAATTTGCTTAGGTGCGCAAAAATATTTGTTGAAAAATATCTCGGGTGCGGCAGTGCCCAACTCTACACTAATCATTTCTTTAGAAATTCATTGTTTTCACAGCCAATGAACAATAAAATATTTGCGTAGCAGAACTAAATTGTACACTACTGCTTGAGAACAGTGCTTGATTGCTATTGCACCAAAATCATCAAAACTTTAATATTGTCAGCAAGCTTGAAATATAACTCAGACAAAGGTTATAGTGACATCTTTTTACTACTATGTAATTACATATTCATTGACAATGTTGGAGTTGATATTCAAATCAGGACAACCTTTACATCATAGCAAAAATCATAAGCATCACATACATCAATTTCATATTATATCTTTTATGATGAAACCCTTCATAGCCCTCATTTCTCTTGCCACATTTATGTGTTATATATTTAAGAATGTACTGTATGTTGTATAAGCAAACAGCAAGTGGTATTGCAAAACAAGATGTAAGTGATAATTAGATTTATAAATTAAACATTAACTGATGATGGATGCTGGGAATTTTCCCTTCAGGTCTCAGAGAAAATCCTTAAAACATTTGGTAATATTCCATATCTTCAAAATGGAATGGCAGCATTATTGAAATTCAGTGATGAAGTAGATAGTAAACAGCTCCTAACAGCTCTACGGGATGTTTGTAATGAAGTTGTGTTCGAAGTTCTATATCACAATTCCAATCTTGCTATTGTGTATATGAATGCAACTAGCTATACCTTTATTGGTGAGAAAATCATGAATGGCAATGGATTTAAAATGCAGGATATGTTTGTCACTCATTTAGAAGGTATGCCATAAATTAAATGCCTTTGATACATTTAATATGGAAATAAAATTTGTGTGTTTAAATCATTTTCTCAACAATCATGACAATTACACATTTGATAATCCATTCATAAATTGCTTTAAACCAAGATTGTATCAATTCCCTGTATACCTGGCGAAAGATGCATCATGTACCAGCCATTAAATCATATCTAACTTTTGTATCAATATGTGTGAGATAGCCAGGTTGGTAAAGCCTAATAAATACATAAATATTTACATTTGTTGTAGCTTTGTGTCTTGACCCTCTTCCACGTTTTTTGGTCGAGATTTCTACTCCAAAGTCCACAGGAGAGGCTTTCCAGAGGGAACTCTCAGCTGTTTTAGTCACTTTTCGTGGTTCCTTCAAATATCTTCGTCTCCATGAAGGAGATGAACCTGATATGGAACCATCTGTGAGTGTTACTCTGTTGTTTTCCAAGCGAGCACAACGGAATGCTGATAAATTTCAAGCTCTTTTATGTGAAAAGAATACGTCATGGAAAAGATATGAGCGTCCCGAGGCTGTGCGTGTACCGTATGAGCAACTATTCTCGTCAAGAAATCATTCATCTCTTGTTCTTGGTATTATATGTGGCAATGATATACCAGGAGTACGGATATCAGTGATGTTCTCTTCAATGAAAGATGAAATGATCAAATTCTATAGTGTTTTGACTGGAATGTCGCCTGTTTGCCGTTCTGACAACAATGGAACTAGTTACCTCAAATATCCCGTTGCTAGGAATTTGGAACTGCAATTAATTCACAATTCAACCATTCCTACAAATCCTTCAAGCAACGTCGCAATTTGCGTTCGTGTTAAAGATCACGAGAAAATATCCGCCTCTCTTGAGTCTCATCATCAATCACTCACATCAAGTGATGAAGGCCACTGGGAAACATGTGACCCCGTTGGCAATCGAGTCCTCTTGTTCACTCCATTTGAATGATATTATTACAGTAATTATTATAAAAAGTAATCACAGGTCGGGTTACTTTTTGAGGGGATTAGTTTGATTTGTAATATATATAGTAAGTAGTAAGTGTACTGTAACGTTTGAGTTGCGATAGAGATCTGTATTCTAAATTATTGCGTTCATTTATTTATTTGGAAACAAAGTAAGGCTTTCACGTTCTGCATGTGATACTCAGTCGATCTGAGAACACCCAACTACGTCCCTTAAAACCTTAAATTAAAACCATAAAATCAATTCAATCTATGAGATGGAATATGAAATGTTTTTCTATGTGTTCATGATCTGATAAAGTGACTTGGAGCCACTGCTTGGAGCCGATAGTTCAAAGATGAGGACTAACCCTGGGCCTAGGTCAAATTTAAACCTGTTGTTTTTACTTATATGTATTTATAAATCGCTGTTCTGTTCACGACTTTGGCAAGAAAGGATTTCTGAATTCTGAGGCAACTTATTCCACTTGATAAACTGTTGAAATGTTTTTAAAAACCATTTGTAGATTCGTAATAACCCAGGCTTTTAAATTAACCCGCTCCAATTTGACCAATTGGCTCCAAATCATTTTTTCAAAGACTGTTTTTTTTTAATGTTGAGATTGATTTTTACATTTGTGTATCTTTACAACTTACAATGGAACTGCCTTAAATTTTATGGACAGACTTGATTCAAATGCCTTAGTTCAAAATAAATTTGCCCATTCTTACAGGCATGCAGGTGGCAAACAGGTGATTGTTATGCAAAACGTGCAGTGCTTTAAACATTAAAATATCCCTAGGATATTCTGTACTGATATTTTTTGATTATATGAATTGATTATAAGAATGTATCTACATATAACAATAAATAGAATTAAACACATTTTTTGCTTGTTTAAAATCCTGTATTTATGTTCCGTTTTTGGTTCTGTAACATACATCATCGATGGTTTGGGGTCAATGTGTCATGTCACATACTAAAATAGTTTAAAAAAACTGAGTTATAATTTAAAGTATACGTTTGAGGAATATTTTTGTTAATATTGTAACATTGTTCACGATTACAATATGTACACAACATGAGAAATGAACGTGGTGCATGATTATTTGATGACTATCAAATGAACTGATTTACAGAATTGGATTATTCTCAATCTGGGCAGCACAAAAACTTTATGTTTGATGACATTTTCCATGTCTACTGGTGTATTTTATGTTGTTTTCGTTTAGACAATGTTTAGTTTGGCTCTTTGGAACATGTCGCTCTCTTCTGTTTTGTCGAAAACGAAAATTTATACTGTTGGCTTTTCTAGGTAAGCCATGATTTTTACAATTTATAACATACCAAGAGCAGGCCAATGCGACCAATGACAATGGAGATCAATGTACGTTTATATATAATACTCCTCACAAGGCATTGCATGCAAGTTACGCTGAAGCCTCGTGATGAGATCGGAATTTAAACACGAGATGAATCAGGATAATTTCCAGATTTGTCTGCTGAAATCTTCCGTTAGGATTTCACCGCGAAGACAGTTTCAAAACAGGGCGTGTTTTACAAAACGCGGTCGTTGGGGTGTTTGCATGGTGATACTACAGTCTACACGCCTAAAACAACACAAATAGTTCCCGGTTGCAACGACTTTTTTAAGCTTCACGAGTTGCTGCAACCAACAATGAAAGAACTAAGTTCGTGGGGTAAAACACAACAGTGTTTCATCAGCTAGAAACAACTTGTGTGTCTCTGTCCTAACAGATTGAAATGATTTTTCAAACTCTAGGAATATGTTTTGTCGTACTTTCTTTTACTGGATCAAAAACATTCAGAGATGACAGCCTTTCCAAAATACGTAAAAGATCCGCAAAACCGTATCATGGAAAGCGTGTGCATATATCCGCGCAAGAAGTACTCAATTTTCCTGGTGACTACCATGCCAAGGGAGTGTTGTCGTTACCTTATGGAAATATAGTTGAACCGTTCGAAGCATGGTATTCAGCGAAACACAAAATGAGCAGGATCGATTATTATGGGGGTAAGTATCTATAATTTTATTATGCGTGGGGGTAAGTATATATAATTTATATAAAATTAAGTTGATATACAATAGCTGTATACATGTGCGGAGTCTAAATCCTGGTTTTCGTATATGTCGTGTATTTTATCGGTGTTAATTCTACCGCAATAGCCTCTCCAAGGCGCTGTAGTATATTATATGTATATAAGCTATCTATGTCTCACGCGGCTTCAAGGCCAATGCACCGTTGCATAGATGTCAGATTCAGTATAGCACGGTTGTCTTTTGATTTGTGGGCCGACTACAATATTGTGCAGGTTAAATCGTTGTGCAAAATATACGATTCTGATTGGCCAATTTTGTCACTTCAGTAGCTATAATTAACCTACACTCTGCTTATGGAGAAAAGCGGAGGTGAATCGGCGCCTTTTGAAAATACAATATTTTATTGTGTATCTGCAAATCTGCGTGTACCTGCAAGTCATGCAAAACCCATGCAAGTGCTCGTCTATAATATTATGTTCCCACCGCTCTAAGCTGTTTCTGATATACCCTTGCTAAAACTTTTCTCCAGTGTTCATTATTCTATAGGATCAATGTTAATTGACGCTGCTCTTTTGATTTCCTCTCAAAAGGCATGGACCAAACATATCAAAAAGAATTACTCGGTAAACATGGTTTTGCATGTAAAGTTGTACCTGAATATTCCGAGCGAACCCAAAAGACATATCGTGGTTGTTTACATCGACGAGGAACAAAAAGATTTCCAGTCAAAGCACAAAGTATTCTGCCAACATCTCACTATTTTAAGGTAACGTGGATAGTGCAGGCTATCCGTATCTAAGGGTTGCGAGTGTTTTGCAATCAATAAGTTGACATAATTCAGTTATTAATACTTTAAATCAGCCTCTTACATTAGACACGACGCAAGAAATACTTCACCGCTATGTTTGAATGGTGGTTTTGGATAATAGCTAATTTGAAAGCATGCATGGTTCACATTCGTTTTACGAACCTGGGATTCTTTTTCTGCGGTCACAAGTACTTAAATGCTCTGTCATTGGACATCCCCGATCGTTAGGATTTATTCATGCATGTGAAGCAGGTCTGAGTTGCAAAATGCAAGAATGTACACAATCTATGTTGTGTCTGATTTCAGTACGTTGGGGACATGGCGCTGCGTGGTCACAATGCAGCCAAATGGCAGCATAAATTCAAAGTCTACAGCAAGGTGAATACTTACATCCTCTACACAACAAAAACGAAGCCTGTGAAACCTTTGAGATACGAAATGATGGGATATGATACATTGCTATCTTCGTACTATGATCATTATGTCCTAGACTACGAAATGATTGAACCTTGGGATTTTAACTACACGACGTTGCAGATTCCTACAGGTAAAATAAACAAATAGACAAAATAGCAATAAATATTAAGTATATAGTAATATATACCGTTTCAGCTTGCATGCAAGTTAACCCATTTCAGATGTTGTGACTGTGGAATAGCCAATAAAACGTAACCATTTCAAACCATGTGATTTGAAAATTGAATCATTTTTGTATTATAGATTTGGATTGCTTCGATTTTTCTTCAAAGAGGTTTTCAAACACCGTGGGTGAGCTCAATCCCATGGTGGAGTACATGCCACACACGGGTAATGGAGCGCCCTTCACCCTCTCGCACAGCACCAACGATGATGATAGCTCATCTCAAGACGAAATATTATGGAATCATGATGAACAAGAAAGTTATTATCCATATTTCAACAGAGATGGAACGGGTCGTATTTCAAATGAAAATGTTGCTGGATTGAATAACATCTTTGCCTATTCACCTCCCCTATATTCTTCCCAAGACAAAAGAACCCAAGAGAGTGATAGACGTTTTTCAACAAACTACGTTAATTCAGGCAAACGAGCGCCTTTACCAAGAGATAAAGCCTTTCCAATGCAAGAGAACTTAGAAGAATATGAAGATATAAACAGTCGAAGAGTTACTCAGCAAGAACTACCTTATGTCACCGGCACAAAATACGATCTTGGTAGAGCAGCTACTTCAAGAAAATCAGTGCATAAACTTTTTCAAACCCACAAGAAACGCAAAGAAGTCCCCAGATTTCCTGCGAAGGAAAATTTTAACAAAAATCTTGTAAAGCATTTTTATAAGTCAAGAAAAGAGAGCAAGCATACAGAAATAGCATACATAAATACCGACAGAAAACATTCCCGGATTCAAAGGATATTTAATTTCAAAAACGTACGAAGGAAAGTTGGAAGGCAAAAGAAGAAACAAAAACTGCACAATAGGAATAAGATTGGTTGGAAAAAGACATTTGTTAGCCGGGCATTACGTCGAAATTACGAGGAAATCGTGAATTTATTATTTGATGCTTTCAAGCTGATGCATAAGAAAGATTATTCATCTCATCACGAACATGAAACAAGGAAGGATATCTACAGACATAATTTGAGGTAGGATTGGCCATCATAAATTACTCAGGGCGCTTCCCGTAGTCATAAGTCATGGCCACGACAGTCAAAATATTAAGGGTCTCTCTTATCAGAGCATTCAGATCTATTCAAAACAAGGTCCATTCAAGGTCAATTCAATAGAAACACCAATAGGACTTTCGAATTTGTCTGGTCTGACGAGAAAATGTTTCATACCAGGCATCATGTGTATAGAACAACGTAGCTTCATGGAATGGTTATTGTTTCAGATACCGATAAACCTAGGTGGGGATACTCGACTCTAGATTCATGTGAATGCTCAAATACACTTCAATTCAAGTGCTTCTCCCTTGAGTGTTAACAGAGGATGTAGAAGTTAGGATAATATTCGTTGATCCTGGACGTGAAATTATACTTAAATTTGCCATTTTCGATGGGGTCAAGCGGCTTCAATGAACGCGCTTCCAAGATTTATTCGTATCTTCCTATCCGATGTTGTTGGTATTCCTATGTTTTGCGTACTGCGCACCTGGCCGCTACCAGTCAGACAGGCAGACAAACATGCATGCAAAGAATTAATGGCGAGCAAAATAACAACAACAATTCATATACCGTGTAGATTTATTAATTCCCGAAATCGTATGCACCTGGGTTACAAACTAAGCTCAAACCATCTCATGGATATGACTGACGAAGAACTGCACAAACAGAAAGGCTTATTGCAGGACGAGGGGGAAAATATCTCTAATGGTGGCGTTCCATTTGAACCGTTGTCAAATTACTTTCCTCCGTCAGTGGACTGGAGGAAACAGGGCGCTGTGAACTCCGTGAAAAGCCAGGGTATTTGTGGTTCCTGTTATGCTTATGCAGTCACAGGAGCATTGGAAGGTGCATTCTTTTTAAAGGTAGCTTTTTGATACGTACAGCGAAAGATTGTAGCCTGTCCATATAACATATCTTCCTTATTATTTGCACGTGGGTGAAGTCTCGTGAACCATATTAGGGCGATTTAGTATGAAGACGTGAACGTCAAAGACGACGTGAAAATGGCGAATAAATGGCGTGATGCGCCCAAATATGGACATGCCACGCCATTTACTCGCCATTTTCACGTCGTCTTTGACGTTCACGTCCTCATGCTAAATCCCCCTATTAACATTAGGAAGATTTAGCATGAGGACGTGAACGTCAAAGACGACTTGGCGAGTAAATGGCGTGATGCGCCCAAATATGGACATGCCACGCCATTTACTCGCCATTTCCACGTCGTCTTTGATGTTCACGTCCTCATGCTAAATCCCCCTATTGCAAGGCACGGGGAGACGGGGGACTTCACCTCCCAAATTACTTACTAACTAGCTATGGTGTTGATGAGTTGGAAAATCAATTTTGGGTTTTACATGTGACTTAGCCCTCTAGGATCCATTTATCGCTCAACTCTCTCCCCCTATTCTCTAATACACTCGGGCCGCGGGCCTTATTTTGGATTCAGAAACATGCATTCAATGCTCTAATGCTTAGTATTAAATAAGCAGCTGACGTCAACTAACTTTTCTTTCTTTGAATAGAATGGATATCTGCCAGATTTCTCTGAGCAGGAAATCATTGATTGTTCTTGGGGATTCGGAAATCGGGGTTGTAAGGGAGGCTATCCTCACAGAGCTATGCAATGGATTTTAAAACATGGTGGTTTGGCAATAGAAGACAATTATGGTAAATACTTAGCACAGGTATTGTTCTAAATTGCAAAAGTATATTTAGTAAAACTTTTTTTTACTGTGGTCTTCATCCTAAGATGTAAGGCCTGTCATTGCATGTACATCCCATAATTTAGAGATTTGTGTCATTTCCTTTTTCAACGCACACTTTCGTCACACAAAAAGAAAAACATGGTCGTCTTGTGATGTTCACACTTGAGAATGATGATTTTTTTAATTTCATTCCTCCAGGAAGGTTATTGCCACTTTAGAAACGTCAGCATTGGTGTTCGTATAGACTCGTATATGAACATTACGAGAGGAAACGTGACCGAATTGAAGCAAGCTATATCCCAATATGGACCCGTGAGCGTGCTAATTAATACCCAACCGAAATCATTCAAGTTCTACAGCTCTGGGATTTATTACGACCCAGAATGCTCCGGTGAATACATTTTATTTATAATTAACATATAATTTATGTATTTATAAAATTGCCTTGATGATAATGATGATGTTCTCCACATGATGTTAGCAATGATCCTGAATGGTATAATTTTCTACTTTTCTACTTATCTTCTAACTTATAAGTCATTCAGTCATCTTTCAATCAGTTTAAAAGATGCAGGCGCAATAACTATAATATTATCATTATTCCTCTTGGCTCCAGAGAACGTTAAAAAAAAAACGTAACACAAGCCAATTTCTCTATCAATATTCTCTTTTCTTTACATTATGCTCTGCAGTCAAAAATTGCTTTACATAAGTTGAAGGAAAATTACCTGGGGGCAGTTGTATAAAAGGCTAGTTAACTTTTAACTATAGTTAAGGGCGAAATTGGCCAATCAGAGTCGTGTATATTTCTGAGTTAACTAGGATTTAACTATGCAAAATGTAGTTAAATGGTTTTATACAACCGGCCCCTGAAGTAACATGGCCTTAGCTCATAACATGCATCCCTTAACATTTCACATGCTTTTCAGGAAACAACCTTGATCATGCTGCACTGTTAGTTGGCTACGGTGAAGAAAGAGGTATTCCCTATTGGCTCATAAAGAACTCGTGGTCAAAAGCATGGGGTGAATCAGGATATATCAAGATCGCTCAACGAAATAATAATTGTGGAGTGACATCTAAAGCTGTTGTTGTTAGGATTAGATGACAATTAAGTCAGTTTTATGTATATATCACTATAGAAAAGCAGCACGTTCCAAATATATATATATAAACAAGATTACAGGAAGGCTTGTCGTGATTATATAAGTTGATGTCATGCAAAATAAAAGATTATTTTTTTTAACAAAGTCCAATAATCTAAGTATATATATAGTGATCCTTTATCACATTGGTGGGTATTCGTTGGTGAACAAGCATGCAGTATACAGTTACTGGGTACATAAATACACAATACAAATCCCCCCCGTACGCCTATATGATCTTTTTGATTGGTCTACTAAGATATTAACCATGCAATGAATCACAAAGCTCGTTTGTATACTGTATATTACCCGACTAAGGCCAAAATTATACTGCAATGCTATCAGGGTACAACTGGTCAAAATGGAATCCACAGCCCACAGTAAACCAAAGACTGCTATGATTATCACAAATCATGCTGGCATCCTTCGGATGCGACCGGAAAGGTCTCGCAGGTTGTCAGTAGGTTTTCTCTCGTTAACGTCACGAATGCTTTTAGCAAATCTTGTGCTGTGCTGTCTGATAATTTCGTTAAAACTTCATCCAGGCTGAATGAAGAAGAATATGAGTTCAGATTTTTACAAAGCTTGGCTTCAAAACCATTTGACATCAAAATGACGTGTCAAGTCACAGTTAATATTATATAATATCATGTAAGAAGAATAACGAGTAAAATTTATATGCATGGCTATGGCGTAAGTTAACGACGGATGCAAGGACATTCATCAGAATGCCACGAAAGTTGAGATTAGAAAAACGAAGGGCATATTAGAATTTCTGTGACATGGAGATCAAATCCATGCAGTTTCTAATATTTTGTTTTCTTACCATTCTTTGACGATTTTCTTGCAATTATCTCGGTCCTGTTTTATCAACAACTGGCTTTCGTCAGCAGAGCAGTAGAATGCCTGACATTCCGTATCCCTTAGCTGTGATACACATTTGCTTGAAAACATTCTTTCCCCATTATCGGGGAAGTTCAAATTCTCTAATTTCTCGATGGTTTGGACAAGGTTTGCAGATTGTTTTTCATATTTAGTTAAGAATTCGTCTGGCATCTGGAGAGAAAATGTTTGATAAATTCACGTATAACATAGACCTCTCATCTTCGCCATTGCGTATACTCAGTGTCTATATACTGGGAGATGTGTTTAGGAAAAGTTTAGGAAAAAGCATGTATTCCAAGCCTTTTCGGCTAAGTCTCTCCCTTGATTTTTATACATACATATAGGCAGGTACATGAGTATAGAATGAAGCGAATTATATGTGTAAATTTCTTTATACTGAATACGGAATGCTTCACTCTCCGTTTTCATATGAAGACAAGTTGTATCATCCATGCAGAACGCTTTCATATTCTTACCTTAAACTCTGGTCGAGGGCATGCTCCATTGATAGATGCCGGCGGTGATACGCATTGCAAGCTTGGATGCTTGCCTGTCTCCAAACCTTGACAATCAAACTTTTCTCGAAATTCTACTGGACAGGTATTTTCAATGTCCTGGCATATCGTCATTACCTCTCCATAGTCTCGGCTGCCGTCTGCAGAGCAGCGTGGAGTCAATTGAGAGCAAAGAACTCTTTGAACTGATTGTATACATCTGTCGTCTATTCCATTGTCCTTTAAAAACGTTATCGTTTTTCTTACTATCTCGCTTTTTGGCTTGTAACCTTTTGCCATAAATGGATTTAACTGCCATGTTATTGGACAAGGCTCTTCGCTTTCCACAAACACGCACCCTTTCATTTTAGAGAATTCATAAAATTTGCCTTCTGGGGCTTCTCGCTGATGACAAACTGTCAAGTCAGCCATCAAAAAAAAATATGAAAGTAAGCACAAGATTACTGAACGTCCAGACATGTTTAACGATTGTTTCTCGAATACTGTAATGCTCACTAGATATACCTTATTCGCATTATGACGCAGCACGGAGTTCTAGATTGAAGATCCAAGTATTTTTTAGTGCATGCTGACATAATTGAAAACGAACCAGTGTGATATTTTAAAAAAATGTCCATATTTTTGGCCAGTGCGAATCAGGTTATCGACTTTGTGAAACAACAAAGGCAGCAGCCGGTTCAGAAGGGGATCGTGATTGCCACCGAATAAACCAATTGTTGTATGGTGAAACTTTTATGTGATTTGATTTTGAGACTCCGATAAATATTCTATAAAAAGTGCTGGCATATTCTTTGCGGGGTGTCCGAATATGCTGGAAATTTAAAATTTAAATCCCCGTTTACATTAAAGTCAATTTATCGGCACGGCTAAAATTAGTACCCGTACCCAATTTTATTAGTGTTCATGCAGGCTACCAAAACAAAGGCCGAACACAAGGCCGGCTTACACGACAAGCGTTTTGGGCACGGCACGCCTAAGAATAGGCACCCGTGCCAAAACTCGTACTTCGCTATTTACACGTTTACACGGCAACTTTTTGTAGACCGCACTTTTGTAAAAGCACCGTGCTCGCTCGGAAAACGGCACCTCTACTTTCTGTTTACGACGGTATTAACTGCTGGCGGTCAAGGTACGTCCGCCTATTTTTCATGTAACCCTCAGTAAATTTTAAAGATGGCGGACAGAAATACAGTTATATATTTATATTTGTTGAAACGCAGAAGAGTATTATATAAGCCAAAAACGTAGAAAGGAATTGACTTCCACAATTTGAACCTGTTGTGCTGTGAAAATTGGGAACAGCTGTGCCTGTGTTTTCACATTTAGGACAGGAGAATTCATCGTCGTCAGCATAATTATACCCTCACACATCCTGATTCCAAGTTTTTAACCCCGGCTGTATTAATATTTATTTCTTGTTCGTACTGGCACGTGTTGCATTTCTGCACATGTGTTTCACTTTTGCCATGCTTCTTTATCATATCTGCGTATTAAATAATAATATATTAAAAATCTGAGAAAAACCACAAAGGCGCCACATAAAGGCGTACGATGATGCTTTTTATCCGAGGGGAAAGCATTTTACCCACCTTCAACCGGATCGTCTTTTTCCTCTGTAGTTCCGTCATTCGCGCTATTTTCTGCCATGGTGTCAACGACGGGCAGCGGTTCTACATTTTGTTTAGTTGATAAAAATGCGTCCAACTTGGAAAAAAATTTTCATTCTTTCCCTTTGCCAGTTCCCGATCTTTGCTTTTTGTCTTTCTCTGCCCTGTACTTTTGCCCCAACTTTTTAACTTTGTTGACAACATCCCGGGCTGCAAAGCCTTCACAATAGCCATTTTTTGTAGTGGAATCTAAAAAAAAGATAAACGGTTGTTTTACTCGAATGATTTAATATAAATTGCCCTTGATCAAAGCCTTATCATCAAAATATGCTTAAATGACTTACCAGTATCGCTTCATAAATTTTTGACGTTTGTTTTGACGTCTTGCAGTTTTCCAACTCCAGTTGGATAACTTCCTCGCCCCAAACGTCAGTCAGTAAAAAGTTTGTTGCATCGTCTTGCCACACAACACCACGATTTTTACGTGCTTTTGTGTTATTTTAAATTTCTTTTTCACCTTGCTTTTCTTCCTTACTTGTAAGTTGTATTTTTTCGCCGCTTGCCGTCATGTTGGAATTGTTTTGCGCATGCTCGTTGTTGAACACATTTCTATGCTTCTCCATTTTTTGGCACGGCACCTCTGGGTAGACGTGCCGAGACTACCTCGTGTATGTATGTATGTAAAACTTTATTTAAAGACACTAGCCCCGACAACAATAAGTTGATTTCCACGGGGGGTGTCTACAAGATTAAAAATTACAAAAATGTAGGAAAATATATAATGACTATGTACAAGTTAGTGTGACCCCGGATATTATAGTTAGGATATATTGGTTACGTTGGAGTTACGTTTCAGCTGGCTTTTGAATGCATGAAAGGACTCAGCCAGTCTGGTGTTGATAGGGAGACTATTCCATAACTTAGCTCCACTATATTTAAAGCTCTTTTTTAAAAATTCTCTTTTTGGCTTAGGAAGAGCCAGATCTGTATGACTATTTCTAAGTTCATAGTTAGTTTGCATTTGATTGCGTCTAATCAAGGTTTCTTTCAACGTGGGACCTACGTAGTTGTTCAAGACTTTGTACATTAGTATTGATTTACTAGTACGTCGTCTTGTCTCTAAGTTGTCCCAATCAAGAGATCGAAGAACATCAGCAGATCTAATGTCGTAACTCGCACCGGTTATGATTCGGGCTGCACGGTTTTGAAATTTTTGGAGTTTATCTCTTAAGTTTTGATCACAGACACCCCAAATAGGAGAACAATAATCAAAGTACGGCTGAATGAGAGCCCGATAAATTGTTTGGAGAGAGGTTTTTGGGGCGATTGGTTTAATACGTCTCAATGTGCCCAAACCTGCACCAACTTTTTTGCAAATCGCCTGAATATGTGGACTCCAGGTAAGATTTTCGTCTAGTTCGAGCCCCAAACATGTAAATGAGTGAACTCTGGAGATCCGTTGGTTATTCAATGTCAGTGAAATATCAGAGGTAATTGACCTAATACGATGTTTGGAGCCAACAAACATTATTTTAGTCTTAGTTGGATGGTGTTGTAGTTTATTTCTAGAAAGCCATTCGCCAATTCTATTCAAATCATGATTAAGGTTTTCGGTTAATTCAGACAAACTGTTAGAACTGCAACAAATTTGGGTATCATCGGCATATAGATAAGGAGTAGTTTTTTGAAGGCAATCAGGTAAATCATTGATGTAAAGTAAAAATAACAGGGGACCTAAGATAGATCCCTGCGGCACCCCAGAAACAGTCCTTTTTGACGATGACATTATATTATTGACAATGCAGACTTGTTCCCTAGCAGTTAAGTAAGAATCAAACCATCTCAACTCAGTGCCCGATATTCCAAATTGGTCTTTTAATTTATGAAGTAAAATATTATGATCAAGTGAATCAAAGGCTTTACGAATATCTAGAAAAACGATGCCACTCAGTAGACCATTGTCCATATTTTCGTAGAGAGCATCGCACATCTGAGTCAGGGCAGTAAGAGTTGAGTGTTTAGGCCGGAAACCATGTTGATATTTTGAGAGGAGCGAATTGTCATTAAGAAATTTGTAGATTTGATTAAAAACACATCTCTCAAGTATTTTACTGACGATAGGTAGGATTGATATAGGGCGATAGTGAGAAAGTCTCGGCACGTCTAATTTTTCGGCACCTGTGCTGATTTTTTTCCTGTTTACACGGTCAAACGCTGAGGTGCCGTGCCGAAAATTTTGGGCACGGGTGCCTGTTTTCAGGGGTGCCGTGCCCAAAACGCTTGTCGTGTAAACCGGCCTACAGATGAAATGGGCACGGGTACCTATTTTAGCCTTGCCGTGCTGATAAATCGAGTGTAGTGTAAATTCAGTTCTATATATATAACGTATATATATCTATATAAGCGAGGTTGCATGGTCTTCAACAAAACGAAACAAGCATGAGATGACTACAACACTGCCTGTCTGTCCGTCTGCAAGGACCATGTGTTATAGTTACTTCAATACCTCGAAGTCATTTTACACTTCGTTTACGGATCATGTAAAAAGTCCGCGCTAATGCATTTTGGAACAATCTAGCTGCATGATTAACTCTACAGGGTGTTTCCAAAAAATGCCTCGTAATGCCGGTTTTCCACTAGCGATATTTTTCGCGCGAAGCGACTTTATTCCTTTGTATTTGAGCAATTTGTTCCAGATGGTTGCATTTGAGAGCTCAGGAACAAAAGTAAAATGTCGATTCGCGCAAAAAATATCGCTAGTGGAAAACCGGCTTAAGTCGCAATGGCCGAATCGAAACTCTGTTGAAGTCGCGTGTTTGTTTGCTAAAGTATCAATAAAACGTTTTCTATGATTTTCTATATTTTGTTATGTTTAAAGTTGCCGTCATTTAATGCTTATAGTTTTTTTGTTAACGTGCATGTTTATGAAACCTATATCAATTCAACATAGGATATTTGAAATTATAAACGTGGGTTTTAAGAGCCATTTCTTGACACTCCCTCCCTCTCTGACCTATATTTGGGGATGGATTTTGACAGAAGTATGTTTTTTATGTCTGTTTCTCTCAACCGCTCTGCAAAGTTTCTCTTTTTAAAAACAGAGACATCATGAAACCTAAAGTAACTTATCTAAATATGTCATTCATTTTGAAGCATATATGCCAAACATGAATGGCGCTAATTTTTTCCTGAGTGTTTTTTTCTTTTGTTTAAATTCCTTGTGCGCATTCATGAGCTTTTGGTACTCTGCTCAGCTTAGAAGGAAACTGTGGTTTTTGTGATGGTTTTGTCGGTTTGTCCTGCATGTTTCGATTTAGTCACGTTTGTGACGAATAACTCATGCATTGATGCATGGCTCTTATCCGCCGCAATCAATGGTCTGGTTGAATAAAGAATTTTATATATTACGTTTCTTGTCCTCTTGCCTCTACCTCTCTCAATTTATTCCCGATCTTTCGTTGTTTGTTTTACTGGCCATGAGCTTAATAATGCAACATTTAGTATTTACAGGAAAACGTATATATATACTGTTGCACTATAGTGACTTTGGGAACCTTGTCTGCAGGTGTTCAACTTTGTCATTCCCCGTGAAAGTTTTATATTTTTGGCCCTTTTTGCTGTCCCTGTATATGTTGCTCACATGAACTTGTTAACGATACATTAATTATTACCAGAAAACATCTTAAAAGCAACCCATGCACTACCGTTTCCTGGGGCTATAGTTGGACGCGCTTGATGTAGCCGTAGGTGCTCGCTAAAGTTGAAACAACATATCACAAGAATATATTCTAATCAAAGGCACAGTTTGTTCGCACAGGTTGTCTCTATAATATTGACAACAAGAAACTATTTCATTCTATGAATAATATAATATAATGCTACAAGGGTCTAAATCACATAACATTATGCACATATCTCACTAATCTCAGAAACGTCTTATGCACTGACCTATGGCTATGATAATGTAATTCAAGTTCATCTTCAGAGAAAAGATTTGACGAGAAAACACGCAGCAATCAACGCAATGGAACGACCAGCACTGTTCAGCCAATTTCCTGCAGATGGTTCAGGCACCAGCTCAGCCCCAGCGAGCGGGAAGGTCTTGCAATTCGACAGAAAGTTTTTTCTGATCGCCTTTGCCTGTCTGCGCTCATCTGGTAATATACTATTTGAAGCTTTGGAAAAAAATTCTTTGAAGCTAAATAAAGAAGTAAAGAATAAGCAAAAACAACTGACGTTAAAATGGCATATATCATTGCTGATGTGTTCTATGAAATTCAATTAACTGTGTTAGATAAATTATATATCAGTAATATTAGGCGTTAAAGACTCACAGATTCGCAATAAGACATCTAGCAACAATCCTAAACCATGCAGAAATCGTTTTATATTTTGTCAGCTCTTACCATTTGTCGACGAGATTCTTGCAATCGTCTTGGTCGTGTTTTATCAACAACAGGCTTTCGTTAGCTGAGCAGTAGATTGGGGAACAATTTATATCCTTTAACTGTGATAGACATTTGCTTGAAAGCACTTTTTTCCCAGTGTCGCTGTACTTCAAATTCTCCAATGTATTTAAAACACTGACAAGGTTCTCAGATTTTTGTTCGTAACTCTTTAGGATCTCGTCCGGCATCTGAAAAAATTGTTTATTAGTTTATATATATCATATGGACCCTCTCATATTTGTCATTGCCTACTGATGGTATTGCTACTATTTTGGAAGATGTATTATAATGGTTTAGAAGGATAACATAGAATGCATGGAATACGATATTTGCAGATTTGGTGCGTGGTCATGGGGTTGAGCCTCATCACGTGCACGGAAAAGTGCATGATATGATATTTAATACATCAGTACATGAATATATTTGGCATAAAAAAGACTACTTTAATATGCATATGTCTTTAAATATGACGAATACTATAATCCTATAAATGTTTTCCTCCTCTGTTTTCGAATAATTTTAAATATACCGTTTCACTGATTACAGGATATCCATTAAAATACATGTCTTTCATGCAGGAAAAAAGGGTCCAAGGAAGACGAAAATGGTGTCTAAGGACTCAGACAAAAAACAAAATAATTGTCGTATATGATTACGAGACCCGCTTTCTTAGAATATACACTACGTACATACTCCACCGCGCCCCTAGGTCTATTAAAGTTTATCCATCTTTATTCATGTATATTTTATTAAGACAGCTTTTTACTGATTTCTCGTTTCCCATCCCTATGATATGAATTCGCCTATTTACCTTAAACTTTGGCGGAGAACAGACTCCCTTGATAGAAGTCGGTGGTGATAAACACCGCAAGCTTGGATACTTGCCCGTTTTAAGACGATGGCAGTTTACACGAATTTTTGGACAGGAATTGTGAAGGCTCTGACATGTCGTCATTTTATCCTCGTAGTTTCGAATGCCGTCAGCCGAGCAACGTGGTGTCAATTGAGAGCAACTAGTATTTTTGTATAACTGTATGCACCTGTCATTTACTGCGCTGTTTTGGAGAAACTTTATCGTTGTGTTCATCACCTCGCTTTGTTGCCTGTAAACTTTGGCTAGAAATGGATTCAACTGCCATGTTAGTGGACAAGGCTCTTCGCTTTCCACTGACACGCACCCTTTGACTTCAGAGAATACATACAACTGGCCTTCTGGGGCCTTTCGTTTCACAACTGTATGACAAACTGTCAAGTTAGTTATTATCAATAAGTATAAAAGAAAGCACAAGACTACCGCAATTCCTGACATGGTTTAAAGTTAATGTCTCAAATATTGCAGTACTTAGTTTGAAATGCCTGATGCCTTTATGAGTTATGAGTGCTTAAGATGTGTTTTTATATGTTATAAATGCTTAATACATGTCTAAATATACCTCATTACCTCTTTTATGACGCAACACAAGTAATATTTCTAAGTACTGGCATAATTGAAAACGAATTAGTAGGATAGTTTATATATTTTTGGGCAATGCTAACGGCGTAGACGAGGTATCAACTTTGGAGGAAGAAAGAAACTTCAGAGGCAAGTGTTTTCCACCTAATGAACGAGTTTAGGTCTGCGCGCTAAGGGTTCTCCGAAATGTATAAAAGTTACTGGCATAAATGTTTTATATTGATTAGCGCTGAAACGGATGTAAAAGGATGTATTCTTCATTGTTCTCGTCCTTACATATAGTAACATAACTTCTTGTTCTCTAAAGAATAAACTTAATCAGGAAACTAATATTTTTAATGCTATAATTCTGCATCAGTTTTTCGCCGTGCAACATTTGTACTGATGCTTTAAACGTCCTTTTCGCGCACGTGAACAGCATGCGCTTTTTCCCCGGAAAATATAATTAGGCATGTAGTTGGTGTTTTTATATTGTTTTGCTAAAATTAAAAGGAAACCGCTGTATTGTTTAAAGAAAATAAATTATTGATTCGTAAAATCAACCGAATTATGCCGTCTGCATAACAACTTATATAGAGGATCCATGCTGATCTGAGATCATGACGTCATAAGGCGTCTCGACAAAACTGAGTTATCATGCGCCTGGTGTTATTTGTCCCTATTCTCCAAACTAAAAGTATAATGGGCGAAAGTTCGGAAAAAAATAAGCGTGTTTTCGCATAAATATAATAAAATTACTTGATATTTTTGAGGTTCGAAGTCATATGCAATGAAGGAAATGATAACTTTGTTTTGTCGAAGATTTGCCGGGCTTCTGATTGATTGATTTTTATACCCAGATCAGCTGCATGGGTCTATTAGCCATTTCCGAATCGAGCAGGGCTTGGCGCGAACCGCAAGACATCTATGGACTGTTTGGAGGGACAAATGATTTCAGTCTTACATTTCTTGTCTAAGTACAAATGGTCCATAAATGCTTTGCGGTTGGCGACTAGACCCAGTACCCTGCTCGACTGGGAAATGGCTGATTGTGCTCAGCGCTTCAGTGGTCGTATTTCACCTATTAAGTTTGTGTACAGTTAATATAAATTTTTTTCATTATTAATCGTGGTAAACCGCAAACTCTAAAAAGGTAAAAACCATTCAGTCGATACAATTTCTGTTTCTTCTAGCCCATTATGATTCACATAACTTTTCAAAGCGGGGTTGTGAAGTTCGTTGCGAAGTTCGCAATTACGTTTCGAATGTTCGAAGTTCAAAACAAACTTTGAGTACCTTTTCAAACTTAATAGCGAATAGAACAAACACAGAACGTTAACAACGGACTTTTCCCTTTGTTATCATGCATAAAAACTCTCTTATACCTCAAAAACGTTCTTCAGTGCTACTTGCTTGCTACGTTTTATCTACGCCCGCGATACTCGCGGAAGACTTCATGTCTCTACAATGGTCATTATGATTGAAACTTGAAAAACGATAATAAACTCTTATTATCGACCGCAGTCCACACACTGATACAACTCGCTGATGCAACGACTAATTATTGTCCAAATTCTTTAATGAAAAAGTCTCTTATCGATGGAGTTAAATTATTACATCATGCACCTTGTTTTAATATTTGCGTTAAATTATTTTTGCTTATTTAATAAATTCTGTGGCCATACTCAGCTTCAGGTACTCTGCACAGCTTCAAAGGAAATTGTGTTCTTATAACTCACAATTTATCCTTGCTCTTTCGTCACTTGCTCTACTGGTCGTGGAACGCCGGTATTTGGCAACCTCGCGTCCTATTTTTCATCGAACTTCAGTCAACAAACGAAGACTTTTAGTACTTCTAGGAATACTTACTCTCGTAGAAGTAACTTAGGGAGTGTGGACGACTTTGTAATCTATCGTCATTTAAGTGTACTTTTATTCATACTTTGCCATTTGGTTTTTTTGCTGTCCCTATGTTGTTAATGAACTATAAAGTATTCTATTCCCAGAAAGCATCGGAGAAACGATGCATCATCAGAAATAAAAAAGGCATTTTCCATGAAGAACACGTCCATTGGAAAAACAAATTTCTTTCCCTTTTCAAAAATTGGCAACTGAACTAATGTAAGTTCAGGTATAAACCGTATAATATAATATTCCCCTTATTTCCGTATATTCGCACTTAATTACCTTGTAAGGGTCGGTTGCAAAATGGTGGAATCTCGGGAGAGGTAGTTCAATAAATAAAGCAAATTAGACAATATCCAATGATATACTTAGCTATACTACAATAAGAATATACACGTGAACATTTTGTTGGTTATGACAAATTACAACAGCCATTTATTATTTTCCATCTTTATGAAAGTCTATTTCAGTGTACTGCATGAATTGTTTAAATAGTAAATTTATTTACTAGCCATGATCACTTTCATGACAACACAGTTATTTTCCCGTCTATAAAATTAATGACTAATGATGACTACGTGTATCCTGGTGGTATGCACGTGAAGATATGAATAAACCTTGGAAATTGCGTCATACCGTAATACGACTGTGCGCAGGCTAAAGCCGTGCTTTCAAGTCGGCAATTTGAAGGCATGCGCTCCACGCTATCTTATAGTATTCCAAATTCCATGGTTTCACCGGATGCGCGATCCAGGTTTTATTCATATCAATAGCAGCCAGCGCGTAGTCATAATAGTGATAATACTATATCATGTTCACTACGGACAATATATTACGGTGTAAGACTAATATATGTAGGTAAAATCCTTCACCTTTTTTTGTCTTTTATATGTCCTTAAGTCCCTTAAGTTTTACTTGTGAACGCGAAGCCAGAAAGGAGCGTTCTTTATATATGGATGTTGAACGGTATTTTGTTGTAATTATAGCGAGCAACTCTATCATATTCAGTATTCAGCCTAAGTTAGTCGACTGTTATTCCGTTGACCTGCCATATATCCCCGTTGTTTACTCATGACACGACGTACTAAATCGGTGTAGCACCTTTTATATTGATCTCTTTCGCTTTTAACTGCCGTGATTTGCTTCTCAAGTTCTGCTATCTTTGATTCGAGTTCTTCTTTGTTTTGGACAAGATCAGTCTTTTCTTCTATTCTCTTCATACGACATGAATGTGCATATCCTCGATTCTTTAGCGTTCTTCGGCGTTTCTTTACTGCCTTGACAAAATCTTTGGACTGTCCTTTCAGTTTTAGATTCAATTCTTTAACCGATAACTCCGTTAATTCATCGTCTTGAACGGCGAATTGCTGTTCTGTATTGTCGATCATGCCTGGAGAAGGCACTGAAGAACCAGAGCTTGTAAATGATTCTGTGTCAGAGAAGATTTCATCTTGACAATTAGTGGGCTTGTTGGAGTTGATAGTCGGTTGATTGAACCAGTTCATTGATCCAAGATTTGCGTCCTGTCCGATAAGATTGTTCGAGCCTTGACTTGAATAAAACCCGGCATCCAAAAGTTGCAATAGCGACAACTCGTCGCTATGTAATTCAGGCAGTTGATTCATGTTTTCTGCAAAGCAAAATATCACGTGAATATTCACGAAATATATCGAAAGCCGATATATCTAGGTGTTTCTTGACAATATAACTACACGCTAGGTCTAGCAAAATTTTCACAACAACGTATCAACAACGTTGCTTCGTCGTTGAACACGAGTGTCGAATGTTAGGGATTTTCCCTTCGCTTCACTTATGACCTCAGCCTAACTGTGAGAAAATTATAATTTGGCCAATCAGAAACCGTCTATATATTCCACCCCAGACATGTTTGAACCAGCCCAGGCTGGGCAAACCGGTTTACCAAGAAACTGCCTAACTAATTCATACCCCCAATATTGCATCATCCACAAGAAATATGGCGGTGCATTATTATATGATAACCCTATATATTCTGAACTAAACTGCTATCGTTGTATGTACGTAGAGTACATCAAACAACATAAGACCGGCACTTATTTGTAATTCCTTGAAACTAAGGATATATAAATACGTAATCCTCTCTTTTTATACGTAAGACGAAAATCTGATACGTGTTCTCGACGCGTTCTCGTGATTCGCGGTATATCCACGCATGACGTCATAGCATAACTTCACTGGGGATTTCCCGAAATGAATATTTTTCACCGCAATCCACACAAACATACAAATTTAGTTCAATTTTACCAAATTTTATTAAATCTGGCCAGTCCAAAGCGAACAAACCCATTTGACAAAAGAAATTAGCTAATTGTTACATTCCCCCAATAATTGCATCATCTGCTTGAAACATGGCGCTGCATTTTATATGGCGGCAATTTGCAAGCCTGTATTTAAACTAAGCTGTTATCGTTACCAGTTGTAGATCCACGGCAAAGCAGAATAAATTATTTCAACTCATTCTGCCAAAGCCTGGACCCGCCACTGATCGTTATATGCATAACTACCTAAACCAAACCTGCACCAAATCATTATTCGTATAATGAAGGAAAATAATTTACTATTCCTAGAATTGAAAGATGAAAGATAATTATCTTTCCGTAATGAAAATGTGATACGTGTCAAGGTGCTCGTATTTCACGGCGTCTGACTGTCCACGCATGATTAAGATTACTTCATCAGTTCATTTCATGAATGACTTCACATTGGGAATCTCCCAAGCACCTCCAAAAATTAAATATTTTAAAAACAATTCTGCTGTAGTTCTGTTTAGCAAAATTGGAATTAAAAGCCTGATTTTTGAAAACCTAAGAGATAGATCGCAACGACAGACATACTACTTTAGTGTAACGTTTGAACAGACTAGAATTTTGCATAGCTTCATTTTTTTTTCGATTTTGAAGGAAATGGTATCAATATCATGGTATCCACCTGCTCAGCTATGATAAACTGATATATCTTCTTTCTTCTGGTGGTATAATTTTCTTTATTCCGTTCGGTATTTCAACAAATCATATTCCGCGCAGTGGGTTTTAGCGCTGGAATTCCAGACCATCACTGTTGTCTGTTATTTTCGAGGCCTATACACCCCATATATATTTTATTGATTTAGGATTGCCAACGCGCTGTCCTATCGAGACACAATGCAGAGTGTCGTGGGCTATTATTTGGCGCCGGCGCGCACAATTTCAGTAATTCGATAGAAGTGACGCAGGTCATTTTAGCGTAGCAAGCGAGTAATACTATATTCCAACTGTTCTTTCGTTCATTTCGGAGCCATTCAAAATTGCTTATTATCAAATTTGGTACAGTTAGCTAGGTACAACTTACTAAAGTCATTAACTTTCTGTGATTCATATCTGTTGTGTGGGCTATCTACCCCCTCTTTTCTTTTGCAAAAACCCTGGCTCCACATGACTAGTGGAAGAGCATTATAAATTTGAATTTACTGAGCTTTTCAGGTCATTTTTATATAGTAATTGTTTATTAGTAATAGCAAATGTCACAGCCACTTTCTTGCCCCTAACAATCCCCGTTACAATCTATATAATAAGTGGCCAGAAACAGTGTATAGACTTTTACAAATGTTTTACCTTACCTGTATTATTTTTTCAGTAGTCGGTTCAGTTTCGGTCTTCTAGCTCTGTCTTGATGAAATGATGATCGACAAAGAGTTTCGAAGGTTTTGCCTTACTCGTCTTTTATATGCGAACATGATGGTGCAATTTTAATGTTGATGACGTAACCAATCGAATCGTCGAATAGAAAGATGGCACGTGTCTAATCTTGAAGTGTAACATTACATCATAGCCCATTAGGTGTCATATTACATAAACTCTTGTTTGCTGAGGTTTCAAAGTTCTCGACCTCTCGAGCTTCGACTCGTTAAAGTAGTTTTATCTATCTTTACATGCCTGATAGATAGCCATATGAAACCTCTGCACATACTTGGTTATCACCGATTAATTCTTTTTATTTGTCATATTAATGAACCGACATGTGTTTCCGGCACAGTTAATTATTTCCGGCAGTTATTTTAGGCCACTAACTATCGTATATATACTCCGATCAGTCTCATTGTAAGCTGTGTTGAGAAAGAAGTCTTCAGTATGTGTTGCGTTGCATGTGACCTAACCGCTCTAGCGCACGACGGTATATAAAGAAAGGCCTGACAATCAGGTGACTGCAACTTAAACTCTACCCACCCAGTGTATAACCAGAATGTCAGCGTCACTTTTTAAGTCTTTTTTATAGGTTTGCTAAGATAAATAGAAATCTGAAGGCCCTGTTACACGGTGCAATTTTTTTGCAACTTTCAATGCAATCCTACTTTTAGGAGATGTAAATTAATAAGTGTAACCAGCTGTTGAGTGTTATAAAAACAAACGTCAGTAGTTGCCAAATTTACATGTCTCGAAAGTAGAACTGCATTGCAAGTTGCATGAAAAATGCCTTTATTCTGTCTACATATATGTTTACTTATTCGTTCCACTGTTCGGCTCAATTCCGCGCAATTTTCAGGGACTCTTCATTCCCAGGGTATGCGCTAAGCTGTCCCGCGTGACACTTGCGGGAAGGACACGTGTTCCAATATGGCCACCACAGAAGAGGTTGAATATTATAAACTTTACAAAAATCGACCCCTATATTTTCATTTTTATATTGCTCCTTTTGTACTGTTGTATTTATTATGGCTCTATGCTTGGTTTATGGTCTATGGAGTATCAGATTATTTCGAAATTGGCGCTATTATAGGAGTTGTAATATTACTTACTCAAATTTTAATTTGGTTGTTCAGTATGTGGTCTGTTCATGTGCGTTGTTTTTTAACCTGCAGTACGGTAAGACGACATTTCTGTTCAAATTTCTCCAGACTCAATGTTCAGACTTCATTAAGATTTGGCATTAGCATGGAGATCATATTGTACAATTACTATGTAGACACTAGAAACAATTGCTATGAAGTATGAACTGTTGTTAGTTGTTACTAGAAATGTATGAGTTTCTCTACCGGAAGAAGGTGTTTCGGTTAACCGGTAACGACATCCGTGACTATGTTGTTACCTCCATACTCTGCAAGAAAGGTGAAATTTTTGTTGTACTATCCTTCAGGCCAGTAGTCCAAAGAATGCTGATGTAGTTAAAGTTGTGCCCACACCTAACAATGGATCTCCAGAGCTTGTCCGGTTACACCATTCCAAGGTACTGGGGCATATGAAAGTAAATGATATGTATGATTTAAGTGCAAAATTTACTTCTTACAACTGATGACTATGGTTTAACTTACATAAAATTCTCACTAATTAACTTCATGTGTTTAGAGTGTTTATGTTGGGCCAACCTTGTGCAATCTTCTTACCCAATATTTTGTCAACAGTAGTTTTATTTTTTGCAGATGGCTGAAACTGGTGAAGAAGTAATATGGTTTAAATTTCAGAAATTGAAATATATTTATGATGCAGAAGAGAAGAAAGTGTTTCTTCCTGTTGACTTTCCTATTGATCATAGCATGGCATATTACAAGACTGCAAAGGGATATCAAGATGATTCTGAAATAGCGAGGTTTTCAACTAAATATGGAAAGAACAAGTAATATACATCATAATGATATCATGCCATATATACATTATTCATAATATAATGCCATATATGCATACATTATTTATATATTGCCATATATTACCATATATGCATAATGCAACACTACAAAATAAATTTAACAAATGAGGCTTTTATGTCACAAAGAAAATAGCCCCATAATTAAGACTTGCTGTGTTTTTCAAGGTTAACAATGGCTTAAGAAGCGTTTTGAGTATGAGATGATATCATTTGGAGTTTGTTTTGTTTTATAATTCATCAAATATTCCATTGAAATGGAAAAAATGCTGAAATCCATAACCATATATGCAAATATTCCTTATTACAACATATTCATACACAGGTCTAGTCATATTTAGGTCTAGTCCCTCAACAATTCAGATTTTTCAATCCTCTAATGATGGAACTATTACTATATTCATAGATTGGAAATGAATATTCCTGAATTTATGGAGTTGTTTAAAGAGAGAGCAACTGCACCATTTTTTGTCTTTCAAGTATTCTGTGTTGGTTTGTGGTGTTTAGATGAATATTGGTATTACAGTGTGTTTACATTAATCATGCTGGTAGCATTTGAAGCAACATTAGTTCAACAGGTAGATTCTTTATCATTTTGTACTATTTTAATAGTACTCTTCAGCTAACCATTTTGAATTTCGTTGGACATTATGACATATACAATTAACCATATCCATATACAATTGAAACTAATTATATTAAATTGTGCAAAATATTATGTATATAAGGTTTGTGACAGGGTTTCTTTTTGTAGCAAATGAGAAATATGAAGGAAATACGCAATATGGGAAGCAAACCATTTCAAATACAGGTATTTGGTAGAATTTGTAATCTTTTTATCATTGTTCCTCATAAAAAATATTGTTTAATAATCAGTTTTTTTCCTAGGTCTACCGAAATCGTAAATGGCGTCCGATTATGAGTGAAGAGCTGTTACCAGGAGATATTTGTTCTATAGGTTTGAATCTGTCATAAATAATTCATATATACTGTATATCTAATATGGCACCTGTGTAACATTGACAGATGTCTGATGTTCCTAATATGGACCTACTTTGTAACTGACATCTTCCTAATATAAACACAGGTCGATGCCAGAATCAAGATATTTTAGTGCCTTGCGATCTCTTACTATTACGAGGGTCGTGTATTGTTGACGAGGCCATGTTGACCGGGGAATCTGTTCCGCAAATGAAGGTAGCTAATGAATGGTATCAGGCTCTATTCTTTCAATTATCTGGCCACAAAGTCTTATGATCACTGCTTACAGTCTAAGAAATAGGGCGAGCATTTTCCATAAAACAGCAGCATAAGCTAATTTCCATTCACTTTGTGGGGGTATTTCCCCCTCTAATTTGCAAGTACCCCTTTGAACAAGGATTACCATGCATATTTCAAACTGTATCTGCTTCAAATCAAAGGAACTGTGATTCCTTGTAGGAGGCAATTGAAGATGTTGATGACAAGGAAGTATTAGATCTAGAACAACATGCGAAACTTCATCTTCTCTCTGGTGGAACTAAAGTTGTACAGCACTCTCCGCCCCCAAAGACAATGTCAGGTCTTAAAGGTAATACTGTAGATTTGCGCAGGATTTGTATACCAGGTTATTTCTTATCATGGCAAATTTCCAAATTCACTTTTTAACCCTTCTTTTTAGCTCCTGACAATGGTTGTGTTGCATTTGTATTAAGAACTGGATTCAATACATCTCAAGGAAGACTGTTGAGAACCATTTTGTTTGGTGTTAAACGTATAACTGCGAATAATTTAGAAACATTTCTCTTCATCGTTTTCTTATTAGTGTTCGCTATCGCTGCCTCGTCCTACGTATGGATTCATGGTGAGAATACAAATATTAAAAATGAAAATAATAACTTTCGAGTTCCGAGAATTCACTTTCCATTTTTGTTTCAGGTACAGCGGACCCGAGACGCAATCGATACAAATTGTTTTTAGAATGCACCTTAATTCTTACGTCAGTAGTACCACCAGAACTACCGATAGAACTTTCCCTCGCTGTAAACTCATCTTTACTGGCTCTTTCAAAATTAGGTTTGTGATATAATTTTTTTGTCATCTTCATTGTAGTACATCAGCACGCCGCATGTGCATAGTCGAATCTCTCGACATTTGCCATACATTACAATAATCGTCAGAGCAAGCGCTTTTGAGCTCCGTGATAACATAGTTAGCTCCGTGTTCCACAACTGTATTTTGTGGTTTGAACGTCGTCTTTGCCGCGCGCACTCATGTGAACAAAATAAATCAAAGATCTGTTGAAAGTTCTAGGCTTTTACCCTGCGTACCCGGTTTAATGAACTTATAGATGTTACTGGATGTTATGTTTAGTGGGAGACACCAAGCAGGATCAAACTGTCAAAAATCTCTCTGAGATTCTGTCTCGAACCCATAACAGAGTCACATTTTAGAATCCCTTGCAATAGCCGACAGGAATTGTAATAGAATAAAGAAAGTTAGATATTTTATTATTTTACGCTCTATTTACATTCTTGTCTTATGAAGGAACGAATAAAGTTTTCAATGTTTCATTCTTTCAGGAGTATTTTGCACTGAACCATTCCGTATTCCATTTGGTGGTAAAGTTGATATTTGCTGTTTTGATAAAACTGGCACGTTGACTAGTGATAACCTTGTGGTAGAGGGCGTGGCAGGAATAAGGTTTGTGTCAGTATTTTATGATCGTAGATGCCTTGCTCTTTCTCTTTAGCTATATTACATCATTACATTCCCATTTTTGAGTTGAAAACTGCTTGTCGCCCTTGGCAGTATTTCTCGTCGTTTCGAAGAAATATGGTCGAAAAAATACGGGCGGCAGAAAAACTTTACCCAGGACCCCGCTAAAGCGACACTGGCAAACTATGCATGTTTGGCCAATCTCGCGTACGTCTGCTGTTTTATGTCCCAGTCACATTGGTCTAACATTTCAGGTCTTTTTCTCATATTCACTATAGTGAGTCTGACGAGGAGAGTTGTGGTCTGTCGGATGTTCCCAATGAAACCCTCCAAGTATTAGCTTCCTGTCATTCTCTGGCCTATGTTGATACGAACCTGGTTGGCGATCCCTTGGAAATTGCTTGTCTATCTGCCATAGACTGGACTTTAACGAAAGGTAGAGATTGATCGATTGTTTGTAGAAAGATTTGATGCCATTGTAGAAAGATTAAACTCAATCCACAGCTGAAAGAATATTCCCTTACAAATTTCTACGTTTTGTTCGTACGAGCGAAGAAAAAAACTTTGATGGAAACCCGTTATGTTTCATAGGAGATATCGTGATGCCGAAGAAAGGAAAGAAGCAATCATTACGTATTGTTCATAGATATCATTTTGCAAGCTCGTTAAAACGTATGTCTGCTATCGTGTCAGTTCAAACGCCGGGATCTTCTCATTCAACATATATCGCGACCGTCAAAGGGGCGCCGGAAACTCTTCGTTCAATGGTAGGTTTAGAACACGATTAGCACGATATTAATACTATCAATCATCGTCACAATCAATAAAATCAGTAAACACAATTAGTTTGTTAATAACACAATCAGGCTTCAGGTATACACGGTATATGGCTTTCACAAAACGTCCGGCAAACTCTCCAATTTTAGACAAGGCAATGTTAATAATTCTAATATACCACATCAATTGTTCTATTTTCTACTATATTGCTTCTTTACGGGTAAATGAAAATTCCATGGTCACTCATTAAGATCAGGAAATGCGGTATATAGTGTAATCAGTGTGTCTCGAGTTGTACCACTACTACTGTTGAACAATTGACGGTTACTTATGAGCGATCTTTTGTATTGTATTTAGTATACAAGCATTCCTGACAACTACGATACTGTATATCACAAGATGACCACGCAAGGAGCCAGAGTGCTTGCACTTGGTTACAAAACTCTCGGTGAACTACAAGCCAAAGACGTATGTAAATATTTGAAAAAATTCACATCCATTTAATAACCATATTTCGACGATTTAAAAGAAACAGAGAGAAAAATTCTCGCGCAAATCTTGTGGAAAACCATACCCAGGGTGTTATCATCTGAAAACAGGGGCTTATTACAGTATTAGCAAGTATTGTGAACTCTTTCCAGTGCTAATGCACCTTCAAGGGTGGGTAGTCGACTAGTCGTAATACTAAAAAATGAAACTCATTACCTAATCTTGGACGATGTTTAGCTCAGCTATTAAAGAAATTCCCTCCTCCAAAGATGTATGAAGTCCCAAAAAAGTGAACAATTTCTTATTTCTAACATCTCCCTATGCGATCTTGCATATTTTCTTAGCAGACGAACTAAATATTTTTATTTCTCTCTCAATTTAGATACGAGAACTCAAACGTGATTCAGTGGAGTGCAATTTAACTTTTGCTGGTTTTGTTATCATTTCCTGTCCTCTGAAATCAACATCGAAGAATGCAATTAAAGAAATACAACACGCCTCGCATCACGTGAGTATGCTCTCATCGGAGGAGATCACGATCAAGCTCCGCACCCAAAGAAGAAGTTTTGCCGTGTTAAATATTTATCTCCTGTATTTCAGACTGTTATGATCACTGGTGATAATCCACTTACTGCTTGTCATGTGGCGAAAGAGCTCAAGCTAACGAAAAAACAAATATTGATATTATCCGCGTCTGGTGATAGCTCTGATGGTACGTGTGCTGTGAAAAAATGTCTAGATTTATTCACCTTCCTGTCTTAACACGACTGAAAACCGTATGTAGCACCTTAAACAAATGTTGTGAAATTGGGCTAACGAGGGTTGAAGACAATATGTGAGAAGTTGCAATAGGTTCATTGTAATTCCATTCTTCACTCTAGTCATTTGCGATTTTCATATTGTAAAATATTCTATACATTTAGTTTATATTCCCGTGCTAAGCCATGTATATTCCAGAGACCATCAAATTCATGATAATAAAAAGCAAGATATTTAACCGCTTTTTCTATTTTGTAGAAGAACAATCGTGGTGTTGGCAGTCGTTAGATAAAACTGTTTCACTACCTTTGATTCCTGATGGTGGTTTCAAAACGTTTAAGCAAAATTATGATCTTTGTGTTACTGGCGAGGTAAGATATTGCTGTACAATTAAATAGGATCTAATACTAACTCTCCTGACGAAGGCCCTCAGGTCGAAACGTCGAGAAGTGTTTTGTCTACATATTTTAGGCAGTTGTTATATACCACATTTGATGCTAACTATCTTTGTACCTAAACTTAATATTTGTTTCAGGCATTTCCTTTGCTGCAAAGTAATGGAGCTCTTAGTAAATCATTGTGGCCAGTTGTTAAAGTTTATGCAAGAGTCGCGCCAAAACAAAAGGTATGTCATTAGAAAACTGCGATCTGTATTCTAACTCTAAGAGTCATAATGTATTGTTTACTGGAATAATAATATATTTTCCTATGTTGAATAGTAGAACGCTTAGGGAGCACATTACGAGTTGATGAACCAAAAATGCGTTGAAAGGCAGTGCAGTGTGATAAGTAAAGGCTAAAGTATCTGTTTATTTGTCGTAGGAATTCGTTGTAACAAAGTTAAAAGGTCTGGGTTATGTAACTCTTATGTGTGGTGATGGAACCAACGATGTCGGAGCTCTGAAACATGCTGATGTTGGTGAGTTTTTATCGATACGAGGGGACAATGTAATCCTCTAAATCGTACAGTACAAGCGAAGATGCCTTAAATTTGTTGGCTTCTCTTAAAGTAACTTCTCCTGTCAACCCTGAAGCTGAGTTTTCACAGGGCTTTGGCTGCTGTTTTATTTCAATGTTATGTTAAATGTTTATGATCATCTCAGGTGTAGCATTGTTGAGTGGGGCTCCAGAAGAAGACGCCAAGACAAGAAGACAGAAAAAGGCAGCAAACGTATGTTTACTGGACTCCTGGATCACTTTATCATAAAAACAAATATCATATTATACCATAAACCTCATTAGAAAGGATAGGCATTGTTTGCGGAATTTTTTTATTTTCTTTTCAGGATGAAATGTACAATGAAGTGACTGTGGCGCCCAGAAAGAAGCTCTCCAGTAACTCTACATCGCAATTACCCGCCGGGAAATCTAAAGCTGCTAAAATGCGTGCCGTGGCCCGTGGTGAAAACACTGCTGGTATTTCAAGCAAGTCTGAACAAGAGGTACATCCATCTGACATTCAATTTCAGAATGTAATTTTCATTATTAGATGTAATTGTAACAAAACTGCTCAAGCCATTAAGAATATAATTAGGTAATAATCGGCTCTATAATTAGTGAACTGTGTTATTGTGCAAATTTGTCTTTAGAAAAAACTTCAAGAAATGTTGAAAGCTCTGGACGAGATGGAAGAATCAAAGGTCGTACGCTTAGGAGATGCGTCAATTGCGTCACCTTTCACATCGAAGCATTCTTCGATAAATAGCGGTCAGTGTATAACAACTACCTAAAATAGACAAAAGCACATTGTTCGAAGTTGTTCGAAGATATTGCCACGCTGCTTTCTGGTTATATTGATACGGTAATAATTCTATGTTCATTAAATCCTGAATACGCGATTAGACTTAACCTAATTGGCTCATTCTCATCCAAGATCTAATCCTATCCTGATCTCAACATGAGATTCGTGCATGTATTTATAGGACTTACCGAACATCACATTATTACCTTGAGTACGACTTACCTGTGAGCAGTCGTATACTGGTTTGTAAAAATGTGGAATTTGAGACCTAGAATAATTTCGCACAGTCTTTGATTAATCTTTATATTATTTTAAATAGCTGGCTAATACAATTTATGTAAAAGCCCTTTTATATATTTGAAATAATTCCATCCAACTATAATATCTTTGGAGGAATTCACTTTCCGATTTGTAATTTTCTGTTTTAGTTTGCCATATTATCAAACAAGGAAGGTGTACATTGGTAACAACGTTACAGATGTTCAAGATTCTTGCGTTGAATGCCTTGATATTAGCTTATAGTCAGAGTGCTCTATATTTAGATGGTATCAAATTCAGTGACGGGTAAGTGGAAGACTATCTTTTTGCTGAATTTTTATTTCACTAACATTATACATACACGTTACACACAGGGCATGCATCAAAACGCGGCATTTAAACTAATGAGGGTTTTGTTCTCTAACAAGTTGTGCTTGTGCATCCACTTTCTAGACAAGCAACTTTGCAAGGAATTCTTCTGGCTGGATGTTTCCTCTTTATCTCAAGATCAAAGGTATTCTCCACTGACCTAAATATATCTAGTATATAGTATGTACTAGTAGTAGATTTTATATGAACTAATAGTCTAATATTCTAACATATTACATATGTGGTGTGAGACTGGCAGTATGTGATTCACATGTCTAACCCAAGAGTGATATCATGCCCTGTTATGGCTCACTTAGTATCACTGCATCTATCGTTGTTTTTCCTGCTCATCTTCATGTTTGAAATTTCCATTTAGCCTTTGAAGATTCTCTCTAAAGAAAGACCATTGCCAAACATATTTAACTTGTACACACTTCTGACAGTATCTTGTCAGTTTGCTGTTCATTTCTACTCATTATATTTCTTAACAAAGCAAGCCAAGCGCTGGACGCCGGGAAGGTTGGTTAAATATTAGTAGGATATATCACTGTAATGGAACATTTGTACCAAAAATCGTCTTCATACATTCTGAGTCGTTTTCAAAACTCCAGAATAGGTAGTATTGACATCAGAATTTATTCGCTGTTTATTTCAGAACAGACAATTATGTTGATCTTGATTCAAAGTTTGAAGCAAGCATAATAAACAGCACAGTTTATCTCATCTCAATAGCAATGCAACTTTCCACATTCGCTGTCAACTATAAGGTGAGTTCTTCATTCTACATCTGTGCGTCTCAACACGACAAGTAATTAGACATTTGTCAGTGCACCCAATCAATATAACTGGACCACTATTTCTGGTTAAAACTCGTGCAGCCTTCACAGAATGGCAACAGCAAACCTCAGAATATAAAGTATCGTCTCTTTTCAGGGTCACCCTTTTATGGAAAGTTTACTAGAAAACAAAGCATTATTGTACAGTCTGACCGCATCTGCTGGAGCAATAATGATGTTAACTACTGGAGTGTCTGTTGATTTCTGCAATCAATTTGAGATTGTCCCAATGCCAGATACGGTTAGTTTGATTGATAAAATTTATGCTCTCGCTTTAAAACACATGTGGAAGGACACTATAAATGTTTTTTCTCATTACGGTAATTGAAATACCTTCAGCTGCAACTAGGTTGTTTGGACGTCCCCCTGCGTAGCGTGTCCTATAACCCTGGGTTCGAGTTTAAAGAATATTCAGATTGCACCATAGGCAGCCCAGACATGTTTTCGTTCTCGTGGCGCTCGCGCGTGTACACGAGTCTACTTGGTCTATTATCAGCATTAGCGCTTATTTGATTCTTGTTATTATTATTATTATTATGTCATAATAATAGACCAAGTAGACTCGTGTACACGCGCGAGCACCACGAGAACGAAAACATGTCTGGGCTGCCTATGATTGCACCCAATTATTATATCCTTGTTCCCAGGTTTTGGACAAATTAAAAGTTCACCAGAATATATTTTTAAATGTTTGCTTATTTGATATTTTAGCATCGTACAATCATTCTACAAGTGATAAGTGTTAACTTCGTCAGCTGTTGGTTCATTGACCGACTGCTACAATTCATTCTCGGAAACGCTAGGATGAAATCAGCTTAAAAAACCCTCTCCAAATCCTGCATCATACCTTTCCGTAAACTTCTGAACAAGAGAGCATCTCTCCTGAATATTGTCCCTTGACAGACAACATTCGACTGATCCCGGTGTTAAAGAAATGAAAGAAAACCTATTAGGCAGAGCTAGTTGAAAATTTAGAAGAATAATATATGAAATATAAATCGAAAAATGAGGTCATGTGAACACTCGAAATATGGCAATCCATATTTTTGAACTTCAAGAATCCTTCAATACTCGGTGTATACGCCATAGAAATGTAATTCTTTCTCATAGATCCTGTTATTCCTGTATAGTTGACAAACATAGCCCGGACACTGGAGAGCAATTTTTCTCGACCAAATCACTTTTGATACAGGGTGTCTCAAAAAAAACGCAACACTTAAATATGCAAGAACATTAATACAGCTCTAAAGCGCGATAGATAAGAACCTCTGGGAATTGATAATGGCTCTTAATCCCTCATTTAAAATGCTAAACGTCATTTTAGCTGAACTATGGTGCAAACCCGAACAATATTAATATTCTTGCATATTTAAGTGGTTGCGTTTTTTTTTTAGACACCCTCCCAGAGGCAAAACATGCTTACATTCCTTAGTAAAAATAATTTTTAAAACAATAGTCCATCTTAATAGTTCCCAAAATTATTGATTGGCAAATGTTGTCTAATTTCTGTTCATTATTGCCAAGTTAATTACACTTAAAATACGTGGGATACAATACTGTTATGTCTAGTTTTCATAATTCGTGGGTGTGGTGAACATGTCAAGACTCAAGATAGCCGATGTGAAAGAATATTTTTATGTGTGTGCAGCAGTGGTGTGCAGTTAACAATGAACGATCTTCATACAAAAATAAAGACAAAGTTACATCCGGATTATTTCTCATCGGGGAAAATATAATGATCTACATCGTCGTAATCCGACGTGGAATTGACAATTGTTGTTAACTCAAACAACAGCGTCATTGGGCTGTATTTCAATGTTGAGCTATCTTTAGCCAGAGATGACTCTGTTTCGACTGTCTGTGCACCACGTTGCTGTCTTCACGACAACATTCAATAGTTAAAACATTACAGACCAACATCGGTCCTTGGAAGGGGCAAATGACGTTTCCAAGGAAAACGGGCGAGGTTGTGTCGTCCCGTCTATGCCTTGTCCCACCTTGTAGAGGTATTATTTCAGACAAAATTTGTTCAAAAACCAACAAGTTTAACCACGGCCAGGTTACTAAGTTCAAAAACAAAATCCAAGATGGCCGCACGTCAGGCAAGTAGTCCAAGTACGAATATGCATGAGGTCGATTTGGATGTAAATATTGACGATGTCGATGAATTCGAACTGTGCGATGATAAAAGTACTAACGAGGTAAGATATTCGTCGAAGACATGTCTTCAATCCCACTTCTAGGGATTTAAAGGTTGTTCTGGGGTAGTCAATAGTGTATAATTTGTACGGATAATAATGTATGGGGAATGTATATATTGTACAAAACAGTACATTGTAACATTTTAGTGTGTGATAATAGCAATCTGATCAATGGATTTGGCTTGGGTCAAACGTCAAACTTTTCATGCACCAAACATAATGCAAATAAAATGAAACAAAAAACTTAGCTTGTTATCATTAGGTTTGATGCATGAAAAGTTTGACGTTTGACCTGGCCTTTGCATTTGAAATAATTACTACAGCATAATGAAGGCCATAACCTAAATTCTGTAGTTATACAAAACGTCTAAAATCTAAATGTCTAAAAGCAGCTTATAAACTGCGATAACTGCACAATTTCAAGCTGAAATAAATTATATCTTCGGTAAGATTGCAATTACCAACATTCAAAACCATCTTGTTGGGTGCATGTTAATGTGGCTATGTTCCATCACTAGGTTCCTTTACTGTTTGGCTATGTAGCCACATCGATATAATGCTGCAAACTTAAGGCTAAATTCAATGTCGAAGTGTTTATATGTAGGTCAGTAGGTGCAGTGTATGGTGGAGAGCCAGTGGCCATGTATTTCAATAGTTTCAGGGCTGGTATTCTATGGTTGTACTAAATATGTGTTGCATAAAGTGGCCCCTTTAAATAGTAAACATGTATTGCACAGTTGCGCTTACAAGGGCATTCTATTATCATGTTGAAACATGGTCACATTACAGACAACTGCAATTATTTTAAAATGCCTTAAATATAAATGTCAAAGGTATTAATTTGTATCTTTGAAAATTTAAGTGTTTTAGAATTCTACCAGTACCAAGCTTGCCACACAGACTTGTTCTGCATATGAAAAGTGTTGCTGTTTATGGCCGAAATGTCAGATCTAGAAAGTTTGTGGTGGGATGAATAATAATTCTTTGAAAAGAATTTGGTCTGCTTGATCAACAATCACAGTGGAATATAGGTGAAAGAAATCAGTTCCATCCATATCAAATCTCCTCCTTGAATCATATCCACTCCTCGAATCATATCCACACATGGCATTTTCAAAACCCTATGACCATTACCTTACATCTGGTTCAGTCACGAAGTAATTACCGGTACGGCTAAAACTGGAAAAGGAAGAGAATAGTCCAATTACAAAGATAGACAAAGACATTTTATATTGAGAAAATGTGGCCTAAGTTAGGATAGACTTTTCTAGGATAGACAAAATTTTTCAATTTGATAACTGGACCCCTTCCTGTGCCACCGTTTTTACTTCATAGCCCTGATCACTTTTCAAGTAGTCTGTCACTTAGCTAGTGTTAATAATATATAAAGAAAATAATAAATGAATAATATTTATTAACGCACCAACAAACACGTACTGTAACAGTTTATCAGTGATGTACGATATGAATAATCAGGTACATGGAGTTATGCTCCAAAACAACGTTATTTTAAAAAAAATTATTATTTTTTTAAATTTTTTATTAAGCGTGTAGTGGACTTAATTCGTACACAGAAATGTTATAAGTTCGTCATTGCAGGAATATGCTAAAACACCAAGTACATTTATTATTCCGTTCAGGTATATGAAACGATAATGTGAATACATGCGTAATATAAAAACAATGTGGTTATATGACTTTCGTTTGCATCACGGTATGCATGCTCGCTTTGACGATAAAACATATACCTTTAAAGAGAGGTTGGATGTTGAGAAAATCCCAGATACCAGCTGAGCTGAAGTCGACGGCCCACAAAATAAACGGCGCGGTGTTCTTTCCAATCAAAAATTTATTTTGAAACGGGACAAATTTATTTATTTTGAAATGGTACGAATTTTTTGTTTCTTTTTGGCGAAACCCGGGTGCAATGTGGATATGTGTGAAATACCATGGATGAATGCCTGTTATTGCCATTCTATTCAAGTCCCGTTCGCTTGTTTTTCGTTTAAAACTGTAGTTATGTTTTATCACAGATAATAAAATATACATGGTTTGGAGACGAAATAAAAGTACAATTCAGCTCATTAATTATGTTATTGTCCAGGTTTATTCAAAAAACGGTTCCTTTCTCGTCACGTGTCGATTGTATTTTAGCCAAACTTAACAATGGTATTCGTCTTGCTAAGCTCCTCAACCTTGACTTGAAAATTAAATTCTATTAACTGTGGTTTTATCAACTCCAAGCATAACTTGGGAAAGCACGTCCATACTTAACCATGCATGACATATAAGTGAAAAAGAGATCCCCAATCCAGAAAACAGAATTTTTACGTTAAAAATTATTTCCCAAAAGCTATTAAACGAAGCTGGTTTAATTTGAACAAAATTTGTCCATATTTAACCATGCATGATATATAAGTAAAAAGGAGTGCCGCAATGCAGAAAACAGTATTTTTACTTTAAAAATTCTTTCCCGAAAGTTATTTAACGAAGCTGGTCAAATTTAAATAAAATTTGTCGACATTTAACCATGCATGACATATACGTAAAAAAAAGATCCCCAAATAACGTGGAAAAACTCGAAATAACGTGGAAAAACTCGCCCTACGGGCTCGTTTTCCCACTTATTATTTCTCGTTCTCCCAAACTCGCACGCGTGTTTCTATAACTGTATAGAAACACGGAAAATGTTTTCTATTTCTTAATTGTTTTGTAAATAATGCTTCCCCGAAAGATTTAAACGATACTGGTTTAATTTGAACAAAATTTGTCCATATTTAACCATGCATGATATATAAGTAAAAAAGAGATCCTCAATCATGAAAACAATATTGTTTTATAAAAACGGTTTCTCCAAACCCTACTAAACGAAGCTGGTTAAATTTGAACAAAATTTGTCCATATATTTAATTTAACCATGCATGATATGTAAGTAAAAAAGAGTTCCCCAATCATAAAAACTATATTGTTTTATAAAAAATGCTTCCCCAAACCCTACTAAACGAAGCTGGTTAAATTTGAACAAAATTTGTCCATATTTAACCATGCATGATATATAAGTAAAAAAGAGATCCCCAATCATGAAAACAATATTGTTTTATAAAAAAGGCTTCTCCAAACACTACTAAACGAAGCTGGTTAAATTTGAACAAAATTTGTCCATATTTAACCATGCATGATTTATAGGTAAAAAAGAGTTCCCCAATCATGAAAACTATATTGTTTTATAAAAAATGCTTCCCCAAACCCTACTAAATGAAGCTGGTTAAATTTGAACAAAATTTGTCCATATTTAACCATGCATGATATATAAGTAAAAAAGAGATCCCCAATGATGAAAACAATATTGTTTTATAAAAAAGGCTTCTCCAAACCCTACTAAACGAAGCTGGTTAAATTTGAACAAAATTTGTCCATATTTAACCATTCATGATATATAAGTAAAAAACAGATCCCCAATCATTAAAAACAATATTGTTTTATTAAAAAGGCTTCTCCAAACCCTACTAAACGAAGCTGGTTAAATTTGAACAAAATTTGTCCATATTTAACCATGCATGATATATAAGTAAAAAAGAGATCCCCAATGATGAAAACAATATTGTTTTATAAAAAGGCTTCTCCAAACCCTACTAAACGAAGCTGGTTAAATTTGGACAAAATTTGTCCATATTTAACCATGCATGATATATAAGTAAAAAAGAGATCCCCAATCATAAAAACTATATTGTTTTTTAAAAAATGCTTCCCCAAACCCTACTAAACGAAGCTGGTTAAATTTGAACAAAATTTGTCCATATTTAACCATTCATGATATATAAGTAAAAAACAGATCCCCAATCATGAAAACAATATTGTTTTATTAAAAAGGCTTCTCCAAACCCTACTAAACGAAGCTGGTTAAATTTGAACAATATTTGTCCATATTTAACCATGCATGATATATAAGTAAAAAAGAGATCCCCAATGATGAAAACAATATTGTTTTATAAAAAAGGCTTCTCCAAACCCTACTAAACGAAGCTGGTTAAATTTGAACAAAATTTGTCCATATTTAACCATGCATGATATATAAGTAAAAAAGCGATCC